TGTTTGATGAAATCTCTCTGCTACTACTGCCCTACACTCTTCATCCCAGTGTTTATGACCTCTGCCATAGTTCCATTCCGTAATGCATTTAGCAGGATATTTCTGAGTATTCAGTCGACAAACTTTGCCTGTAGCGTCTGTGCAAAGGATGTTAGTTGTCGTTAATCACGGAGTCCACATTTCCACCTTAAGTTGCTTGCACAACTTCCGTAGCAAAAGCAGCAGTCACTCTAAAACAGCAGCTCTCCATGCCACAACAGCTGAATTGGTAGACTTATTTTGCTTTTTTGCTTTTCTTCCTTTGGCAATAACATGACTGTAGCAGGTATAGTGGAGAACCTTGAGTCCTTAAAGTATTTTCAAAGCTTCAGCTTTATAGGGTCTTAAATATCCCTCAAATGAAGGATTTCATTGAGACGGGCATTTTTGTTCCCCATGTCCTCAGTTGGAACGCATAAATACAAGTATGGCTCATCCAATAAAGACGAACAAGACCATAAGTGGTAATATACTGGCAAAGTCAAAGAGAGATTTCAGGTTTGCATGGAACTGACTGCCATTCCAAGGTTTGTGTGTGGTTTTAAGGACTCAGGTGTGCCCATAGTGTGTGTGGATGTTGGTGTTTTGCTATTTCCTTTCTAACATAATAAATTCTAGTATATAGACAACGATAATGTGAACACCTCACAGTGATGTGTAAAAAAACGCATGCATTATGACTTGATAATCTCTTAAGGGGGAAGAGTCTTGACATTTCCCCTTATCCTCCTGTCATTGTTTGTCATGAATCCCATCCTGATAACTATAAACACTGTGCCGTGTTGTAGAGCAGAAACGTCTTCCTCAAAGGGGCAACTGAAAACTACTCGCACTCACAGTGGTCAGCATGAGTGTGTAGAGGTAGCTTGTCTTCATCTTTTTTAAATGGTCAGGTCCTCGCATCCCTCAGTTACTGTAGAGTTACAATCGTCCTGGTGGTTCGCTCATTGCAGCACACAACACAGTGATGTAAACGTCAATCAAAGAGACCCAGAGCTTCCAAAATGATGTCAGAAAGTGAGAAATATCAATGTCCACCAAGGGGAAGTAATAATCTCAGCGTAGAAAAAGTCAAAAGAATCTTATAGTTGAGGGCTCTTAAAGAACCTCATCCTTGGCATCGTGGTCCAAGTGAGTTTTAGGCCCTGCTGGTTCAGGGCTCAGCTCAGGCAGCTGAATGGTTCTCCGTCCATTCCTAATACATTTTAGTTGGCGGCTCACCAGATTATGAGACTCAATTATGTGACGTAGACAACAGAGAATAATCAATTTTGTTGTGTCTGTGCTGGTTTTACAGGGTCTTGAAATTTTGTCTATTTGCAAAAATGGTTCCTAGGATTTAGTTTTTGTCCCGTATCTTTTTAAAACGCAGTTTTCAGTTCCCAGTTTGGAAGGCACCAAGCTACCATGGCTTTGATGGTCACAGATACGTTGGTAGAATTTTAAAGATGGTTTATATACCTACAAAAACCTTATGCTTCACCCAGCTCTTATAATTTCCATGACCATGTTGTGTCTTTCTCTGCTACCTTCTTAACTATTAGGTCTGCCAAGTCTGTGTTCTCTGCATTGTGATTGCTCTGCCAGTACAAGGCTGAAAAAGATGTCTTTCTTTTCCAATGAATAATACTGCCATTCATTTTTGATAGGTTAAACAGAATGGTTACAATGTTGAGAGTGCTAAGTCTGTTTTATTTTCAAAGCCTTGCAATCTGTAAGAAAATGTTAGAGATTTCATGCGAAACACCTCACAGAACAAAACTAGTAGGTGCCACCAATGTTTTATTTCTCGATTTACATGTCCTCTGCAGGCATTATGATAATGTCATGTGGCCCTTGGATTGTGCATCCACAATATGATCCTGCTTTCATTTTCTTTTTCTGTTATATATATTCTGATTTCAGTTATTTTCACTGAGGACACTGTATGCAATCTGCACCATGAATGCCACTGATAGACACTTACTGTATGCTCCATGAGACACAGATGTGCTGTCATCAGTTCAGATGATTGCAACCACATGTGTATTGGCTTTAAGGCTTTCCATAGTTACTTAGCAATCACATGAAAATATATTTTATTTTACTAACAGAGAATAACAGAGTTTCTTTAGAGGAAATTATATCATGCTAAATAGATTTTTCTAATATAGGAAATGTTATTCTAACGAAAAAAAAAAACATACATACACACATACATACATATAGTTTAATGTTGTTGCATCATGTATCCATGTAAGCATTCCAAAGATTCATTTTACACGCTATCAAATAGTATAAAACAGACTTAAGTACTGGTCCATTGTACTGAGGTCTTAGTAGGACAGTGGATGAGGAAAAGAATCGGTCACTGGAGCATCTGGTTGTGATTTATGCCGGATTTCATTTTTGAAATGTTGGGACACAAAGATAACTCATCAAGAACTGTATAAAGTATATTTCAATGGAATGTTCATGATCTATCTTTTTATATTTTGAAAAAAACATATCAATAAAGCGTCATAATTGAACAAATTTCTACTATTGAGACTTAAATTGTATGAATGTCAATGCAATCTAATGTGAATTAATCTCCTTAACAGCTTGAATGAACAACAAATTAAGAGTCATGAGATGCTTTTTCAGAAATTGAAATTGCTTAAAAATCATTGAAATCAACTTCAAATAAACTAAAAAGTTAACTCAGTTTTGTGTCAGTTTGTTTCAGGTCCATATTTCTGAGTTCTTGTTCTAAAATAGTTAGTGACAGGAAATATTTTTAGGGGAAAAATACAGCACGTACTGTATATTAAAGTTTAAGTGGAAAAGTCAGAGGACTTTGCTGTATAAGTTAACTATATTTTAGTGTTCCAGGTTTTAACAAAATGCCTGGATAGCTACCAGAATCTGTATTTCAAAATGGCAAATGTGGACGATTTATTTTCTACAGATGGTTATCCAACAAATATTATGAGGTGTAGAGATCTTCCTGAATGAGCGGACTAATGTGAATCACTGGATGTAATAAATTATCTGCAGAGTTGTACGACAGCTAAAAAGTTGAAAGATAATCCAATGAACCAGAGGAACAAACCTAATTATTTCTTTGTCAAGTCTAAGTCATATTTGATGATGACTGTTGAATGATAATGCCTACATATTCCTGTATAAAATTTAGACAGAGGTTCATCAGGTCTTTTTAAAGCATGCTTTTATCAGATGGCAATGTCACAGAGCACAGAGGGTTTTTTCTGAGTGAAAGCAGCAGTAAGGAAATGTCGGCAGAAGCCTTTTTATTTTTTCCTCATCTTGGCAAAACATTACCTCCCTCTGGTGGTAATAAGATGTAGTATTTGCTTTGGTAGATTTGCCTTACATTACTTGTTTTATAAAAATGCAATCCAGTGCAATCCTACTCAGTTTTTTAAAAAATAATCAGAAACAATATACAATACAAACCAGCATTGTTTTTTCTTTACAAAATAATCTGAATTCACTTTCATGAATTTTCTCTCCAGGTTAATGACAGAGAGCTTAAGCAATTACTGCTTTTTGGACCTTTCGCAAAATCAGATTTGGCCTACTGTGTTCCTTGAGGTGCAAGACGTTTGGTAAGTGGTGAAAACATACAACATTTATTTGCCTTACACATGAATAGATTTTTCTTTCCTTTTTTCTGGATACACCAAAAGTTTCCAGACGTCTCCTTTCAAACATTTTTTAGTAAGTCACGACTTGACTTGGCCTTCCTCTGTTCTGTCATCCATCTCACCAATGTAGCACAACGCTAAGGCAAAGTGTTTTTTCTGATTCTTCGTTTCCTTTCCGACGTTTGAACAGTTATTGTCTCTTTCTGGCCAGGAAATTCTGGCCTGATTGTTTATGACCATACTAAGATGCATCTTAGAATTAGATTTTTTCACACCTCTAAGTTGCGGCATTATATTCTAAGCCTGATAAGGTTAAGTTTGAATATGTACTGATCAAAACATTTTTTAAATTTTTTGTTGGAGTCTGACAAATTCAAAGGAGACATTTAGGCCTATTTTTCATAAAATATCTGAGACATACTTTGGACCAAATAACAGAGAGAGAGAGACAGCATGTCAGCCCCTTTTTCAGCCATTCATTTACATATCTTCTCAAGTGTACAATTTTAGGGCATGGAGCGACCCACTTGACTCCACTCCGTTCCTCAGGGTCTGCCACTTTTGAAATCTGTAGCACTTAATAACTCCGGGAACCTGATATTATGTAAATAGCCGCAGGGCTCAGACCACAAGCCAAACTGAAGTATACTTTAATTGCTTGGAAATTTTATTTGCAAATAACATTTGCAGTTCCCTTATTTGCAGTTCAACCAGGAGCTTCTGGTAGGCCTATGATGGCTCTGCCAGGCCCAATCTTATTGTGAGTCATGTGCTGAACGGTCCAAGTTGTTAAATAGCCAATGAAAGACTTAATGGTCTCTGCCTGTTGATGAGAACTCAAGAGAACTCAATTTACTAATCAAATCAATTTACATTTCTTGGAATTTCATCCTGAAGCTAGCACCAAAGTGACTTGAAAAGCAAAAGGAGAATTCTAAGTTGACAAATCCAAATGTAGAATTAATAATTGACCATTTTAAATCATAAATGAAAATGTAAAAGTATCTGTACTTCAAGCAAAACTCTGTCCCAAATAATCAGTGTTTATTAATCTAGGATAATAATCTTCAAACAGGAAAATAATAAATCTGATCAAATATAATAGAGAGGGGCTCTCCTGATTTATGTGACACAAGATCTATTGAAAACCGTTTTAAACAGCAGGGGTTCAAATACAATAATTCTGCATTAATGACACTTAGTGAGAGACTCCTGTCAGTCAAAGTAGCATGCTGTGCTGGGCAAATGTGACATTTGATCAGGAGGTTGAAGGTTGTCATGCCTCACGGCTAAAATGGAGGGAAGGGACAGGGAGGGGTTGGAACGGTACAGCAGAGATCCAATTTCAACACGGCAGCATTCCCAAAAAATTTCAAGACAGACAACGTGAGGCAGCGCGGGACAGGACAAGATCCTGGATGTTCCTTGAAGAAACAACTGGAGGCAGAGTTTGTATCCAACTTGAACGCGGTAGACCTCTGTGCCGACTGAAACCACACAGCCGAGCTGGGACTTTGGTTATGTGACAGACAGACATGATGACAGAGAAAAAGACAGACAACCCGATGAGCCACAGGACTAGAGCAATGTGATTTCTCATCGAGCCATTAGTGTCTATCAGCAGCTGTTTTATATTTAGTGAGTAATTCCTCTCCTGCTAATTTGGTACTAACATTGTTCATTGTTTTTCTCTCTATTCATCTTTTACATGAACTAAAACCATTTCATTTTCTACTTCTTAAGAAACTTTGTTACAACTACAGTTAACTCAATCATATTTATATTTTCATTTGCTTCAAATGCCATCTGTAATGCTTATTAACTACAAACCAAACCCATCAATGAAATGATCCTTCTGGTTTCCCGTTTGCTTTTTAGTCCAGGTGTTCTACAAATACTAAGGAAAAGGGTTTGCAACGCTCTCTGACTTTGGATACAGACAGGGATGGAAGGTGGGGACCCACAGTCCAACGAAGAAGGAGGCAGAGGGAAAGAGGGTGATGCAGAGAAAGAAAAACACCTGAAGAACCAACTCAATAGTGAGGAAAAAGGAGAGAAAGAGAACAATGGGAATGAGAAAGAAAAGAAGAAAGATAAACGCCGTTCAGGGTCTCTTTGGAGGAGTGGATGGGCCCTGAGTGAAAGACTGGCAATCAATGTCTCCGGAATGCGATACGAAACTCAGCTTCGTACCTTAGCTCAATTCCCTGAATCCATGCTTGGTGATCCAAGACGGAGGTCACGATACTTTGACCCACTGCGAAATGAGCTCTTCCTGGACCGTAATCGAGCCTGCTTTGATGCAATTCTGTATTTTTATCAGTCAGGCGGGAGGCTTCGTAGGCCTGCTAACATACCCCTGGACATCTTTATGGATGAGCTGAGGTTCTACGAGCTTGGAGAGGACGTCATGAACCGTTTCAAGGAGGATGAAGGCTTTCCAAAAGAGGAGGAGAGGCCACTGCCATCCAATGAAATTCAGAAAAAACTGTGGATGTTGTTTGAGCACCCTGAGTCCTCATCAGGAGCACGTATCATCGCCATCATCAGTGTGATGGTGATCGTGGTGTCCATTCTAATCTTCTGCCTGGAGACACTGCCTGACCTCAGGAGTGACAAAGAGGTTGGAAACTTTATATTCTCCACTACATGTTTGGGAGGCAGATTAGGACAAAGGTGAAAAAGGGGTTTCCAGAATGTTAGAATTCCTCCATCCATCCATTTTCATAACCGCTTATTCCCTAATGGGGTCGTGGGGGGACTGGAGCCTAGCCCAGTAGTCAATGGGTGAGAGGCGGGGTACACCCTGGACGTTCCGCTAGTCCATCGCAGGGTGTTAGAATTCACATTTCCTGAAATTAAGGTAGATGGGATAATACTAAAAAGGTAAGTATCCTTGATCTAATTAAATTGTCAAAACGGCTGAGAAAAAAACAAAAACAAAAACAAATCTGAAAAAAAGAAAAACTAATTGGGTCAGCACCAACCCAATCTCAAGACAAAACTACAATTTCAAAGCAGGTTCCCATTGAACTGTCATGAAAAAGACTCTAAACATATGTGAAAAAAACGACTTGCTGTTAGGAACTAAGCTAAAAGAGCACAACTAACAAAGAGAGCAAAAAAGCCATTCGGTTCAGTGTCATATCCAAAGTGGGACAGTTAGTCTTAATAAATCACACAGTATTTGGTGATTGACTGAACGCAGCCACGGCGAAGTAAGTTTCAGTTTACTGAAAATAACGTTTGTTCAAGGCGTTCCTTTTCAAAGTCCTGTTAAGTCTCTAGACATGATTGTTAAAGTTGAGATGCAAGTCTGCTTTAATTTTTTTCAAGTGAACGTCTATATCTCCGATCTGCGACCAAGTCACATGTCTCCTGTAGATCAAACCTTTTGCTCAGAATAGTTTTTTCAAAGATATTCTCTGGCCTAGTCCTTAAAATTCTCCTCCTTTATTTTTTCATGTCAAGGTTGAATATTTCCAGCAATTAATTGAATGTTTAAGCCGGAGAAATGTTGTCAGCCAAAAGTAGCCCATTTAACAAACTCCAAATCAAACCACCAGGGTACAGGCTCTTGAATGGAATATAGTTGGCAATTTGGATCAAAAGAAACATGACCATCATCACAGAAACCAGGTGTTAAGGTAAACACTCACTTGGAGAGTACTACAGTGTTTAGAGGAAACATACTGGCAGGAGAAGCTGTTAGCCAATATATCTGGAAGCAGACCAGAGAACGAAAGGGGACTGCGGATAGCTTAAGTTGTGATTATTTTAGTCCGCTGTTAAATTTGATACAGATTCAGGAGGTGCTTAAGGGTACAGGCAGTATTGGGTGGGGGCTGGAACAAACATAATAGAAAGGAGATACAGAGAGAGGAAACAGTTAGGTGTGTTAATGAAAGGTCAGAAATGACCATACACACTGGCAAAGGTGAATCAAGGCCCACTGGTACTTTAGACCCAGAGATAGAAAGGTCTCATGGGATAAGTAGCATACACTGGGTCATGTTAACACATTCCTGCTGTGCTGGGCCTGGCGGGCTTTGCTGCCAGGAAACTACTGTAACTTACTCCTGTACAAATCAGTGCACCATCTCAGCTGCACTGGCAACGTTACATGCCAGCAGCAGCCAGGGAGATGAGAATAGTGACAAAGGTGGAGATGGATAAGAGCAGCGAAGCGAGGCACTCATGTTTCTCTTCAGAGATCTCACAGGGTTATATTTAGTCTTAGGAGAGCCCTTGGAACAGATCAACACATACTGTAGATGGCCACCTTTAGTAATAAACACTGTCACTGACCCGCTACTGAAAGTCATGGGTAATATGCTAGATTTATTTGAACAACTTTGATACTATATATTACACACAACCCATTCTGACATACTTAACAGTTCCTTTTACATCGACGTCATTTGCTATTCTGCTTTTGAATGGATGTTAAGTGTAAGATGTTTTAAATATAACCCATCCAGAGCATGAATACAATGATAAGTGACAGCAAATGGAACGACAGGTGGATTGAAAAAGACATTTGGAATCCGCATACGTCAAACACTTTTACGACGCTACCAAAAGTGAGAGCCAATGAGAAGTGTAAAACGCCCATGATCTCTTTGAAGTACATCAAAACTTATATCTTTGCAGCATTTTGTAATGAAGAAGTTGGTTTTAAAAGAATACTTTGGGAGCAATTTACTTTCTTGCTTCTACATTAGATCAGATTATTGTTCTTTTTACAAAATTGGAGTCTACACACTTTAGTATTTAGTCACTTTGTAATATATTTGTAATTTGATTCTAAGTGTAGTGATTCTAACAGCATAAAGTCCTGTTTCCAAGGATTTCAGGAAATATAGAATATAATTAATTTAAAAACAAATAGGCTCCCACCCAATTACTGTTAATACACTACCTACAAAACTCAGCCTTGGTTGTTATGTTTTCAGACTTGCTAATTATTCTAAAAGACATTGACATGTTCTATATCTTTTTTAAACACATTTCTAGCGTCACATAAAAAAAAGAATGTTGTTCAGTTTTGATATGTTTTATAATGTTCAACTCCTATCTTTTATGTTAAGGTTTACACTACAATTTTTTTTGTCATTGCACTGCAAAATATTTCAAATGTTGCTTGTGTGTCCTTTTTATTCCTCTTCAGTACAACGCCCAGGCAAAGAATGGCTCAGAGAACATGCCTCCTCCACCGAGCGTCTTCAATGACCCCTTCTTCATTGTGGAAACCATTTGTATATGTTGGTTCTCCTTTGAGCTCGTCATGCGCTTTGCTTGCTCACCGAGCAAGACACACTTCTTCAAGGATGTCATGAACATCATTGACTTTAGTGCCATCTTACCTTATTTTGTCACCTTGGGAACGGAGCTGGCAAAAGACGACGACGCCTCTCCAGCTACCTCACTGGCTATCATCAGAGTTATCAGGCTGGTGAGGGTCTTCAGGATCTTCAAGCTATCTCGACATTCGAAGGGTCTCCAAATTCTTGGTCAGACACTGAGGGCCAGTATGCGGGAGCTTGGTCTCCTTATTTTCTTCCTGTTTATCGGTGTCATTCTGTTTTCCAGTGCCGTCTACTTTGCAGAAGCGGACCACAATAAAACTGATTTTGTCAGTATTCCACATGGCTTCTGGTGGGCAGTTGTCACCATGACCACAGTGGGATATGGTGATATGTACCCAGCTACAGTGTGGGGCAAAATGGTGGGCTCTATGTGTGCCATCGCCGGTGTTCTCACAATCTCACTGCCTGTGCCCGTCATTGTGTCCAACTTCAGCTACTTCTACCATCGTGAGAACGAATGTGAGGATCGAACTGAATACACTCACGTCCAGACATCTCTGTGGGACGATGAGGAGCCTGAAGATGATGAAATAGAGGAAGGGGACAGGGATTTAGAGGTGGATTATTATGCTATTGAAGGCATCTGCAATCCGCTTAACGGGACCTTGCTTGGAGGACTATGTACAGGCCAGAGCACAGAGCAAAGTGGAGGAAATATGTATCTCAGAGAACCATTGGTCACTCAAGTTTAGAGAGGGTGAGTGTGTTTGGTAGCCTTAAGCATACACACTATTAAATAAGGAAAAGAAAAAAAACACTGATAGATATGGAATAACATTAAACATTATAAAGGCCCGAGGTCCTGGAAATAAAAATTTGTTAACTTGACATTTGCGAATGGTGTAGAGTCCAATATACCTCCTAATGACTTTATTTTGCTTGTCTTGGTCATTCGTAGTAATTTATTGATGCACTAGCTAATCACTTGTCTCTGTAAGGCAACTTTCCTGTTGTAAAGTTTAATAACACAATGGTTTTTCATTCTCAGGGCCACGGCATATATGAAATATAAATGATTCATTATAATTGCTACCATCTTGATACTAAACAGATTTGGTGAAAGTCTGTGCCTTGAAACTATAATGTCTTAGAGTTGGATGTGGATAGAAGATTATTGGTAGTAAATATTTGACATCTTAACAGAACTCAACCAAACACCAGCAACACTGCGCTTTTAGAAAGATAGAGCTTGAAACTACTCCACCTTCTCAACATTCTTCTGCAAAGAATGCATTGAATTATTTTATTATTTGTTTGGTTTATCTTTTATCAATGAGGTTGAAGTATTACTGAATGATACATACTATTGTATTGTATTTGTGGTTTTACTGTGCAGTGGCAAAAACAATGTGTTAATCTGCTTAATTATGCACTCAGTGTTTTTAATAAAGATTCTATTTTAATAATTTTCTTAAAACATTGGATCTTCTGTATTTATCATTGCTACGAAATCATAATACATGAAAGTACAGAAATTTCAAACAAATGTATTAATGCTTTATTATTTCACCCAAAGTATAATATTACACATATCTGAGTCATCTAAGTTAATGGTCAACCTTTTTCACAGCTCAGAAGATGTTTAGCAGTAAGCTTCCTCTAATGCTACTTTCAGATTCTCCCGAACTCACAAGACTTTCCACTACATCAGAGTGATTGTTCTTGGAAAGTATGCAGACTGATGAAACAGTGCTCGTGTATGTTTCTTCAATAATCCATTTTATTTTTGACACTTTAAATTTCAATAAAGGGCAAATGGATAAAAAAAAATTCTGCACACACACGAACGTCGCTGTTATTGCAACTTCAAGTATAACAACATGACCGAACCTAACATATACAACTGCATAATAATAATAATTTTCTATTTTAAGTTTTCCGTTTGAAATGAGTAGCGTGGCAGTGTACGGAGGCTGATTGCATTATATGTGGTTTTATAAATGAATGCAAATATTGCTCTGTAGAAGACGTCTCACTGTTGATATCGATATGTTGGATTGGTTTGATCCACAATTGATTTCTTGTCAAATGTTAATGACATGAACATTTAAAGGACATATTATGCAAAACCAAGTTTTGAATCATTTTATTATGTACATTTGGGACTGTCGAGGGCCTATCAGCAGGAAAAGTGTGAAAAAAAATTACTCAGTCATATTTTTTGGGCTGCCTCAGTCTCAATCCAGGAGATAAATCAGGAGCTTTCAGGAGTCAGTAGTTTCTGACGTCAGTAGCACTGGCTCATTATAATATTCCAGCCTTTCACCTGCATGTTGCCACCCACCTCACCTTACTCCGCCTATCTGTTCTCCGCCATTGTCCCTACCAGCAAGAGAGCTAGCTGATATGCCTCAGGAAAACTAACACAACTGTTCTGTGGGCTGCACAGAACAGCACAAAGCTCTACACAATATGCCTGTCTCAGAAGAGTTAAGAGCCCAGTGAATTAATTTTATTTACTACGGAAATGTCCCGGCTAGAGTCGGCAAAAAGCTGTTGGTGTGTGCAAAACACTTCACCGGGGACTGTTTGAGGAACCTCGGTCAGTACCACACAGGACTGGCCAAAAGACTGTTGCTGATAGAGGGAGGAGTACCAACTATCCGTTGCAAGACGACAGACGCCGAAACTGTGAGTATTTTTAAGAATTTATGCTTTGTTTTTCATTGTTGGTGTAAAGTTAGCTAATGCTAACACCTGTTAGCTGCTGAAGCCAAGCTAATGTAGTTATTGTTTGACAGTGTGTGCAAGATGAACATGAGACTTATATGGTGAGGTTCATTTAAGCCAGCTGGTGCAAATTTCTCCATATTTTTTCCCTGCTGTGATGTTTTATAGAGATTTACACAAAGTTTATGCCGTTAATTATTATTTCTGTCATGGTAAAAAGAGACAGGCACTCAAAACCGAGCGCTCTGAACAGGGCTGTTTTGGCAGGGAACTGCTATTGTGCTTCATCCTATGGTATTTTGACCAAAGCTTGTCACAGACATTACATTAGGACACCAGGGAACTAGGTTTACTTGTTGAAATAGGGTTTAATATAACTCCTTTAAAGCCCCCATTTTTAAGGAGAGAAAAAGGCACTTTTCCCATATGTTTGGAGTTTGTTTCCAACTGGGAAATATAGGACAGTGACAACTTTGATGAGATCTTTGATGCCAAGCCTAAAATCCAGTTTCAGGATTTTACAGTCCAGTACCAAGACCACTTGAGCATGAACAATTCCCTTAGTAAGATATGTATTAAAGCCAGGCTTTAATAAAAAATGTTTTAGTTTGAGTTTGTGGATCCTAAAACGAAAGCCAGACTAATTAGAAACAGACACATTGTCAGTTAGGGTTGTCACGATACTAAAATTTTCAACTCGATACCGATACTCAGGAAAATACTCGATACTCGATACCATTTTCGATACCACAAGGATGAAAACAAAGACCCCAAAATTTAACTGACTGTTGACAGGTTAGTGTCTTTCATTTGAAACTGACCTGTTACTGATGTTATCGTGGCTGGTGGCCCGAATTAATTACCCTAATCCTGACCCTAATCCTAACTCTAACTCTAACCCTGACCCTAACCCTAACCCTAACCCTAACCCTGACCCTAACCCTCCACCTTTCATAATTGTGAGAAACCATTTTGGGGTTAAACTTGTTTGGACTTTGTACAAACCTATTTTACATCCACTATTTTTAACATAATATTATGGATAGAGTTTAATTAAGTGTTTGAAAGATTAATTTCACTATTTTTAAATTAATGTCTATATTGCCATGAGGCATTACTATTTTCTTGCCTGGGATTTCCCTTTTGGTGACGTAATCAAAATGGCCGATTTGGATGTGGGCTGAGACGGATATGTACTTGATTAATGGTAGCATTTTATTATTAGCCATTAGCCGCAGCTAGCAGTTCAAGGCTAACGTCACGTTAATGATCATAAACAACGTAAATAAATACATAAATAAATCAGAGAGAAGGGGCGCAGCGACGGCAGGTCAGCGTCGCGCGCGCGCTTGCGCGAGCTCGCGCGGACTCGCACGGGCTCGCGCGGTGGTATCGATACTTTTGAAAATGAGTATCGTATCCGGATACAACATTTTAGTATCGATACTTTTTTAAGTATCGATACTTTTGACAACCCTATTGTCAGTAAAACTAACAGACCAACCCAGCCAGAGGAACTCAATTTCTTTAAGTTGTTGCTTTTTTCTCCACTAGAGGGCACTTCTGCTCTCACACATCACTCTTCTGCATCAAAACAGTATCCTTATATATGAAATGCATCCTTCCTGATTCAATATATCTGTTACTAAATGCAATGATTGACAGACAAACTAAATGGTCATTTTAACAATGTTTATTTTCAATGATAATTAAAAACACTTTGGCTCATTGGAGTTTTCAGCATTAAAAAAAAAATCAGAGATAGACCAAAAGCTTCATGAGTAAGTTGGTCAAATGATTTTTTCTTCACAGACAAACATTCTCTCCATCTTAAAATAAGTTATATCAATACACAGCACACAAAGTAAATTAATAAATTGAATAAATAAGTTCTTTCTTTTCTCTCATAGACACATTTTGAGAACTGAAGAGATGAAACGTTGAGGAGATTGTTTCATTATGAAATCAAACCTGTGGCCTTCACTAAAGGAGACTTACACCTACATAAACAGATCTGAGCGCTATGCGGTGCAGTATTTTACTTGTCTATTAACGAGTGAGGACTGCCCATGTGATTTAAACCCATACCAAAAAGGTCATGAGAGTCCACGTCAAACTGTCTCTCAGAGTGTGGTGGCTGATCCGACACACTGTCTACTGTTAATGTATTTCTGAGTGGTAGGAATCGAGTAAAAGGGACACTGTGCCGATCCGGGGAATTTCTGGATGTCAGTGACACTGGAATTCCATGGTGAGAGGAAAGGAAACGTGTGTATCCATCAGCCAGCAGCAGCTCTCTGAATGAGCAGTCAGACTCCTCATATACACCCTAAAAGAGATATCAAAAGTAGAGTCGTTAAGAGAAAGAAACAAAAATGTAATATTTCAATTAATTTAAATTCTCATACAGCTTACCTGCCCCCTCAAATGACCCCCATCATTAATGCAGAGAAACAGGGATGATGACCGTCCTTTAATGACAACATGACCTGGTTTAACGGATTTTAACTGAAGCACACCTAGAAAAAGAAAAAAGATCTCAGTTTTAGGGAGCTCAGAACAATCACTTCTTAATTTGGTCGCTTTAATGCCATTTGATTTAAGTTGATCAACTAAATACTGACTGTAAGGTGTCTTCACAAGACTTCCTCTCACTCCTCCATCAGAGCTTATCTGGAGATACATCCCACGTCTGTGATTTTCTGCAATAAGAATCGCAGAGAGAAAAAGTTAGAATTGTGAAAGTTTTAGGACTAACATAAATCTCATCAGTATTCCCTTTTTTAAAGTAATCACTGATTGAAAGGACAAAAAATGGAATAAAAAGAAAATTATATTTACCAGTATAGAGATGCACCTCTCTGACCTGGTTGTCAAAGGACAAAATTGGGTTTGAGTCAGGGAGAAAAAACGATAGCGAAAAAGGTAGTGGAATAATTAAAAAAACAGAAGAGAGGAAAGGAAAAAAATTCTTAGAAAACGCAAACATCTTCGAAGGCAGATACGGCATAAATAAATAAAGAATAAATACAAATAAATAGGTCACCAAAATAATACAAAATTCAATAAATAAAAATAAATATAAAAATACACTGCGCCAGACAACCAACTTCTGAACTGGAGGAAGTTTGGCTGTCTTATAAATGAGCGAAAGAAGCGAGGAGAAGGAGGTCCTTCTTCATGAGAAGTATGAGTCAGGCATTTCTCTAAACCCTCAACAGTGATTGAGGGGTTTAGAGGAAGACCTGTGTTGTCTCACTATTGAAGAGTATCTCAGTGTTGTTTATAATCAGAGATGCTCATAAACTTGTGTTTTTTGACTCCCAGTTCTTCGGAATTGTAAGAAATTCTTCTGAATCCCTACATGTGTACCAGTGTAACTGTATCAGTTTTATGTGGCACAGGGATTTCCAGTGTTTAACCCATTCTGTTTATTTTAGCTTTTAACGTTTTACATGTTTTCTTAATTGGATATATTTCAATGTTTTTACTTATAGTTCAGTTTAATTAAAGCAATATTCCCAACATATGCAGCATATCTGAATATTGCACTGTCATTGTTTAGTTTAAAATGTTTAATACACAAGATGCCTCTGAGTAACTCCACCCAATCCCCGCCCTCTGCAATGATACTTTGACCTGTGCACGCAACGCCGTTTACAGTAACCGTGCGTGCTTTCCATTCTGTCCTCAGCTTGGAAAAATAAAACAAATTTCCCCACAGACAGAAGATGCAACACAAAGGCAGCTTCCCTGCGTCATTTGCAGCATAAACGACGGCAAATAATCAAGAGTGGAGGTGACAAAGTCTGTTTTGGATTTTATAGTGTTTATCTTATTTTGACTTATGGAGGTTTAAGAGAGAAGAAGAAGAAGGAAGGAGTGGGAGAAACTGATTTACAAGTACATGGAGTGTTTACGGGACTGCAGCTGTTCAGTCACCGGAAAGAGGCTCTACGTCAGACTGTAAAGTCGCCAGTTTGGAAACACTGCCCGTCATCAATGAGAAATTTTTCAGATTTCATCTCCACCTCTTTCATGACTCACACACGCACACAAGCTCTCTCCATCTAATTATTTATGAGTTACCTGGGTTATTTGATGTAATGTTAAAAGGAAAATATTGTCCCTTTTCTAGTTCTTATAGGATTTCTGATACGCAACATGTTTTCAATGCGGTGCACTTATTCTGATTACATAGAACTTTTTCAGTGAGTGACAGGTTGCTGGCAGGTTGACATTAGAAAGCAGAACATTGTGGTTCTGCATTGCCTTGCTGAAATGGTGAAGATCCTTGCCTTAGATTTGTACATGTTACCTATGTACTGGTTTGTATTGAGTGTTAATAAATAGGCAACACAACTAGCTTTATGAATATGGAATTGGGCACCTTTCAAAATTACATACTTAAACGAGGTTATTTTAATTTAGCCTGTTTCACAAAATGTTATAGATCAATATTTGGGATTTGAAATTAATTCTGATGCTGAAAGTTTGACTTTGCACAAAAGAGTATAAGAGTGATCATCACAATCAGTGACCTTAACATTCAGCAATGTTAATTCTGTGTTTCTTTTTTTTTTTTTTTTACAACTCCACCAATAGTTTAATAAAGTTACTTTTACTTACCTGTGTCACCATCCTGTCAGTCTGCCACGAACTTGCAAAATCACTCCTTCACTCCCATGTTACAGGTATGTTTTTTTAATTACAGCTTTTACAATCATAATTATTATTGTTGTCATATGATATTCAATTATCATCACTACTCTCCAATAATATTAATTGAAATCATAACACAATTTGTTTTTCAAAATGTACACATACAAGTAGCATATCTTAAATGTCCATAATTTGAAACATATTTCCTTTGTCAACCTCAAATGAAATTACAGTCAGTCTTAAAACTATGTATGAAATGAACATACAGTTTAATACACACACATACATACTGTACATACATACATACAATAGCAGTTATCATAAAAAAATGATAAAAATAAAATACACACATTTTACAACGCCCTGACCCAAGCTTTCACATAAGCTTTCACATCATTAGATGGCTGATATCATGACGTTCACTCTAAAATGGTTGTTTTTGGCATGCATATTAACACAAATGCTCCCTAACTAAACTCTTTTTTTTACCCCAGTTTGAACAGGAATTTGTCATAAAGCACTTTGCCAACTGTGTCGTCATCGGTCCTATTCACATTTGTGCATCTTTTCTATGTTATGGCTTTAGAACATACATTTAATTTCCCCACTGGACACCAGCATTCTCCACTTGACGCTTGCTCTCTGCAGACTGTCCTGTATTGGGACGTGTTTAGGCAGAGTATGTTCTCAGAGTCCTACTAGCTGAAATGCAGTGTGTCACTCTCTTGATCTGATTACGAATACATTTTCCAGTTTAAAAATGATAAATCAATTGTGTCCATATTGCCATTTCACACTCAGAAACCAACAATGAATTCACAATAGGCAATGGTCATTTTCTACAGGCCACTTTCTACAGAATCAAACAGCATCATGCCACAACTATGGATCAAGATGGGGAGAAAGAGACAGAGAGATAGAAAGAGAAAATAATGGATAAACAGACATTCACTCATTATTTGACCATATTTTCAGAAACCATTCACTCAGGGTCTGATTATTTTGGGACACATGGCTCGAATGGTGGTCATCTTCTAAAGTCTGTTTTTGGATTTTATTCCTCATGTTTTTTTTTTCAAAAATGTGTCGTTTTTTTTTCTCGGGTTAGGTCTGTAAAAGAAAAACAAAATCACATTTTAGGAAGAACTGACCTGATGTACATTGACAGATTTGAAAAGGGTGCAGATATTTTTCTAACCTGGTGTGCTTATCTTTAGCAGGAATATGTTCTCACGGACCCCGACTCTCCTCGTGGACCAGAGTTTACTGACACAGGGAATACCAGAGTTAGCAAACTTTGTTAAAGAAACACTCAAAAGATCTCTGCTTGATGAGGTAACAGAAAACTCTGATCTATCTTTGGATGGTTTTGCTACTAAAAAAGTTTGTATTGCATATTGACTTTATAGTTACTCTTGACTTGAACAGAACACTTTCCAAAAATAGAAGCACAGACAAGAATTCAATTCTCAGTTTATACGTCATCTCCTCACACCTGCTTAGATAAATTGCCAACTTGAAGACAGATGTGAATCCTGGACATTTTTGCTTTGGAGTAATTTTGATCTGATATAAATAGTGTTTTATCACCAGTTCCACCTAGGCTACACAAGGGTGTTCCTGGTTCCTGTGCCTCCTTGTTATAGCTCCTTCTTGTTCAATTGCCTCGGCTGTAGCGCCTACTGGAACCAGTCAACTGTTTCCTTTATTTTCATTTCATACATTCTTCCCACACATTTTGACATAATCAAATAATTCTTCTTTCTCATAAAACAAAACTGTCTTCGACAGATCAAATGGTAGCTAAACCAGAGATCTGTGTCACTCTTCTTTTACTAACTTTGTATAATTTGCATGACCTGCATTCTGTAGCATCTCCTACTGTTGTATATGTCACTTTGCTGGCATTAAGTATCTTAAAATTCAGGACACACATTGCTTTGTGAGAAATCTCAAAGCTGTAATTATCCACTGCACAGAGCCTGATCCTTGCAGCCCGGCTGGCATGCTCACTGGGCACTGATGATCCTTACCTTCACTCTGGACTTTTCTTAATGTGACAGACGGAGTTGAGATGGCGGAGGCACGGAAGTTAGCAGGTAATGTTTCTGAGGAATCAGAGGTCACACCACGGAGGTCCTTCTCTCGGAACATCTTCCTCCATGATGGTGACCGTGTAAATGTTTTTGTGCCATCCTGCTGATTCACAAAATAATGTCTGTGATTACAGTGCATTTGCAGCAGATGCCATTAAGGCTGTCTATTAGTTGGCGTTAAAAAACTATCATTTAAGTGAGCTTTGTTGTGACAATATCACACAGATACACAATTTTTGGGTGCACATGCTCTTACTAAACAATTAGCATCCATGTAAACACAGCTGAACCACCATCCTGCCAACAGCTTGCTAGCAGATGCATGTGACCTTGTTAATTGTGCCTAAAAGAGACATGCTGTTGACTGTTATGTTATCTCAGAGAGGATATGCGTTTGTTATTATACATCTCTAACAAAGGGCAGAATTTGACGAGTTTGAAACAAAGGCCTTGTCATCCAGTGAAATAGTACTAATTGGGCCGGTTTCAATCGACACACACTTCCATTCTCAAGATGGAGAAGATTATTTTGACGAATTTTCTTCAGACATTTGGCTTTGTCATACCTCATCAGGCCTCCTTTCTGTTCCCATGGAGATGAGAGCATTGTATTCCTTCTCTAAGACCTGCCTTGCCTGCAAAAGATGCACAGGAGTTAGAAGGCTGCAGAGACGTAACAAGCGTTTGGTATTTATGAGAAAGGACGGTCTCAGAAAACACATTTCTGTCAAAAGCTAAAACACAGACAGCGCTCTGATGGAGCCAAATTGCAGTAAAGATTCAGTAAAGCCGAGCACCTGTGTGTTCTGGTTTGGTATCTGAAGAAGCAGGGCTAAGTCAGTATAGTCGAAAGTGTCGTCTAGCGCCAGCAAAGCTCCGTGGACACCGCTTTCTAACAGGTTGTCTGCAAACTCTTTAAGACCAATGGACTGTACCCAGCACATGACGCGCTCATTGGACCACACCATAACATCTGTGAAGACACGTAGTACGATGTGAAAATACTAACGGACGTAACAAGACAAAAAATGCTTTGAAATATCGTGTAAAGGCAAGAGTTGAACATTATCCACAGACTTTACCTTGATTCTGGTGCTGACTTTCATCCCTCCTTCTCTCAAGCTCCTTCCTGTCATAGTTCAAACGCTTTAAGCACATGATACCATAGTGAAGACTCACCCTGTATGTGGGATAAACAGATGAGTTAAATACTCTCATGGTTGTTGTCAAAGATTTGAGAAAAGCTTCACCATGTAGAGGGGATGCAGACAGGAACACATAAGCTATTGTATCTGATGATGATATGGAGTGAATCTGCCTTTTGCACCTGTGGAAACTGTCCACCATCTTCAGCTGGCCTCTCAGTTCTTTCTTAGTGAGGTGATCAAGCATGCGAGCATCTACCAGCGACTCCATGAAATATGAGCGGTACTGGGGCAAACCGAGACTGGGCAGCCATTCATTTCCCACCCACTCGTGGTTCATGTCTCCGTAGGCCAGGATCTGGAGGACAGAAAGTTGAGGGAGGTTTACCTTTAGCTGTTTCTCCTTACTGAACGCTTTTTATAAACTCCAGTGTTATGTATACACTGCGGCCCAAGCGCAGTACAGCTGAAAGCACTGCCGTTAATGGAAAATAAGATTTACATTTAAAGTTAAGATAGTGTGACCTCCGTTTCTAAGAGAGGGTTAAGCAATTATGTTGTGTCATGCTCTCTAAAAAGACAAAGGTGTCTGGAGGAATTGCATGATTCCCATATGAATCCCCAATTTAAAAGTGTTTCTAAGCACTTTTTAAAGACATTAATTACAAATATCCACCTGATCTAATCTTTTTCTATCCTCTTCGTTTCATTGTATCTTCATAACAAAAGTCTACTTGGCAACTTAATAATGGGAGAAAGTATTTGGAGTTTGCGTTGTGTTTGCATTTCACTTGTGTGTTCTAAGATTCTCACCTGATCCCAGCTGAACTCTTTCTGCTCCTTTGGGTTCAGCCAGAGAAGGAGGTGAAGAGAGAGGGGGAAGAGAGTTCAAAGAGTGGGAAAGATCACCAGGAAAGAGTAGGTTGGAGTGTGTGTGTGTTTGTGTGTGTTATGGTGAATCATTGCAACGACAGAATGGAAAGGGGAGAGGAAAGGCAGAAGGAGGAAAAGCCTTGTTAGTGAGTGAAAATTAGTTTGGAGAAACACGGCTTCAAAACAGATTTTTAGGGAATAGCAAGGGAAAGGTGAGGCCAAACATGCCTAATCAGAGACAAAGAAAAAGAAAAAAAACTTGTCAAAGTGAAAGATTTACTCATGTTGCTCATGTTAAAATAAATAATGCTTTTATAAAAACTGCCTTAACTTTTTATATTAAATTGCAGCAAGTGCTGTAACAAAAAATAAGTCGAGATGATTAAAGATGGGTTATATCTTTAGCTATTAAATGCAATATAATCCTCAGTCTTACTGGTTTGGTGGCAGCAGTGAGAGACTCCATCTCCGCATGTGTCATCCATATATTACTGGTAGACTGCAATGACAGACATTCAAAGACTTGAGAGCGTGTGGCAGTATCGAACACGAGGTTCTATCTTGTTTTCACTCAGCCTTACAGAGCGAGTGCTTGCGGGCGCGGACGGACTCGTGAGGGACACCATTTCCTGGATGGCCAGGCGGAGTTTGAGCCTGTGCAAAGGGTTGCTGATACCAATCTCCCTCTGAATCTCTGTGTCGGACAGGTTGGCCATAATGGCGCCACTCTTGACGTTAGCACGGCAGGCTGCTACATACCATGCAGGCATCCCTACCCACAGCTGTAAAAAGCAAAAGGGTAGTGTGAAAGGTGCAGATGTGGAAAACTTTAAGTTGATTAAGAGCAAGAATTGACTAAAAAACTGAAATTTATCTGTGAAAATTTAGAAGAATGTACCTCCAGCCATGTGACTACTGTGGGGCCATCCCAAGAGGCAAAAGGCAGACCCTGACGACATGCTTCCTCCAACAAGTCATGCCTGGCAAGAAGAGTGGAAAACAAGAGTTTTACAGAGATTCTTTCCTTTATATCTCACCTCTTTGAACACATGATGTTAAATACCAAAATTGTGCCTCACAGTGTGACAAAAGGCGGCTTTTCAAATTTTTTTTCCTTACTGGTATCATTGGATTAAAAACACAAGTCTGGTTATTTTCACCTGAGCGTGTTGTTTATACTGTCGCCTACTAAAGTATTCACAGACCTTTATAATATGAAACATGTGCAAAAAGATGACTAATCTCACTTCTTTTTGCTGCGCCGATCTTTTTCCACTGTACCAGTCCCAATTTTAGCTAAGCCTAACGGGTCAGCTGAGCCCAGGTCATCAGAGGGAGTGGAGGCTGTAAAGAGGACACTTTTCGTTAGTATCAGCCTTGGCGTTACTAACATTAATATTTCACTTGGACGACAAAAAGCATTTTCAGTGAGTAGACTCCCATCTGTCCACAGACCTAATGAGGCAGATTCACGTCCAGGTGCACCGATTCTTCCCTTTTCTTTTTTGCCAAAGAGACGTCCAATAGAGGACTTAATGCTTTTCTTTTTGCTGGCTTTGTGGAGGGAATCCTGGCTGGCTGTGGTAGCACCATCAGCAGAAAGGCTGGACAAAAAGAGGGAGGAAAATAGTTAAATCAACATGGACACTGGTTTTGTGTCGTAGAACCAATTTACAGAGACCCCTCTCTTTTAGAGGCCCTACCTGCGAAATTCACGGTGGTCGTCGAGGCCGGCCCCTGGGTGGGTGTGTGTCATTCTGTCCAACCGTAGAGCCCGAGGAACAGCCGGAGGGTTGGAATCAATAAGTGCAAGTGCTCTGCATTCCTCTCCATCTTTGCTGTTCTGTGGGATAAAAAATATACAACAGATTTACTAAGTGGACCTCACTTTGATGTCAAATGTAATAGTACATGAGCTGAAATGTGTCACCTGTCTATCACTCTCCCGCGCAGGTGAGTGAGGCAGGTGGGGGGTGGAATGTCCAGAGCTGGGTGGCGAGGGAGAGGCCAGTGTAGAGGAGGTGATGGAGGGAGTCATATATCCCCTCCCAATGCTGTCCCGTCCTCCCAGTGAAGAGGGTGGAAGAGGTGGGGCATCAAGGGCTACGCTGCTAACCCGACTCTCTATCTCCTCTGCCCTCATTTCTGTGCTCTCCTTCTCCTCCTGAATCAGCCTGAGATGAGAGAAAAGAAGTAATTGTTCTTACTTGTTGCCCGAACAAACTCACATTAGAGATGTTTCATAAACAACTCTGCTTACTTAATTTCCTTGTTAATGGCCTCCAGTTGCTCCTGTAGCATGATGGCCAAAGTCTGTACATCTGTCTGTCCACTGGGAGAAAGTAACTCGGATCCAAACAGAGTCTCCCTGTCATCCTCGTCATCAGAGCCGCCTCCCTCCATGCCGCCCTCGTACCCTGGAGCCAGCATAGTGCCGCTGTCCCACTCTCCATACTGATAAAGAGAAGGAAAATTACGTTTTATGTGTAAGGAAAAAAAACAACTATACCCTATCTACATGGTAATCATCAGCTATTTTAGGCTGCGGTGAACACCTTGTTGCCGTCGTCCCGAGCAGGCCCCCAGCGGCCCCGGTGTGCCCGCCTGACCACAACCCCACTGGATGAGCTGCCGTAGCCTGCAGGGAGCGAGCCGCTACCCTGAGGGTACCGCAGCTCTGAGGCACTCCCTGGGAGAGATCTTCGAAATAGGGTGGAGGGAAGTGAGCTCACGCTGCCCGCCCTGAAATGAGATCCAGAATTAGTGGGTTAAGCACCGATACTTGAAAATCATATTGCTCCCATTTCCTGTTTGAGAGCTTAAAACGATGGTCTCTCTTTAAAACAAACATGGTTTTTATTGTGCCATCCATGTAAATAAGTCATGAATTTATAATCCGCATATTTGTCTGCCAGAAGAATTCCCTTCAGGAAAACAGTAATATTGAATTTAGAAAACAGAGTTCACTGAACAAACATTAGAGGGGGGGGTGTAAGTACAAGTTCACACAGAAGACGAGAGGATATCGGATCCCTTGGGTTTAACAGATATATTCATGATTTTTTTTGTCTATTATGTAAATACGTCTCTGGCTAACCTGGAATATGAAGAGCCAGGCCTGCCTCTGAGCTGATCCAGCTCCAGCTGGACTCGCTCAAGCTCAGCGATTAGCTGCTCCTGTGACACACAGTTCATAGTCTGTTATTACCTCCAAGTGTGTGATGAGTGATGAATGCACGATTAACATGTCTGAGTGAATACCTTATTAGCAAGTAGATCATCTTGGATTTTCTTCATATTTGACAGCTCCTCAGAAAGAGCATTCTGCCAGAGAGAGAACATTGGGAATTGTTGTCACTTTCTTGACAGTTTTCAAAACATATTTTGAATGTAATTTGTTTCCTGGTCACCTTCTCCTCTAGTGCTGCCATTCTCTCTTTGAGGTGGAGCTGAAGTCTCTCATTGGACTCCGACAGAAGCTTGTCCACTGTATCTGAGAGGCGTTTGTTGTGTTCGTCATTCATCTTCTCTCTCTGCCTTGCCTGATATGAAACCACAATAGAAGCCACTGGCATAGAGGAACAATGTACGGACAATAAAGGATGTAGTAAAGTAGGGGAAAATAAACCATGTTACCCTTTGAAGCTCTTGGTTCTTCTCCTCCAGTTGGGCCTCCATTTGCCGTAGCCTCTCTTCAAAGTTTCCATGGCGCTCCTCTGCCTAATGACATTAAACTTGAGGATATCAAACGCTTGTATTTGATGCATAAATAATCTAATGATGGCAGTATTATATGTCTATCCTCGTTATCTTACAAAGCACTTTGTGTCTTAAGTACGCCTGTTTAAAAGTACCTTGTTGAGGGCAGCCACTCTTTGTGCAAGCTGGGCCTCGATTTCAGGCAATGTCTCAGCCCTCTGCAGGGTCTGCTGGAGTTTCTGCTTAGCCTCGTCCAGACGTTCCTGCAACTGTCTGTTCTTCTCTTCACCCTGGACACACAGAGGCAGGTAAGTGTTTACAAGCTCTGCAGCGGGAAACCCTTGAGATTCATTTTAACATGTGACTTCAAACACAGTAAAGCTGAGTCATTTAATCACAACTACGGCAAGGTATTGAAGACAGACTTTACTTGTCTGTACAGGGAGTCCTTGCTAGCCAGCTCATTTTCCAACTTGTCTTTGATGTCATGGAGGGAGGTCGCCTCCCTCTGGGCACTGAGATACCTACAAACAACACAGCACATGTAAAATTGTGTACCTTTAATTGAAATGGCACCAAATGCACTGATTTTGGCAGTTAGTCATCCTGGATACCCAGCATAGAAATAATTTTTTTGAAGTTTTGAATGACGCACCTTTTGGGTCTCTACTTTCGCTAAAGAATCTAACAAACGTAATATCTCTCTGCATACTGAGTACGGCTCTAATCCAATGGGACGTGTGTTAAAATGCACTGACATGAACAGATGCATTCTTAATTTGAGTTAAATGCAAATATCATTAACAAGTTCAGAGGGCATGAAGAGGTGTCAAAACACATTTGCAACACATTGCCAACCAATAGGTGCAACATATGGTCCTTTTGCTATATATATTTTAGAGTTAGTGATTGGAACTCAAACTAAAGGCACTCCATTCTGGATTTAAATGTATTCACAGAGCTGAGAATACAGCAAAGATTACCTCCTTTCTAGTGTTGTAATTCGTTCCTCCATGTCTTCTCTTTGGCAAAGAGCCTGAAAAAGGCAGCAACAACATAGAGAAACAAAATAATATGCAGCTTTGTTGTGTAACTTAATTTTCCTTATTATACAGCTTTGAAAACTGATGGCTGGGAAAGAGATATTATAAATATGCAAACAGGCCATTTTAATGCTGCAGAGTTGTATCTACTTATTTGTATCATTGATTTGTGCATCTAAAAATATATGCCTGTTGAATCTTAGTTACTTTCACTGTCATAGAAATTCACAATAGTACATTTTAGTTAAATATAGTCTTTAAACCCCTGGTGCAGAAATAGCTCAGGGTCTTGGCTAAAAGAGACAAATTGATCCAACAGACCTCCTTCACTTCCCTTTGGAGCTTCTGATTGGCCTCCTCTGACTTCGTCACCTCCCTCCTGGCGGCTGCAAGCTGTTCCTCTATTTCCCCAACCTGATGTGACACCATTGAGGGAGATGAGAATACATAGATTGCGTGAGTTCATGTTAACTTCTACAGCACCAAATGCAAATAGAAGAAAACCACACCTGATAAAGTGATTGTACCACACGACAACTCTCACATTTTCTAAAACCTAATGACTACATGGTCCGACACATCTGAAACTGAAATTGTGTGTCTTTCCAATCTGACAGCAGCTTCTTACAGCAGCTGCAACAGTGTAACCAGCCACCAGAGGGTACAAGGGGACAATAAGATGCACGGCTTATAGTTTTACAACTCTTAAATCAAACAATAACGCAGAAAGAACCATGCTATATGAACCATTAACTATGCCGATATAGAAATGCTTTATGAGTTGCTATAATAGTCCGTCATAGTTATTCAAACTAAAATAGATTATATGAATAAATTAGGGTAGAGATTTCATGAGTGTGGAAACTTTTATACCCCTTCAAAAAGAATTGAAGCTCATATAGGTTCTAACCAAGGCAGATGTACCGGATAACTCACCTGCCGGCACATAAGGGCCAGCCTTTCTCGCAGCTGTGAGAGTTCAACCCTCTGTCGCTCTATTTCCCCTTCTCTCTGCCTTTCCAGCTCCCCATCCTCAAGGCCAGATGAGGGCCCATTAGGTAGCCGCTGAAATGATGAATATCAAAAGAATGAGAGTGATAAAGAAAAATAATCAGTTAGTATTTGCAACAAACTTCAAAAGAGTTAAAAAAAAAGCACAGTGACACACCACGGAACCCAAAAATCTACTTTTCTAACACACACAGAAAAACAACTGGAACCAACATGCATAAACCCTCCCTTACATCTTTCCCGCCGTCCACCCCTTGTTGACGTCTTTTAATTTGGTCTCTTAAAGAGATTACCTGAAAAGAAGACACAAATGGACAGAGAAGTTAAATGAATATTATCTTCACACAAAGGCATTATGCATTTGTTGAGATGAAGGAGTTCTTTAACGATCAGACTGTACCTCTTGAGAAGATGCTGCAAGTTGATCCTCTAACAAGGATACCCTCTCGAGGGCCACACGGAGCCTCTCTCGAACCTGAGGGTGTCAGCAACAAGTGACAGACTGAGTTAATCGACTATTGAGATTAGCATTTCAATTGTGTGCTTAAACTTGTGTGTGATTACATATTAAAACTGACTGAGTGCTGTTTAGATCAAACAACCACATATACACATTTTCAAAATGTAAAACACCCATTTATGTAAGTAACAAACTGTATCCTAAGCAGGTTTCACTTTTTCCACATAGCTAGCCTCTGACAATCCATCGCTAAGGTAAACATGTTTTAGTTGTTGTGGGAAAAAGTATATTTGTGAAAGGCAAGTACCTCCCTACCTTGGTCAGCATTAGTCTTTCTGCTTCCTATGTAACACCATCATTATTGAAATCATTTTTTAATTTATATGATCAATTTTTGTTATTGTTTTTGTGGTAGTTGTACTTGCTGAACAGACATACCAGCATAGTTTTAGCAGTGGCCATTATTGTGGTTTAGGGATGGCTGACAGTGTGAACTCATCACAGTCCAGCGCTTGTGCACATTTAATCATAGAGTGAAGGCCTGTTCTTTCACTGGCCTTTTTTTCTCTCTTCTACTCATGAAAGCTGTTCTGTATGGTCGCGGGGCAGAAATGTTCTGCTGCAAGGATACACACTGTTCTTCCCACTCAAAACACACCTGGGTTGTGTCCAAAATCCCTCACGACTCACGATACACCAGACTGCATTTTGAACTCTCCCTTTTACAGCACTCGCTGAAGGTAGAGCAAGACCTTATGTACCTAATATAGCAGTCTCCTTAACCTTAGAATATATGGCCACTAACTCATCAAGAAGACACTAAAATGCCTCAGGCATAAGAAAAAAGACTTGTAAGGAAGCAGATCTAGATTTAGATTATATGACCACAATTTATTATTCCTGTTCCATTATGCAAATGCATTTTTTCTATGTCATAACAGATTGAATACTTTTTATATGGATAAAGAGCTGAGTTGTAGCATAACAACCCAGAATTACATTCAACATATATACTGCTAAAATTGCTATAAAATCCACATTGTATCTATTATTAAATTTACAATACAGTATTATAAAACAATCATTATCAAAAAAGTGTGTAATGAAATCAACCAGGAGGATTATAATGTGAAACATCATATAAACACCATAGGAAAGTATGTGAATAGTGAGAAAATCATTTTTTCCCTCTACCGCAAACAACCTATTAAGTATTTGGTCGTAATTAGTGAGTGAGTGAGTGATTTTGAACACAGCCCTATTTTTTCTCTCAATGGTTTTAATCAAAGAAATACCATCTAATATCTCACTGCTGTCCAAACTATCACAAAAAGATATTTAAGAAAATGCTGGTTGGTTATCAGTGATGAATATTTGGGATCAGCTCGACTTCTTACACTCGACTGCCTTGTTTGCTAGTCATAGACTTTGGTGGGTGTTTTATTTTAGGTGAGAGTACAACTCAAAGTGGGGCAACAGCAGACAATTTTCTGGAAGATACTTCAGATTATAAAGATAATCTAATTATGAGAATTGTTGCTAATGGCTGATATTGTTGACCTACCTTCTCATCCAGAGCTTTGTGGTGCTCAAACAGGGATTTGAGAGCCTTAAGAACTTCCACCTCACTAGAAACTCCTGCAGGGGACTGGACTTGCCTCTTCACCACTGTCATCCTCAAGCTGCGCTCATGGCGAGACACTAGACACTCCAGGTGTTCCAGGAGCAGCTATGGGATTGAGTGGATTAAAATGGGAGAGTGAATGAGTGGGAGAGACAGCAATGAGAAAATGTTGATGCGAAAAAGAGGGTTTAAAGAAAAGATTCAGCTGAAGCAGCGTCAGACCTATATAAAGGCAATGGGTGAGGACGATAACTGTTACAGTGTGAATAGGCAAAATGGCTGCTAAACATCTTACACGTGTGTTGTTTCTCTCCGCCTTGAGCTCTGCAATTTCTTCCTCCCTCTCTAGAAGCTGCTCCCGGCAAACGTTCAGTTCTTTAGTCAACACAGCAAACTCCTGTGGAATACACAAGCTGCGTTTAGGGGTAAGAAAACAAACCGTCTGAATGTATGTTATTAATACTCAATGTGTTGTCTGCACGGCCAGCAAAGCGGCTATGAGAGCTACAAATACATACAAATTCATTCAGATAACAAAAGCCTGCTCTTCTGCGTATTTGATACAATGTGTTGCTTTAAATAAAAACATACAAAAAGTTGCCAAATAGCCATCCACATAGCCAAAGGCTTCCAGAAGATGCTTTGTGAAACACCTAAGACGATGAACGCGGGAGGATGCACATGATGTAAACCTTCATAAGAATCATATGAATAACTGACACAGTTTCCACCACCACCCTCTCTTGCTCATCCTCCTCTGTGAACTCTTATTCATGGATGGATTACATCACACTGTTACACAATGGCTCAGCACTAGAATGCACAAGAGAGACCCCAAAAACAAAGTGTCAATAAAGCGCTCATGAAATAGCTGGAAACGCATCAGCAACTCCTGAGAACTAAACCGGAGATTTGGTCGTATTCTATTAGCTTTCAAGAAATACTAAGCCTTTGCAATCCATGGTCAGTGATGCCTTTATTTTCATAAGAGACATCCGAGTCTTCACTCGTATGCAGAAGCTCTTTATGAAAATGATGGTAATGTTGCAGATGTTTAATAATTTCAGCATTTAAAAAAGCAGAGAAAAGACCCGTTAAAAGTGTGTTTTAAAGCAGAGATTGAGAGAGAGGGAGAGAGAGACAGAAAGAGAGATCTACACAGATGGTAACACAGTAGGTTCATTGGCTCTTGGGCTTATGGGATTGTTTCTTGTTTGGATGGGGGTCAGCTTCTCAGCTGGCTTCCCTTGTCCCCTTGTCATTTATTTTCGATTCATCTCACTGCTTCTGTAAGGCACAGTTTACATTTATTTCAGTGAATCTGCCATTGCGCGTGACAACATGCATATAGTTACACAATGTTACAACATTCCCCCGACGTCGTATGTAAGTAGAACACAATTCAAAGGTGTAGCTCTTTAACAAGCAGAGTCGTGTAAAGCTGCATCATACTTTGGTCAAGAAGTAACTTTTCCAATGAATTGTTCTGTCTTCAAAGGTTTCAGAAAACGTCTGATAACACAGAAACTGCCTCAATTTTTCAATTTAGTCAGTCTTTTTTCAGTTCTCAAAAAATATCAAAACCCATCTGTGGCTATGTTTAAATGAGGATACACCATAAAATCATGTAAGCCTTTTACCTATAGTTGTTTATAAACCATAGGCAGCTTAGTTGCTGTGATCATTTCTTTTGCAAGAAGACTAACCTCCTTTTTCAGGACTACCATGATGACACATCCCACAAGTGTGATGTCATCTTCGGGGAACATTTGGCTTTTCACTCACATGGCATCTGTTACAGACACTGAGGCAATGCTATTCAAGTCAATTGGCTCCTATACACCAAACCGACGTCAAGAACCAGGAGACACGAAGGGGGCCTCTGCTGGATTTTCCTCGTGTCACCGGTGTCTGGGCAAACAAGGAGCTCTCAACCAGGCAAGCCAACTGCCAGCTAGTATGCATCATCTCCTTTGGTGCTGGAGGGTTACAGGACGTAACCCTTCAGGACCAAAATGGGACAGTCTTTTTACAATAGTAAATGCTGTGTAGATGAGGCGTTTACAAAAATAAGTAATGGTTTATCACATTATTGACAACTCACTTAAATAGCTCGTCCAAACTTTAACAGAGCAGGGCCATCGGCTGTTGGCTGACAAGTGATATTGAGAAACTGCAAAAAAATATGCATTTTCCAGCAACACTGACCACCCAATCAGAATGATCTCTCACTGAGTATGATCCAGAGGTGCTGACATGGAATTCCACACAGAAAAGGTTCTCCAAATCTCACGATATTCACAATGGTAAATTGCTGACTTAACAAACTGCCTGACACTTACACGAGCAGGTTAAACTGTATGTTGACACACTTGAGCAAGACAAAACCGGGCGAACTTGGTCTGGTTAATTAATCTGACACATCTTTCAAAGGGAGGTGAGGGAGAATTTCAAGGGACCTCTCATGCCTGTGTTATACAGACATATGGATACTCAGATTTGTTCCAGCAAAAATAGATAAATATACAATTCACATATTTCCCTTTTTTTTTGTTTTTATGCAGTTTTACACAGTATTCCGCATGGGCTAAATATTAATGTGCTCTCAGCCGAACAAATATTACCTTCCATGGTCCTTAATCATTCACTAACAGTGTCATTAAGAAATATAATGAAATGTCATTATTTTTTTTGACAGTGATGGACAGTTTACAGATGCAACTTCAACCAGAGAGCCAAGAGACAACAGACGGTTGTAAATATAACTTCAGTGTCACAAGCTAAAGGTTCTTAAGGTGGGTTAAGTCACCACTGTCCATTTTGAGATGAGTCTTGCTCTGTGAACCATCGCTGCTAAAGCTTGCTGCCTTATGAGCTGACTTCAGAACAACACTTATTCATTTTGATGTGTGGTAGCAGAGAACATACACAGTAGACACCTAACAAAAGACACTCGTGACCACCACAGAAACATCACAATACGACAGATTTCTTATCAAACATGAAAGATAAACACTCACCTGTGGCAAAGCAATGGATAGCTGCCTCTGAAGCGACTCTTTTTCGTGGCCCAGCTCACGCAGGCGGAGCTGAGCTGTGCCCAGGGTGTCCTGTGTCTCCCTCAGGTTCTCCAGCAGCCGCTCCCTCTCTGTGAGCATGTTGACCATGAGAGACTCGAGGTTCCCCGTGCTGCCTCCTTCATCGCCTCCACCTCTGGGCTCTCTGCCGCTGAACCCTCCTCCGCCCATGGCACCTCCTGGGCCTCCGACCCCAGCTCCTGCAGGTGAAGAGGGGCCTCCACCGGTGCCGCTTCGCCCATCCTCAGAAATGGTGGGCATCACCTCGCACATCATCATGAGACCGTGGCGCGTGAGTGGAGTTAATGTTTGAAACTAAAAAGAGGGATTGTACGTGCAAAGTGTTTGTCGTCGTGCCCCAGGTTTTTATGAGCTAGTACTAAAAGTTTGATGTACAAAATATAAATGTTTACATCTTCAGTTTTCCAAAAATATCCCTTTATTCGTGTCTTTATCTACATCTTCATGTGTTTATTGCCTTTGTGTTTCCGCACTCTATGCTCACTTGTCTACCATCACAAAGTTCTAACGAACATGTTAATTGATAGGAATGTTTATGCGCTCTCTTGTTTTACAAAAAGAAGAGGTTGCTACAGAAATGCCCTGTTGTGGGTGGCTTGGATTGGCAAGGGTAGAGGAAGGGAGTTAGGTTATGGGGAAGAGAAGGATAAAGGAGGGTTGTGGATCCTAAATTGTGTCCACAAGGCAGATATCCTCACAGTGCCAGAGACAAGAGCTGGAAAACAGAGAAGACAGTGCATTAGACCCCTTAGTAAATTCCACTTTCTATTAACAAATATGGAAAGATGACTCAGTGAGTTTGAGTTGCTAGTTTGAAATGATGATGGGCTTAGGTTTACAGAACAGACAATAAAAAAAACTTTTCAACTAACATTAGAAAGAAAAAAAGACATAGTTTCCTTAGTGCATAATTTAGTCATGAAAGAAATAATGAGTCCCTGCTATTGCTGTAAACCTTCAGCCTTTACAGTTACAGGAAATTAAACGTTTCCTGTAGTACTCCTGCATTTTCAGAAATGAATTAAGAAGACAGGAAACAACTAATTTCTAAAGCAGTGCTCTAAACATTTGAAGGAAATACAAAGAGTTTGATTGAGAAAGTCATTACATTGAAACTTTTATCTGACTGTCAAATACGGCTACTAGTAAATAATATAAACTCAGCCAAAATATCCCAAAAAATTACATAGTTTATTTTTATCGAGACATTTTCCTCTGTTTCTCTTGTTTTTTACAGTTTGACATGTTTATGTAATTAAAAATACAGAGGAAACACAGTGGAGAGCAGAGTTTCTCTCTGTATTGTGGCACAGAAACCTATGTTTATGTCCAGGTAAAAATTAGTAAAGCGTTCCCTCAAAAAGACTTTACAGTAGATATTGTTCAGCATTAACGGTGCCTTCATGGAGGTGCAATATGATGTGCATCTATTGCAAACCTCTTGTGATCCACCTCATGAAAAACATTATCCCTTCAGAATTTATATGCAAAACATGGATGAAACATTCTCCTCCCAAACAAAATGAGGGCTTCACTGAACTTCATTATATAAACATACAGACATAATGTGTTTAGAGACATGATTATTAATTAAATAAAGAGGCCCAAGAGAAATAAAAACTATAATGGGGTCTGGGTAGAGCATGAGAATATATTTATGGAAGGCTTTTAGGACAATAATTAGCTTGCTGATAAATGAATCAGTATAGGACAGTTTGAGGAACAGCGACAGAGAGTCAACTGTAGAACCACCAACACAGTTTTCTTTAAATTGTTTGACATGCTTATTTTTACAGCATGACAAACTTCTCAATGTAAACTTTGTGTACAGTAATTTACTAAATTTAGTTTCTTTGTTTCTTGTATAATATCAATAATATAATCAGATCCTCCAAGTTATTTTACTACAAGTTGGTAGGCTATTTGTAATATCTGCTCAAACTCAAAGATAATTGAATATAATTTAGATTCATTTTTTGGATAAAAAACAAATGTTCTATACAATCTATTAGGTTTAATAACATACTTATTTACAGACCGTTGTAACCGACTTATTGTATAAAGATTATCAAGGAGTTACAAACAGGGGTTTCTGTTTTTTCCTTTCAGTTTTTCTTCCAGACTCCAGTGTGGTTTTGTTTGATTTTCTTAAATCACAGCACATACATTCAGCCTTTGATTTAGTAGGTAAAAGTTTCTTTCTAAATGCCCGGGGTAAACGTGAACAAAGTGAAGGTATGATAATTGTGAGATTTGACAAAGAGGCTGCAGAAAAGCTAAAATGTGAAATGCGGTGAACTAATCGAGTTTGAGCAGCTTTCTATTGTTACGTGGCCACAACTCTGAATTAGCTCGTCATGCTGGTTAGCTGGCTAGAGCACTTGGCAACTTTACTGTGTGTCCCAACAAAAAAAAACCCCATCTTATTCCCTTTTCTTTTCCTGCTTTGATGGACGATCAGTGAACTGAACAAAGCTGGCATGGAATGCCATTCCTTCAACCCCACAATGAGAATTCAGAGTTAAGAACAGCTTTGCATTCTCGGTCGCTTGGACGGGTCGAGGCACAGCTGTCACGTCATCATCATCACACTATTAGCAGATTGGTCAAGTAGAAACAGGGCAACAAATGTCAGACGGGAACTTTCAGGAGAGGAGGGCGGGCACCTAAATGTTACCCTGCTTTAGAGTGGGCAGACAACCTGTAGGGGCCATCACAACCACAGGTCTGCTAACCACAATAACAGTAAAAGTGTGGTCTACCTAATCTTATGCGTGTTCTTATAGCCTTGAGTTAGCCGATGATAATCATGATGCCTTTTGATGGCATTCTACCTCCCTGAAATCTACTTTACTCCAAATTATGGAGCGAGGCATTTGGTGATGGGCTGGCTACTTTGAGTGGCTGACTCATTTGTGTGTCAGTTGTTTTCCTCTTTCGAAGCACTTATGCCGATCATACTTGGCACCTTCAATCTTACAACATTTTCTTTTGGGGCTCTTTTACAGTACACAGACAATAAGTCTTGAATGTTGCTGCTTTTGAGTTACACTATTATCCACAAGTTTCCTCTTAATTTTAAAATATCTTTTAAGAAAAAACGTCAATGGCTTGGAATCATTTGATATATACCTTTACCTTAATTAACATTAAATACAGTAATATATATGCACGGTGGTGTGGTGGTTTGCACCATCGCCTCACAGCAAAAGGGTTCCCGGGGGGAACCAGAACCCTTCTGTGCAGAGTTTGCATGTTTTCCCTGTGTTTGCCAGCCTAAAACCTACATGTTTGGTTGATTGGACGTTCCAAAATTGGTGTGTGTGGGTGTTGTTTCTGTTCGGCCCCGTGTTGGACTGGTGGACCGTCCAGGGTGTACCCCACCTCTTGCCCATTGACTACTGGGATAGGCTCCAGCCCTCCCCGTGACCCCATTAGGGAATAAGCGGGTCCGAAAATGGGTGGATGGATAGAATAATATGAATTAAAACCCTTTGAACGATCCAGGTTTGCACACTTAAACACAGCAAAACTTTTCTGTCAGTAATTTCTACAATGCTGTACGATGAATTTGCATTGAACGAGAGAAATTATCCGATACAGGTAGAACATAAAGTTCAGTTGTGAGTTTGACAGGCTTCAGGATATGTTTATCACCGTGCATGGAACATGAATATAAACAGGGATGTACATAAAACATAACGTTCTTGGTTAATTCTCTTGCAGCCATGCCAATTGCTTTAGATAAAAGCACCAGCTAAATGTAGAAATATACCTCTAAAATGTAAAGCTTGAGATATGGTTATTATTGTGCAATAACATTACAGCTTCAGCATGCATTAATGCACAGAGTTCTTTAAAAAGCCATTAAATGATGGCCATAATGTATGGTAATGCAGAGCTGTATTTTCACACCTTCATTTGCATCACTGACATGACAGAGCTTGTGTGACAGAGTCGCTGATACAGACCAGTGTGCATGTGTGTGTATTCACACGTGATTCCATATCATTACTGCCTACACCACCACCATCACAGCCACACTGAACCCCTTAGTCTGGACAGGACAGATTGGCTTTACATTAGGGCTGCCTCACTTAGTAAGGGGCCATTTGGGCTGTGGATCTCAGAAAATCTTGCCTCAATCTAAAAAAAACGTGAACATGGAGAGCTTGAGGCCTGTTTTTTGTGCCACTTGACTGTAAGAAATAGAGAGTAGGGTTTAAATAAGCACTCCTCAATGGGGAGGGGAAGGGCTTAGGCTCACACAGCCGCCAACAGTTGAGAAGCTAAAAGGTGGCGGGGTCCCTATGTTAAATGGTCTTCTTAGAGAAAGAAAATGTGCACATTGGATCCGTTGATTGCATTTCAAAAGAGGCACAGAGGCTAATAATGAGCCAAAACATCTTCCCATCTACCCCCCACCCTCATGAAACGAAGTGCCCACAGGCCTTGAAATGCATCATTGGAATTGATAAGTGATATCGGAAGCTAGGTAGAGGGAATGAAAGCGGCGGGATCCGGACTAAATGCTATTATTTGTTGGACATCCACACTGCTTACTGGGCTAACAGAAAAATGACGACACTCTCCATCTGACAAGTCAACTAATCTATAGTTACACCTCCCTGTATGGATGGGGATGGATGAAAGACCATTTGATGATAAGCAAACACGGGCAGATATACATTCTTGTACTAGAAAATCCTGCAGCTGTGTGTTGAAGGTATCTAAGGATGGTCTCTTTGTGTTAAAAAAAAAAAAAAGACCAGCCGACAGGAGCGAGATGAACCCTGTGATGTTCAGCACACAAGACGAAGCATCATGTGAGGAGGATGGTCCCGAGATGGACTGATCGCATATTTCCAGTAAGGAAAATGCCATCTCCATAGGAAAAAAAAAAAAAAAAAGCAAACCCAAAGGGCCACTGACACCAGGAACTGGGTGGTTTGACTCCAGAGCTGCCAGCGGAAAAAGCGCTTATCGTTGCAAGACCTGATCAGCCACAAACACGACATTCTTGTTGCCCAATATACAGTGGCATCTTATAATAATCTTGCGAGGACCACCCCCCCGCCCTCTCCCCAGTAGCTATCACCTCGTTAACTGTATGCAAACGGGAGCGAGCGCGCGCGCCCTAAATAAATAGTATTGTGTGCTGCCAGCGCGTGACACGGACAAAGGCGCCCAGCCTCGCAAAAGGCCGTTTAATATCAGCCAGTTTCTATCGTTTCTAACAGACCCTTCCAAACACACGCACACATAAACAACAGCATACACCGTCGCGCGCGCGCGCGCACGCTCGCACACAGCGCCCTAACACCCCCACCCCATCGCTGACAGCACGGCGTTAGGTATCCTACATGTTATTACACGCTTACACACGCACGCGTCAATTCATCGAACCCACGATGCGTGCGTCCAGATTTCTATTATTCTGCAATGTCTATTTTTCTTGTTTTTTTTTATCTCTGAGAGGAAACTGGGTTGAGATGGGGCGGTGTGAAGTTGCATCCTTACCACAGTCATCGGGGGGAGCCTGTAGTGTCCATGTTTGATGTTAAAAATCCCTCATTCGTCCATCTCTGCGGATCCTGCCTCAATGTGCATGCCCCTCATCCAAAACGGGAGCACCGTTGAGGATGCCTTATCTTTTTTTTGCCCCCCCCCCCTCTGTATCTCTCCTCCACATGTAAACGGCGAGGAAAGGAAACGCAGGGAGAGACGATACGCCACTTTACCACAGACCCCCCCTCAGTCGGATTGGAAGGTAATGGGTCTTAAAGAAACATTCTCTCAGCATTCTCCGCAGCTCTGTGATTTACGCGCGTGCCATGCTCTCGCGCGCACTCACGGGCCAATCAAACACCTGATTAATTATGCAGCGTGTATGTATAACCGAGAGGATAGCAAAGCTTAACTGTAATATGCTTAATATAAAACTTTCAAATGCTGCCTCTCCGGATTAAAGAACTTAATGTTCAACTTGTAGACTATGTTTTAAATAATCAACCAGCATTATATATGGCTTTAAATGCCAAAAAAGACAATGTCCAGTAAGTCCAAGGCCTGAACATTATAGAATATCAATATGATGTCATTTAGTAGTCTTTTATTCTGAGTATTTACTATTCCAGCAATATAATATGCAACTATCTTATATAAGGAGACCTTAAAGACCACATGCTGAAAACCCCCCATTCTGTATTTGTGTATACTGTGTGTATGTGAGATGTGTGCTGACCCCAGTGTAAAGTGCAGTCAGGGAAGATTTAACTGTATGTGTCATGGTGGGTAATGCGAAAAATCTCATGTGAATGTCATGCTTAAGGTAGATGTACATTTAACTGTGGTAAATTGACTGAAATAGCCATTTACAGTGTGCTATTGCTCTGCTTACTGTGACCGCATAAAATGCACCCAGTGGCCCATGCGTTAAATGTGCCCTCACTGCTAATAATATGCATGCTGATAGAGATATCACATTTGCAAATAGATCAGTAGGTCTCGTCGAGTGTGTAGGTCTGCATATGTGTGTGTACGTGTGTGTGCCTCAGTAAACATAAGGTGGTGCTGTCTTTAAGAGAGAGAGCCTGGGAAGGGGTGATGTAATGTGTTCTCAGACAATGATGTCATCGACTGAGACACAGCAAGGATTTAAAGTGACAAAGGCATTTTCACTGGCTCCATGTAATTCTGCATCAGGTCTCTTCAGAGAGCTGCAACTGCAACTGAGCTCCGGGGAGACCCTCATTTGGTTGTGCCGTGGGGCATAAGTATATGATATTTGCACATTTACTGTAAAGCAGTCATGACTAGGATGTAGCACACGGATTGTTTATTATTCAGGAAGTCTGAGATACAAAACACATCTTACAGTGGAGATAACAGGGTTATGTTGCCAAACCAAAAGCAGTCTCCATTTAACTCTTATGGTATGTTTGATGCATATCTTAGAAGGAATGAAAGTGTTAGCCATAAGTATTACAAATGTACTTTACAGTACCTGTACAAAAGGTATTTGGTGTTCACCATCAGCTGAAAGACCAGTTTTTGAAGCAGTATTATGATTTTTCATCAATGTCAACACTCAGGTATTTTCTAAAATGGAAATGTTCAAGTTTCTACAACATCATGACTGATTCTACCGGAGTTTGTTCCCATGACACAATATTTAACTAAAGGTAGGCTTAAACTTCCTCTGACAGCTAAAGTAATCAGTTGAGATTTTCCAATATTCACTTCGCAAAGTTCTTGTCATTCCAAAGCTCATTTATTTAAACTGCTTGAGCCACCGATGTCTTGTTTCTATAAACTAGTCTTTATTACTGTTACTCTCGGCTTCGCAAAAGACGCACTCCGAATCAAACCGCTGCCCTCACATGTAGAGTTGGACAGGCTGCTAAAGCGTTTGTTGTCTCTTTCTTGGTTGTTCTCACTGCTCGTCTTGTTCAAACTTGAACATTTCTTTTGTTCTTCAGATCTCTCTTGGTCCACTTTCATGTTTCCCATTTCTTTTAGCCCACTGAGCTCCTCTCTCATCTTTGGACGGTTACCCAGCATCTGATCCGAATCATTGGCACGAACACGAGCCTCAGTGTCAGTCTTTATAACTTTCAACGCAGCCTCATGCATGATTCTGTCCTCAGATTTTTGCTCAGTCATATTTTCAACATTGCATGCTTGATTCTCTAAAACCTTTAACATTGTATTATCATGGTTTTCGGCAGTTGAGTCTGGGAGAGTTTTAGCAGATTTCAGATCGTTTTCATCTGATGAGTGCTGCATGGAATCCGAGCTCTTTAGATCAGATGGTGTTTCTACAATACTGGTTGGCAACGATTCAGAAATCAGTTGCATTTCTTCTTCTGGAAGTTTGGATGATGTTTGAGCATCATTCTTTGAAATGTCTGAATCTGAAATACTGATGTCACATGCAATCTTATAGAAGAATGAATGGTTGTCTTTCATTTTTTCCAGACTTTCACTCACTGTTGATGACATTTCATTGAGTTCATTAAAGTCATCAGCAGAAATTGGCTGGCTATCGATGCCTTCTGTGTCTTCACTGTAAAGGTTTTCGAAGGCAGGGATCTGTAAAGGGATAAACCCTTGCCACTGGTTGGTGGAGAGGAACCATTTAGCTCTCAGGTCAGATGGATTTAAATCATTTTCATCAGCAGTAGGTGGTTCTTCAAACTTTTTATGTTCAGCATTTTTACAACTTGTAAATCCTTTGCCTCCATCCTTTTGGTAGACTGTCATGGAGGAAATGTGGTGTGGTGAAGCTGGGTGTTTGGCTTTAGTCCGGGCAGCCGCTGCTCTCCTACTGTGCTGTGTTCTGTTCTCAAACCTTGCCTGACTGTTTAATTTGTCATGCTGATGTGCTTCATCTTCATCCTGAGACGTTGAACTAGAAAGACGATGTTCCGCTGGAGTCCTCAAGGTATCTGGGCAACTCCCATAGTCCTCTGGGCCTGATAATGGACATATCAAAATGTGTTTGTTATGTAGCACTTGATGTATTCTGAGGTCTGTTATGGTAAAATTTGCGTGGATACCTGCTTTTCTTTGCTTTTTGACCGCATCAGGGGGCGCCTGGTGAATCTCCTTCCCCTTCCCTCTGACCGGGGGTTGACTGTAAAGAGCAGCATTCTCTCTGGCTGCACTGATGGACAGACAACAATCCGTTTGTAGAAAATTTAATTTCTGGAAAGCACAAACCCACATAGGCAAAAAAATAAAATAATTCCCACCTCCGCATGACTCTTTCTCGTATTCGTTCCACTCTTCGGAGCTTAGCATCTCGCTGTTCAGGAGTCAGACTGTGGTCAGGGTCCGTGTCAGGGACCAGAGAGCCATGAGACTGTTCCCCTTCCTGTTCAAATAATTCTGCATTTAAATGTGCGTAGAACAGTGATGTATACAGAGATCTACATGAATTAAATAATCATTTTTTACAATATGAGTAAACTACAAATCTGTTATTATTCTGCTTTCTTTATAACTTTCTTTAACTTTGTTTCATTAACACTGTTTCAACAAAATTCCATAGTGAAGGGATTTAGAATTGATATTATGTTTCATAATCTGAAAGCACAGCATGAGTTTCCCATAGTACCATGATGATCTCTGGGTTAGAAAAAACGACCACCAGAATCTGTATTCTAAGATATTTTGAGGGGAAAAAATGGATTTAGCAATCACACATCTAAGAAGTAGATATTTCAAAATGTGACTTATAGCAATAGCTGAGTCATGTCAAATCAGTTGTCATTGAGAGCATTACTATTCTATCTTTGTCAATTAACCAGAATCTTCCGGTCTTATATTTCTCCTTACATTTGAGCTTTCATGTCCATCTCCTGAGTCAGTTATATCTTGAGCCTGATTGCTGGAGTCTTCTGCTCCCTCAGTGACGCTGAGTGGCTCCACTTTGGAGACCCTTAGTCCGACTTGATGCTGCTGTCTGCTTGTCCTTTTATTGGACTCATCCTGGGTTGGATCCTGGCTCTCCAACAACAACCGCCGTGGTGGTTTGCTCAGAAACGTTCTGCCCTCTTCAGACAGTGTTTCCTGTATCTCAGGTAGGATCTGCTCAGGCAGCAGAGTGTTGAGCTCAGATGGGGGATCCTCAACAGAAACTCTTCTGGCCACAAGTGAGGATGGTAGGACAGCTGTGACCACTCGTGTAACTCTTAGAGGAAAGGGGGCCTGGGAAATTAATATATGGACACTTATATCAAAACTATTAAAATTAATTATCACATAATTACAAATATAATGTAGTATTTGAAATTTGGGCTAACCTCCTCTTTCATGTCTGAACTTTGACTCTGGGCTCCCTCAGTGGGTAATGGAGGTTTTCTCTTGCTGGTCAACCTTTCCTGATTCCTTTTCATCCTCTCAATCTGCTCCTCTTCACTCATCTTCATTTTCATCCTCTGAAGAAGATATAAGCAGCTTAGACTATGAGACATTTATGGACCCTGTACTTTAGATACCTAATTGCAAAGGACTTTAGAATGCCAGAATGCATGGCTAAGTTAACTAGGCAGTTATTGGGTCTTCATCTTTGCGTCTGATTCTACAGACGTCCATGTGCACATATAGGAAGACAATATGACTCAATGCCTGAAACAGGAAAGGGGGAAGGTGGTATGTCTCCAGTGACAGGACTGAGCTGTCGTCCTTTGACATGAACCTCTGCTTCCCCCTCTTGTCTACAACAGGCATTGCAACATGCCCTAATTGCAAGGAAGATGGAGGAATCAAAGAATTGGGGTTTGGCTGTGAATGCAGTGAGGAAAAATAATCTTTGACTGCTTCTATATTTAGAAAATTCTGGCTCTGTCTGCTAACCAGCATATGGAAATTATGACGAATCAAACCTTGGTTGATTGGTTGGCTGTGTCTGGTGGGATCCACTTTGAAGCAGACTGAGATTCTGAGAGGTGGATAAAGGCAGTGAGAAATAGTGGGTGGAAGAAGAAAATGACAAAAAGAGAGAATTTGGAAATATGAGGGTGGAAGGCAAAAAACAAAGACACCAAGGAACACATTCAAATCTTTCACAAAGAAAATATGAAATCTGTTATTAAAAGATTTGACAGAATATATAAATATACAACACCCTGTTTTATTGGCTCTTTCTTCATGTTTTGCTTTGCTCCACTGTACCGACCGGGAGCGTCCCTCTGTGCTTTCACATTAAGGAGATCAGGTTGGCTGTTTCCGGGTCTGTTCCCTGGATCAACAACATGGCAGTAGATTCCCTTAAATAGAAGCAGAGCAGAGGTTTTATGTAACTCGACTTTCCTTTTCATATAGCCAATCTTATAACATGACGTTCCGTTTCCCACATCATATGGTGACTCTGTCCAGCTGGGGCCCGTGTCCCTACTCTGGTGGTTGTCTAGCTCCAGGGGTAATGGTGGCCGGACTGGTGGCTCTTGTTCCATATCCTACAGAAAAATGAATCACAGGGATCGTGTTTAAAACTACGAAACCCTGAACAAAAATATATTTCATATCGATGTCAGCCTGGTGAAACTGAAAGTTGCACTGTGTAAAAACTAATTTTCAGTAGACCACACATATTCAAAATCATGCTCCCTCTTAGAAGTGGACTGCATAAAAATAATAGCCTTGATGTGATTGTAATTCATTCTGTTCAGTAGACACTGACTAAGACGATGGCCGTACCACTGGAAATCCACTCTGCAACCTCTCTGTAGGAGAACCTGGAGATCCGGGATGTGGAGCAGGCGACTGAAACACTGAAGAGGAGACAGAAAATGTAAGTATTTTGTCATTTTCTGTGTCTATGGTGAGTAAAAAAACTCACTTTTAATCTAAACATGCAGCAGTAAACAGATTTTGGGGAATTTCAGATTTTAAAACAATAATGTGCACAATTTGACATCGCATCACTTTTGTGAATTTTTTACCACATAGATTCAAACCCAAACAAATTCTAACCCCAGGCATTTTGAACCTAAGTCCAACCAGTCAGGAATTGTATAAGGCTGCAAAAAGTGTTGACATGACTGTTGAATGTATTGTAGTGTAGGATTACATTCAAGCATGAAAACCCTAGCTGTGAGGATTACCTCCCTTCCTCCCTTAAAGCACCTCTTTCCAAGTAAAATATTGGCAAGATATGGAAAGGAGATGTCACTCAGTTAGTTTATCCAAATGATTTGTGCTGAAGCTTGAATTGCATGTATCCAAGGTACACTGTAGTAAATTTGTTACAGCTCCCCTTTTCTGTAACACTCAAATCCAACTCTTGTGTGGTGGATGTGTCTGCTTTTTGATTTATGCTACAAACTACATCCTACTTATAAACTAGTAATTACATGAACTCATACGTTCTACACAGTTAAAAGTTGAAGCTGTTGTTGATGCTTACGGTGGTATCTCTGCAATCCCAGCAGGAAACAGTATTGATCCCTATTGGCCCTCAACCCGGCAAGAATGTCCTCCATCATCCACAGTTCCCTCTGAGCTTGAGACTGTTCCTGATCAAAAAGAGGCAAACTTCTGAAATGATTCCTGGCATGGACACAAGGTCTGACAGGATCACACCTTTGGCTTTTTCATCAACACCAACCATACACAATATATAATCCAAATGTCCAGTTATGGCAAAATCCCCAAAGATGGAACTTGACTTCCAAGCTTGATTCCTGATTTGACTTTTTTTTTTAATCAAGCGTTTATCTGAGATGAAAATACCTGTGGCATTCCAAAGTTACAGATGTGCTGAAGATGTGAACGGATAACCGTCAGTTCACTTTCCATTCTCTCATACTGACTCCAAACCCGCTCCATTTCCTTTACAGAAAGAAAAGATTTTGTGAAATGACAAAAATTGCAATGATAATGAGTAAATAAATTCATTATCAAAGGAATAACTAAAAACATAGCAACATGCCCAACTACGAAAAAATGATTAATTTGTTACAATAAGCTCTAGGCACTCACCAATGACACATCACACATTCTTGCCCTGATTGTAACCAGCTCCTCCTGTAGCAAAGCCTTCTGGGTCAGTGCTTCTTCGAGGGCACGAGGGCCCTGGTTTTTCCACTCTTCAACTTGCAGTCTAGACACTTCTAATGCACACTGGACACTATCCTAAAGCAGAAAGGTAAGTTCCATGTCATTTCTTTTTCCTCATCAAGTCAAATGGCACCACACAACAATGTGTTCTGGTCCCATTATGTTTTATTTAGTCAAATACAATGGATCCGTTTTTAAATGTTTACAATTCATAGATATTGTCTATTAGCTTTTATAGCTATAACCTTTGGAGTATATGTAAACTGGTCATTTTCTGACCTTATCCATTTGCAGCTGACCCAGCTCTACCGACAGTGACTGCAGCAGCTTGTCACATCCGCACAGCCTCGTTAACACAGCCTGAAGAGGACAAGCCAAAGTCAGGTCCAGTCAGAAAGAAATGTGTGATGAGGCTACAGGTATTATATTAAATTCTGCTGACTTTAAAGTCACATTCTTAAATTACAATACGTACATCTGCATCACTCTCAAGAGGCCGGAGGGGAGGCAGTTCCCTCGGGTCAGATTTAGAAGCCTGAAATAGTCAAAAGTCAGTGTCTTTTTTTAACAGTATATTTTTTAAATACTGAACTTTATTCTATCAAATAATATGTTTATGAATCTAGAAATTAAAGTCTTTGAACATAAGGTTTGGAAGAGTGAACAGCACAAGACTAAAGCCACATTTGTTTAGTTTTGTGAAGAGAGTAAGAGCGTAATGAATAATACAAATATACACAGTAATGATTATTTAGCAAAAAGCAACTTTGTGTAATCACTACATGACCATATAAGCCTAGTCTTGGAAATACTCATCAGCAGCAAAACACACAGAACAGATCCAACAGCATGCCAAAAGACACATGGACATAAACAAGAAACTGACATAATGCGGACTTATAAGATAAAGCCATTTTAAACCTACACATTTAAATGGATTTAGACAGGAACCAACATAGAACAAACAAACACCACAAAACCATTGACCAAGCTGCACTACACCACAGTGCTGTAAAAGCGGTGTGTGGTCCCACGCGCAGAGCTGTACCATAGCTGGCGGTAGCAAACAAACAGATACATGGCTGCGGTCATGGTGGTGTTGTGGGGGGTGGGATGCATGTGCGGCTCTCGATGATGGGGGTAAAGGGGGCAACAAGTCTGCCCCTGTGGAATGGCTCTGAAGAGATGGCATGCACACGAAAAGAGAGCAAAAGCTGTTATAACCAAATGTACTGCGGATAAGAACACAGCGAGTCAAATCAATATCATTTGTGGCTTCAATAGCCCATAAAAAGAGATTTAGCAAAAACAACAGTTACAATGAAATGTTTACACTCCTTAATTAGACATCTATAGCTTACTGTGTGTGTGTGTGTGTATGTTAAATATAGTCACCTTTCCTAAAGGCCGACGCCCACTTGGTGTATGATGTACAGAACCGTATATGGGTATAGGCTGTAAAAAAAGTTGTTAACTGGATGTTAATAACATTCCAAAATAATGTTCCTTTCCCTTTTTAGATTTGTATTAGTTTTTACATGTCAGGCTGTGCCCAGGCTCGAATTCTAGGATTAAAAGAGACAAAACTGAAGAGTAAGATCAAACCTTGCTCATGCTTTGCCACCTTTCTGTGACTGGTGTAGTAGGAGCGGATTTGAATTCTGGCTTAGGTGAGGCCGGAGCATAGTACAGGGTCTGCGGCACCATGATTGGCTCGTCATGGGGTCGAATGTCAACCCTTCCCACTGGTGTATGAGGTCGTGATCCTAGTTGTCCTTTTGAGTTTAAAGAACCTGCTCCAATCATCTCTGCTTGTGTTGGGGCATTTTCCCCCGGTAGAGAGCTGTTCTCTTTGTGTGGACCAGCAGACCGTCTTCTACTGAAATCAGGAGGGCTTGGTGTTCTGTTTGATGGGCTGTAAAACAACCACAGAAAACAGACCATGAAACCAAACTCAGATATTTTCATCTGCCTTTTACTTCTATAAACAGGATGTCCCATTTGGACGCAGAACTGTTTTGACAACCTTCTGTTTCGGTTCTGTTGACTCCGCCGCCCCCTCTGCTCCGAGTGTGACCTCCCCATTCTTCCACCGCTCAGATGACTCGGTTCACTCAGAGTCCTGCTGACATGCCTGTGTTTACTGGAGGGACTCTCCTCTTCTGTGGGGCTTCTGGGGAATTCCACTGATTCACTGCTGCCACCTATCTGTGTAAAATCCTGATAGCTTGAGCAACGCCTGAACGGATCAGAAAGGATGGGGAACAAAAGGATTCCCCCGAGTGTGATCATTCAGACTTTTTGATATTCAGAGAACACCAGGTCGACTGTGAACAGACTTGTACCTGCTCATTGTGCTGTCTGGCTCCATGGCAGCAGACTGACTGAGGGCTCGAACCCACCCCAACATGTCCTCCTGAGTGTCGGCGCTAAAGAAGTAGGAGCGCATGCCCTGGTGTACCACCTATTTCCATACACATTCACATAGATCAAATGTGTTAAATCATTTATGTAGTTCTGAACGTGGCCATAAGCACAAACATTAATGCTGTTCTCGTACAGTATTATGCAAAAGTTTGGGTGTCTCAGGATTTCTGGAAGTTTTATTGTTTTAGGGAGAAGAAACAATCTCAAATAGGCCTTTGAATATTAAATATTTTAAGAAATGCTTCTTCAGTGCTTATTTTATAAGTTTATTGTGGACAAATCAAAAATATTAATCAACCCCCATGCAAAAGTTTGGGCACCCAGACACATTTTCAGCTATTGAATCCGATAGAAAGATAAAAGGCAAAAGAAGACAATGTTTTTTTTTAAAATAAATTACGGTTAACAGGAAATAACTTGAGGAAAGAAGCAAAGAAGAAAACAGCATAGAGCTTGCAGGAATGTTTTTAAAAGGGAAATGATTGATTGCAAAGCCATTGTTGACTCATAGAAAAAGGTGATCAATTTTTCTATTCTGCAGAAGTCCTTGTAAAATCTTTTTAATGTCCTCACTACAAAATCTGCAAATCTAAACAATATTTTGGAATCGGTTTACATGAGCAGCTCAAGCACAGGTTTGTCTCACAAGGAAGAGAGAACTGATTTGATTGACTGATTTGATCGAATATCTAATATGCTGTCTGTAAAAACGCTCAATAATATATTATATCCAACAGGAGTTACCTTGGACACACTTTAGAACCTTCAACATGAGAGTGACATTAGGATGTGACATCCTGTGCTGAATATTTCCTTATTTACATAAGGATGTATGCCAGATGCTGGGCGAATGAAAATAGTCTTTGCAATAGGCTACAATTCCCAAACTTGAAATGAAAAATATTCTTTACTGGAAAAAATAATGGAAGATGGGACATTTGGAAAAGTGGGTTTGTTTTGACTCTATTGTTGAATATTAAATTGCTGAGATACAGAAATTAAAAAGTAATATATTACTTGAAATATTGATGGGCTGTGTCTCTGTTCAATTTAGCCTTCTGAAAATAACATCTCCCTTTTCTGGCTGAGCTACTCAGAGCAAGCATACACAACGTTTCATTCACTTGATTAATATCTAATAATACATACAACTGTGACCTATATTATCTGAGTAATCAGTGACAAGATGATGATACCTTGAAGGTGAATTTTCTGTTCTTGCATTCTCGCGGTGTGCAGAACAGGATTTTGTAGCTTGGGAGTGGGATGCTGCCTAGGACTGATTCTTCTCTGCTGTCTGGTTGAGGAAGTTAAAAAAAACAAAACAAGCATTCATTCAACAAAAAAATGAATTAAATGTGACAGTCAATTTATTTGATGATGCAGTACTTGTTGTCCTTACCTTTATAGTAATAAAGACAGTAGTTAGAAAGAACAAACCATCTTCTTTTCCAAAGCTTCAAACCAGAGCTATCCTGCAGAGGGCAAACTGAAAGTTTTAGAAACATTCTTTTTTATTTTGGCATGACATGAAACACAACATGACAAATACATTACTTTTTTGTTGAGCCACCCTCTGATGACCACAGGGCAGTTTGGGTCTCTTTTGGCAGCCTGACATCTTTTCCCAAATGTTTGCACCTTCCCATCACTTTCCTGCCGGCAAAGGCGGGAAGAATTGTTATGCACACATATGCACCTACACAATCCCATTAATTCAGCTTAATGTCAGTCACAGTTCCAGAGTTCCAGAGAGCTGCATAAGTAGGCAAACAAACCTTTGTGACAGGAAAGTATGAAATTGTGGCCACACTGGATGCTTGGCTTACCCTGTCCTGGTCATCCATTCTAATGAGAAACACAGACATTATTAGAATTATTAATATATTTAGTTTTTATCATAGATAATGCAAATAATGGCAAAGAAATAGCAGAAAAAGAAAAGGCCCAATGCAGCCAAAAAATGGGTGACAGATCAAAACATTACAATTAGTTCTTTCTGTTTTTCTTAATGAATCGCTTCTACCACTTAAAAGCAACAAAAAAAAACTCTGCACACACGCTGAAATAAAATGAAGAGGTGAGGACATTAGGCCTTACCAAAACAGTCTGAGTCCAGTCTTTGTGGAAGCAGTCAGTCACTCCCAGGACAGTCAGTAAAGTCTTCAAACACACACGCGCTGCATGCCTCTATAGTTTGGATGTTTTCCCCGGTCAACTGTTCATTCTTCAAGGCAGCCGATGTCATTCTCACCCACTTTCAGCCAGACTCTCCCTCTATTCTATTCTGGGCCATAACGGGCCGGTGCTGTTTCCCACCATGATACTGACAGGTGACAGCTGCATCGCTATGGTAGCAGGGAGGGGCTGAGATTCTGTGAAAACCAATCTGGCAGCGGGGGACGGGCAGGAATGAGAGGCAAGGCCTGAAATGTGTGCCAAACTGCAGAACTCCACTGAGGAGTGCTGAGGACAGAAAACCCAAAATGAAGCACATGGTGGTGGGAAAGTAAAGTTCTGTCTTATAGGACCAAGTTTTAAGTGGCTTGTGGCTGTTTGTGTAAGGGGTTTATGCTCTTTTCTAGTCATGACACAATACCTGTTTACCACTTTGCATTTGAACCTGCTGCCAGTTCTTTATCCAGTAATCTGAGTCAGTGTTTACAATCCTGTACCATTTTAATTATTTTCTAACTCCCAATTCAAAGCCCCCAAAATTTTGCCAGTTTAAATGTGCAACTACAGAGCCATATAACGGAGGTCAACCCGATAGCACTAGACTCAAGGAATGAAACTCCAGAAAATTACTCACCTAAAGGAAACTTAGCTAAACTGTGTAAAACCCAAAAGGGAAGTTAAGTCGCTGCTGGTGTGGGGAGCGAAAAAAAGAAAAAACCCATCTACTCTCTTCTACTTCATCAATATTTCTGTATTTGACCAGTGCTCTATCAAACCAATGCCACATTCTTAGAAATGGCTTGTTTCAATTTACCATTGAAGTTTCTCTGTAAAATGTTAAGAATTGATTCTCTTCATATAGATCAGCTCAAGAATGTGTTGTCGCTATTGTGTACCACACCCTTGTATATCTAAAATATAACTGTCTCTTTAGTGGGAGATGCACATCCTTAATGAATACCATTCCTATATACAGTATGTTCGCGTAGAACTATTAACTGTCAGTCGAATGACAAACTCGCTTGACTTATAAAATGGGTCATTCAAATCTTACTTTAATACCTCAGCTGATTTTTCTTTGGCAAATCTTTATTTAGGAGCTTGTTTATTTTTAGGCTTGCTGTTGACCTCAATGAGACAGAAACACAGATGAACTTGAAGATAAAAAAATCACGGGACTCATTTCATACCGTTTCCGCAACCACTTGTGGGTGACCACGAGGTTCAACAAGTTTTGGTGCCCACAATCTGTGCTAGAATTCACCAGAATCCCCGACTCGTTAGACGCAGAGTAAATGGGCTGAAACAGTCAACTCTTTGTGAGGCATGGGAGCAGAGACTAACAGCTTCGTAGCCACCGGGGGTGTTGTGGGTGTTGTTAGAAATTTGGAAAATCTCCTTCTTAATCAGCGGGGGTCTCTCGCTCGAATAGGAGAAGACTTGAAATGCCAAAGAGGGATGTAAGGGAGGACAAATGGTGGGTCTGTGTACCACACAGAGTGAGCTTTGTGATGCCCGGGCACTCTGGAGCATCATGTGAATATGGCCAGAGAGCATGTTGAATACATTTATGTGGAAAATAATGCTTTCTCGCTTAACAAAACATTTGCATGTCTCTGATGCTGCTCTCTTGTTTTTTCAGTGCATAGGTTAGTGAAGTTGTGACGTCAGCCGCCGCCGTTAAGTCACTCGCTATGTTGACTGCCTAATATTAAAGCATTCATTTTGATATGCTGCACATTTCCGTTTGGAAAAAGGCAATACAATTAAGGATTAGTGGATAATACTTTATGAGAAACTACAGCTGGGACGCCAGAGCTCGGCATAGCTGAAAGAAATCCTTAAGTGGGCCTGTGATATCTCAGCAACAGCAAATCATACCAGTCAAGCTGCTTCCCACAGCTGTCAACTTCAACTTTAAAGAACAAGATTTCCAGTGAATGTATGACAGATTGGAAATTTGTTTTTTTTTAACTTGGTGAATTGGATTAAATAAATGATCAAATAAATACTTTGAAAAGATTAAATAAAAAAACATAAAACTAAATTTAGCTAATTTCCAAAATGGCATGGAACACAAACTATATTAAACCAAATTAAAACAGTACCTGACTAATTGTGCTCGCCTGCTGGCTGCTTTAAGCTCCATCACTTGGCACGTTTCCTCACAGCATCTCCTCAGGCTTGGCTGCTCTCGTCGTGGCTACCACCAGCTTCTGGTGTCCTGGCAGTCCCAACACTTTGCTGCTGTACTCTTCCACTTGTCAGGCTCCCTTTCTGGTGAAAGCAAATTCCCTCTCTTCTGACTTAGTGTTTTGCTGGGGGCTCTACCTACGCTCGTCGGATTGTCTGTCCTCTCACAGTGCCCTCTCTGTGACCAGCTTCTTTCTTCCTCCCCCTTCTTAATTTTGTCTTCATCTGTGTCCCTCCCTCTCACCCTGCCCTTGACAGCCTCTCTGTCTTTTGCTGAGTGTGGGTTTGTGACTCAGGAATTTACAATAAAGCAGCTGTTTTCTGTTTTGCTCTTTGCTTTATTTTGCTGTCGGGAAACTAACAAAATGCAAAGTTTCTGTTACACCAAAGAGAATTTTTTACAATAAATTTAGACATAATTTAAAATAGAATGATGTTCAACTAGTGTATGTTTGGTTTAATAAAAGCGTATCTAATTAATTAATTAACTGTATCAAAGGTTGTGTTTGGGGTGTGTATATATATGCCACGTTTTGCATTAGTCTAAGCAGTTTCGATTATGTTCAATTGTGTTTTTAAAATGAGAGTTTTCTCCATTTTTGTCTTATGAGTCTGTGTAGGCCCTCTGGAGGACTGCCAGCCTGTCCTGGTAGCCGGGATAGCCTTCATCCTCCCTGAATCAGTCAGCTGGATTAAGCTGGTATGGAAAATGGATGGACATTTGGAGGACTGATGTTTGTGCTGTATGAAATTTCTGCTTTCATTTCATTTCCCTGTTTCAGGGAATGATTCCATTTCAAAGATTTTAAATAATGATATATTCAACTTTCATTTAATGCTATTACCTTTAATTCTCAATGGGATTTATGTGGATTTCCTCAAAGTGTATGAGGAAATCCTCTTGATCACTCCCAGTTTTCCCTCATAACCCTGTCCTATCTGACCATTTTTTAATAACTCACATTTAAATGACTTGACTGCACAGCCTCAGAGAAAAACATCGTATGTCAGAAGGATTCATCAAATCAAATTACAATTTGATGATATTCATAACTTTTTTAAGGAAATAGATTTTTGCAAATTCAACTAAATTGGAATTTCTTAATTTTGCATTAAACATATCCAAAAGCTGCCCTGAATGTAAAAAATATTTTTTAAATATCTTACAATCATCCTTAATAAAGACATTTATTACATTCAAATATTTACATTTAAAGCAAAATCAACCACATCCACTAAGTTTAATTTGAATGAACTGCTGACTTTAAAGGGTAAACTTTGTCCATACATGTATTGTCAATACCAACTTTTTCCAAGTGGGGTCCCAGGGGGGAGTGATCCTATCTCAGCTGTCATTGCCAAATGAGCTGGGATACACCCTAAGCAGGTAGACTGAACTTTTATCAATAAATTAAACTAATTACTCGATAAAAATATCAGATTCTGGATATTTTACACTAAAAATATAACATTTTAAAGGACAACATTAAGAAAACTCGAAAAACAGCTTAGCACAAACTTGCAGAAATATATATTTTAAATTGAAAATGTCTGTTGTGTCATTGAGATTTAAACTAACCCTTTAAGCATGAGTCTATGAAAACAGGAGCTTTAACCCAGATTTTTGCCTTTATTAGCTTCTTTGTTGGGCTGCGTCAGTATCTTGTATTCTTTATATATTTTAATGTGAGAAATTGAAGTCTCCCCTATGGTCTGAATTTCCATAAAGCACAGATAATTACACTCATCATAGACATTCTACGAGTACGTAAACGGATGTGCCACGCTCATACCTTAGGAGAGGAGGCAATTTTGCACTTCAAAAGGAAGATATCAAGAGTATTTTAAGTGGTTGGATGAGAACAGGGCGCCTGGAATGAGCAGCATGTTTAAATGTACGAGCAATGTGGTTAGAACAAAACAACTGAGTCAGGGCTGCTTAAAATCCTGCAACCTCAACAGCACAAAAACACAAACCACACATTACTGAAATGGTAATCATGCCTGCTTATAATTAGTGCCTCACTTGTCCAGAGCATTTGGTTGGAACTAGGAAGGTGGCGACCTCAGATGCCAGGATGTCCTGCTCTCACAGAGGACAAATCAGACCCCCTGCAGATATTTGTGACCCCTCCTTTTCGGCATTCTTCAAAATCAGTTAGCAGACTGACAGCTGTGCGGCGACTTCTCATCCTCTGTTACACACTGATCAACAAGTGTGACGTTCACACAGGAAGAATCATCTGTAGTTTTGGTGTTAATGGGGGATGTAGTTCTTTGTGACGAAGAACCTCCTCTACATTCCATAATCAGATGCTTATGTCATTTCAACAAATAGTATAAAGTCTGTGCCTAAATGGAATCATAATGCTTTAGATAAAAAGCACTGGAATAGTAATTTTCTGTTTATACAGAATATGTACTGTGTACATGTTTATGCCAATTGCTGCCAGCAAATGTTCAGCATGTGATTGTCTTTGAAAAAAAAAAAAAAGAAGTCACAAACTCCCAGACAGCCTCGACCAGTTGTTGAAGAAACCTCATGCACATCAAGAGCTGTACTGGTTTAAAAACAGAGCATTTATTCCACTGTCAATGTTTCATAGTTGCAGAGGAATTATACCCAGCACACTAGGCTTGTAATGCAACAGGTGGACACCAGGTGGCGGTATTACTTTAAGTTTGGAATACTCCACTGACCATAATATCCAGCTACTCATACTTATAAAGAACCTACAAACTTCTCATACTGAAATTAGAATAAAAAAAAAAAAAGTACAAATATCAGTTCTAAAAATGATGATTTAACAAAATTCTGCAAAGAGAGTCAGTTGATTTCTCAAACTTTTCTATTTTAAAAACATTTTTGGACAGAATAAATGAAGAAAATAACAAGAAAATTGTAAGAACGTCACAACATTAAAAAAATCAATCAGTGAATGGCTGCAGTCTTCAGGCTCTAAGGCATGTCTTTTTTCCATCTTTAAGTGGTGTGTGGATGCTCAAAACCATGGAACTTCTGAGACATTTTTCACACAAATGTGCAGGAATGAATTTGGATCTTGAATGATGTCTTTACGGGGAAAAGTCTAAAAAAGTCCAATAGAAGGAAACGTTGACTTCCTGACTGTCATACATACATGTCATACAGAGATCACAGAACACTACAGTGACGTTTTATAATCTGTTCAGTTTAGACATACTATATGCTTGAAGCTACTGATAACTAAACAAAGCCTTTGAGTAATTCCACAACAGGGGGAGGCAAAGAAAATATTATAAACAAAACAAAAAAAGAGTTAATGCTCCTCAAATTGACTTTGGGATAGGTTCTGTGCTGTACAATACCGAAGAAAAAGAAAATATGATGTGAACCTCTGGCTCCAACATGACAAAAAATATAAGAAAATTGTACTAATGTGTTGTCACATTTCAGATCAAATCTTATGGGTCTACTGGTGTCAGAACTGATGAGTGCTTTATATTGAAGGATGACACAGGACTGTATGGGGAGTAATAACATGTGAGTACATTGAGAATGCATTCATGAAGCAGATACAGACTGCGACTTCTCACGTGAAGCTCATAAATTCTCTTTGAGGAAAGGCTGATGACACAAGAATTGAGAAAAAAATGATTCCTACTGTCTGATGTCAATAGTTTCAAAGGGTTATTTAATCCTCTCTTTTGGTTCAATGGGACTGATAGAGATAAGAGCACATTGGTTAGTTTATTTATTGTGAATGATCTACAAATCATGTGAATTTTGATAGTATTGTTTGCACAACATGTGCACACAGCAGAATGAAATGTGGGACACCGTCCACTCTAACCTATGTGTCAACCTAAATGTGTCACTTGTGCCACTTGCCATGAGATGAGCTTTAAATTACAACCCTGTCACATGTCTGGCATTGGTTCAAACATACTGTACGCACGCGGTGCCATTACGCTCTGGATGAGATTATTCCTGGATTGCAAGCTCCAGTTTTGTTTTCTTTGGTTCATGATGGATGTTGGCAAACCCAACAGATGAGGTTTTTCCTTTTATTGATCGCTTTACTTAAAAGAGACAATTCATAAATAAAATTTGGAGGTCTGTGATCACAACTGTACTTCAGATCTTACACATGCCTACTGGTATGTAAGAATGCAACTTATTTTATTTGTTGTAAGTTAAGCAGATACTTCTGTATATACCACTTTAATACCTGAGCCACAGAGCAGCCAATTTTAAGATTACAAAATTTGTGTGTGATGCCCAACTCCTCCACATGGGAACACAGAACCCTATGTAGCCTCCAATGCCCGCATCAGTGAGTGATTGAAGAGATCAGCATCGATCTACTTCAGCTGATTTTCAGACATAACTCTGAAGATTTTGAAGGACAGCTATACCAAATTCTCTGTAAAGAAAGATGAATCTATTATCTGACAAAAATTTCCATATATAATATGATAACATAATATTTTACAACATTATGGTAAAAAGGGGATTCTTGAATATGATCTTGGATTTATCATGATCTGGTGTCACTGGCATCATCAAGAGTTGCTTGATCTTAATTTGGAAAAAATCTAATTAATTGACCAAAATATCTTTGCCCATACAGAATATTAAAAAAAGCACATTTTTACAGCATGAATACTAAATCTTTTTGACAAGATTATAAAAAAGACACATATTAGCAAAAGTTTAAAGATTGAATTTATTAGAAAAAGTATAAAAGAGTAAACACCATCAATGACATTTGAATCAATATATGCACTGTTATTCATTGTTGTCGCAGTCTAATACAACTTTCAGTGGTGACAGTGGTTTAATGTGTATAAAATACTAAAATGTGGTCCTTTAAAGAGGTTCCACTTGTAAATGATGTTGAATGATGCACTGTGCTTCTGCGCTCTGCTTGCTGTTGTGCTCCACTTTTAGTCCCCGTAAAGCTTACGCATTACAGTAGATGTAGAAGCTGAACAAATGCAGGGCCACCTGTCACAGGAAGAAAGTGATCTACAAGCCAGGGCCTCTCACATGTGATAGAGTGACCCTTTAACCGAGAAGAAAGCTGTTCTCTGTCCTTCAAAAAATATATATAAATATAAATCTGTAATTAATTTGCAATTAAGCTATGTTGTAAAGAAAAAACTGTTTGTGAATGGCCACTGGTACATAGTAACCAAACCCCCATTATAAATAAGTCCATTATCAACATTACATTGATAAGTACCAGTAATAATACAATCAGTCCCTAAGTATTTGATATGATGCTTTAGAATGAAACATGCAGTGCACAATAACATAACATAATGATTGACCTATTGTAGTATTTTAAACTGAATGAAATTTAGCTGAAAATGACATAAGATGTTAATCAACAACAATTGCATTACCATTATCCACCCAAAAAATCATCAGCACACTTTTGAATTCTTTCAACTCACACAGCTCATTCTGGTCTCTTTATCAAGTTTTATGAAGATTGAACTCCCATCCAGAAACCTGGAAGAATCTTTTTTGTAATATTAATTTTAATTCTATGCAACAGCTTAACCTCCCTCTGGGTCCCCTCACAAGTTACAGCATAATAGCTTATTATTCCAGCAGGCTGGTCTATATAGACACCGATGGTTGAAAAAAAAGGGATATTGCTGATGTCTTTGTGCACACCAGTGAACCAGACTTCATAACGCATTCCTGACCAGCACAGACCCCATGACTCCTCATTTTCTCCCAGGCCACATTGCCCAGACTCTGCCCTCCGTCCTGCGTCTTCATAGGTGGCTCCAATTACCACCCATCCCGTGTGCGTCACCTCCCAGTACGCCCTGCTGTTCCAGATCTGCTCTTTGCACACCACCTTTAGGAAGAAAAACAGAATGAGAAAGTTGTGGGAAAAAAAACTTGATGAAATATTTGTCTTTTCTGACAAGTTTCTGAACTTAAGTTTCTGACTTACCTGTGGAGAGCATTCATATCTCTCTGGTCTATCCAAGACAGGACTAATCTCCCTATTTTTACGACACACCTTAGAACCACTGTCAGAAATCCACAACATCTTATTGGCGGTCTTCTCATCCAAAGATAAATGTATCCAGTCTAGTAAAAAAGAAAAAACCTCAGAAGCTTATTTGAACGTTACATGCCAGAGACTATGGCCGACTGATAAAAATGGACTCACTTATACATTTCATAAGCTCTGCCCGACTTGTTGGCTCCGGTATGTCTGGCGGTTAGACTCTAACTTTTTCTGCAAAGAAAAAAAAAAGCTGATATTGATTGAAAGATAAAGACAACGCCATGCGACTGGGATGCTTTACAGACACATTACCAGTGTTTGTCTTTTCATTCTTGATAGATTTAGTTTTCTCTCCTAACATGGGTAAAGGCCAGGAGAAAAACTGTGAGAATTATTTTTGTCATTCGAAAACATATTAGGAATCTAATATGCTAATTATAAAAAATGCATTGATATACAGTAGCTTATTTTTACATTCTTTCCGTGTTTCATTACAACTTCTTTTTTAATCACACCAGAATTCAGGCCAGAAATAATCATAAGTAATACAACTCACAATAAAGAAATGAATATTTTGCAGTGTAGAATTAGTTACTTTAAAATAACTGATGTCATAGTTTTTAATGACATTACTAAATCTATACCTGGTTTGCTGGTTTCAGGAAGGATTCCTGTGGAACTGGGTGGACTCAGCATATTGTGGACTGTAATTAAACCACCTGCACTTGCTCTTATTCATCCAAAGTTTAAGTGTTCATCAACCACTTGACTTTGATATATTCAGGAAAGATGACGGCAGCTTCAGGGGTGTCTCAAGGAGGTGTTTGGGTCAGTGGAATGTGTCTCAGCAGGCGTTCAGTGGTAGCTCTCACTTGGCCTTGACATATGGATGTGAGGAAGGCTAATACTCGACCTCAATGAAACTTAAGGAGTGTGTTGAAAAGAGCAAGAAGACGGTTTTGAACATGACTCAAGAAACTCGTCTGGTTCATGTTGTAAGCTTAGCTCATACAGTGCGAGAAGCAGAACTGAAACAGAGGAAGAATTCCTTTTACTGTAGCAACTGTAACTTATGAACACAAAAAAGTGCATTTATTTTTACCCACATCTGTTCATTAAGGCTGCGACTATATACTATACTATAGTACATTTATGATAAACTTCCTCTGTTTTTAGATTATAGATATCTTTACTTGAAGATGCATTTTTTGGAGGATATCATGCAACATAACGGGAATCTTATGTACTCAAGTCTGCAGGGCAGAAAAGGGAATTCCTTATTTTGTAACAGCTTTTGGATTTCTTATGGATTTTCCTATGGATGGTTATCGATTCCTTTCTTTACAATAACCTGAGATGTTTTCATAACACAGAGTTATTTATTTTCAGAAAGTCTGAATCATAACTTTTATGTGGAGCACCTTAATGGAATGAAAATAGGTTTTACACTGCAGTTGTCAAATGTACATACTGTAAGTATAAGTTCAGTGCATGTATTTGCTGTTGTTTGGGCATTTCAGTTGATTTCACATGTTTGTATTTAGTCTGACAGAAAAAGCGGAAAAAACTTCTGTTTAATTATTTATTTACTTTATTGAAATTTTTACACTTCACATGCAACCTGTAAATGTACACAGGGTGTATGTGATAAACAAATAACATAGATTAATAAAAATATGTACAAATATATAGTTAAAAACCTTCATGAAAGTGAACAGTCAAACATAAGTCTTCTTTGAACCCAACCCGGTTACATCTTGATCCCTTTATCACATTTTTTTTTCAAAAGAAAAACAATTATTACAAAAAAGTATTATTCTATTATTATTGCTGCATGGTTTGCTTACGAATTAGGCAAGTCCATGCTAAGAATGTAAATCTATTCTAAGCTGCTAAGGTTCAGCTCTGTTACAAAAAGATAAAAACAGTTGCATTCCTCCATCAGAGTACAGCAGACCTGGTCATAAGCAGTTCTTCATTCTTCCTTCGTTGCGATCAAACAGTGAGAGTGGGTCCCCACCCAGAAACCTGGAACCATTTTCTCCTTAAAAGTGCTCCTGATCTGCTGCAAAAGTTTAACTTCTCTAGCCCCTGTGCTCTCCTCTCCCCCTTTCACCTCCTCCACGGCATAGAATTTAAGTATGCCAGCAGGCTGATCAAGATATACGCCTATAGTGGAGAATTTAGGAATATCTGTGATCGCAGTGTTTTGTCCTTTGTGCCAGACATGATAGCTGGACCCACTCCATTCCAGACCCCAAGACTCCTCATTCTCTCCAAAGCCACAGGGTCCGTCAATGTTCCTCCTTCCTGCTCCCTCGTACGCAACTCCGACCACAACCCATCCGGAAAAGTCCACCTCCCAGTAGCCTCGGAAACCCATTATGCCTTCTTTGCATAGAACCTTTGACGACAAAGGAAATCAATACGTTACAGAGGCAGTTTTGTAGCTCACAGCTTAAACTGATGACTTCATGGGCTATGGCAGAGTGATGAGTTCAGTTTGCACTACCTTAAACATGATAAATAAGGAGAAGATCAGTTTGAAATGCTACAATGTATGCATACTATACCTGTGGAGCATATTCATATCTCTCTGGTCTGTCCAGGACTGGACATGTGACACTATCAGTCATACGAGCTACTTTGGCACCACCCTCTGTGATCCACAGGGCCTTATTGGCAGTCCTGTCATCCATGGACAAATTGATCCAAACTAAAAAGATGGAAAGGATAAGGAATTTGAAAAGTCATATTCAAGACGGAGTCATATTACAGGGTAGAATTATGTTGAAGTTCAGGTGTTTTTACATTTGATGAGGTCAGCTCTGCGTTTGGGTTCTGGGATATTCGGCTCGTAGACTGGGATTTTCTCTAAAAAAGTTAAGTTGAGAAGGTATTATTTTTTAGCACTGATATAGAGAAATTATACAAACAGGTTATGTGTAATTTATGTAATGTGTAATTTGTGTGTTATCATCTTACCTGCAGGTGGCTTCCCAGTTTTGGATTTTTTTACTGGAAAAAAGAAGAAACATATCCAAAAGATAAGCCTTTATTGAGATCCAGTTTTTTACTGCTATAGAAACAACACTCTAAGGGAAAGACTCAGGTGGGTGCAAACAGATAGGATAAAAGGCATACACTTGGATAACTATCTACAGTATTCATATTTATAGATCAACAACTGCTTGTTATCTGGAGCCTTTGGATGATTCATTTAAGGAAGATAAAATTACTCCTGACACCTCACAAGTTTTAGAGTTTGGTTTATTAACATATGAATATACAGTTCACAGCAAAATGACAACTTTTCTTGAAGTAAAATGTAATTTTTCTACTTATGGTACAGTTTCAGTAGAGGCTCAATGTAACTGTCGCTGCTCATAGTTTAGTGTCACATGTATGCAAGGCGAGGATCAGGAGGAGAGAACACTTAAACCTCGAAGCATTAACCTGTCAACACTGTAATACGTAAAAAAAAGTTTTCTGTTTGAATCAAGGAGCATTACCGCCAGTGTTCCCTCTAAGCTGTGTGCTTGCACATTTGCGGCACTGTTCCTACGTTAAATAAAATAATTCTTAACCATTTATTTTATCCACAGTTCAGGTTTAATTATACTGTGTGCGCTGCATAGATTTGCTGTGCGCGGATAACGTGGGAGCAGGGCGCGAATGCGCATGGTGCAGTGTGGATGGAACATTGATTTCCACCTTATGACTTAACATCTTGACATTCAACCATCAATACTGGTTAAACAAGTGAACTAAAATATTTTAGAAAATTAGCCAAAAAAGATATCCCGTAAGTCTTAAGGAAACTGTAATTGTGAACAAAGTAAGTTCAAGGTATCAGTGCCCGTAAATCATCTTTGAATCATAGTCTACATTTCTCAAACTCATCTGTTATTTTTACACCAGCAAGTATGTGGGCCACTTCTAAATGAGCTTATATTTATCTCCCTGTTGACTGGAGGAAGACAGGCCCTGTGAAGATTTTTGCTACATGTCTAGATATGGCACCAGGTGATGAAAATACCTGTTTTGTATGTCCCAATTACAACCTGTCACTAAACAAAACATTAGGCCTACAAGTTTGTGTTGGGTCAGAATGTAAAGACTCTTTTTTGGGGTCAAGTTGAAATGGGAATTGACAGAATGTCTTGCATTATAACTGATGCCTGCACCATTGGTTTTGGCAACTTTAAACTAAAAAAACAAACAATATATGCTTCTTTCAAGTTAAGTAAATGTCAAATATTTAGCTTTCATTAAGGGCTAAAATACTTAGAAGTTTGTTTTCCAAGGACCCTCTCATTCATAGTCTGCCTTAGAAGATAGCAAAGGGATTAGATGCGACAAACGCAGTGACAGAATTAAATGATCATATACAATTAGACAAACAAAACTCTATGCGGTAATATAAAAAAAAAAGACTACTTTGGCGCAAGTCCACAAGCAGATATAATTTTTTGGTGTCAGGTTTTTCAGTCTTTTCAGGAAAAGCTATTGTATGAAGTACGGTAAAACAAATCAAACTTACTTTTATCTGCCTTCCGGGGTTCAGAGATGATCCTGTTGGTGGTAGGCATCTTTAAATTGGCTTCAGGTTAAAGCTGCTGCGGGGAGCCTGTCTTAGCTGGATGTGTCACTGGTCTGTCAGAGGGACTCCTTTGGTTGCCGTGTATGTCGGTTTCATGCTGCCCTTATATACCTTTAATGCAGGTCAGCAGTACAGGGGCATAGCTGGAGGCGTATCAGGAACGTGACAATATTTCCAAGTAGGAACGAAGGAAAGGTTGGACATCTGTAACTGGATCTGTGTGTATATAGTTTTACCTTGAAAAGGCTATGGATGTTTCTAGGACACTCCTATAAGCATCTTAACCCCGCCTCATTCTCCATGCATGATGGCCGTTGATCTCATCACTTTACACAGTGACAAAGTTAATGCAGCAATGATAGATGGGGTGGTTGGTGTACACAAATGCACATTCATCATTTATATATTCACACATTTGCAAAGTACAGAGCTGCAAATGTTTAAATGTCCTCATGTAGCGCCTACACATATTTTTGTAACGTTGTTCTCAACTTGAAAATGAGTTTTACAAATTTCAGAACATAAAAAGATATTTAATTGAAGCAAGAAGTATTCTCCCCACACTTATAAACAAACATTTGTTAAAAGAAAACATTTACAAGAGCAGATATGGGAATGCTGACACGGTTAAGCAGTAAAGGTCAGTGGCATGAATAGATATGCTGAGCTGGGACTATAAAGAGGGTTAGTTGATTAATTGTACAGGTATTATAGGAGCTACAGTCATATATGACCAGCTCAAAGTTGTTGTCATAGTAAAAACAGTGACTATACCTGGAAAGACATCACTTACCATCAACTTAAGACATCAGCTGGAAATGATAGATAACAAACCCATTTTATATCGTCTAGAAGACTGCTTCAGCTGAGAGAATTAAATACATATGATAAAAAATAGATATTTTGTCGCTGCTTGCAATCATGGACCCTGATTTGCTTCTGAACATTTTCTTAAACATGGAACTGATGTTAGTGGCATACTATGGACCTCTTGGTTGAAGTTTCGGTGGCCTCATGCACCGCCAAAACTGGGGTACAATAAAAAAGGTGTATGTTTCTGTAGAAGCTATACATTTAACCATTAAGCTATACAGGTCAACAGTTGATCCTTGATATTCTAACTGTCACTTGACCACGGCTTCTTGGGTTCATCATAGCAGACTTAACTAGACTCTTATCATGCATCATCATGTCAGCTATTTACCATTGCAAATTCCTTGAAGCACATAAACTTCATTAAAAGAAAACATGTCACTGGTCATAAACCCTATCTTAGCTCTCCATTGCAGGTGGCCAGTCAGAAGTGTTTATTGTTCCTGGCACCCTGCCAAACCTCATATCAAGGCTACCTCGTCCTTCTTCTGTTCCTGCCTGCCGAAACAGTTGACTGACACTGATTACTGTACAGTTGACATACTTAACAGTACATACTAGGCATGCTATAGTGTCTGAAGTGTCCCAGAGAGCCAAATGGGACTCTTTGAATATAAAGAGAGGCGAGGGAACTGCTGGTAATAGGTCTGCATGTGCACCAGCACTCTGCTGAATCCCCTCTCACATGTCAACAATAAAGCTGGGTCAAAATACTTTAGAATGATGCTGACAGGCAAGTGCTCACTGCCATGGGACTTTAGTTTTCATCCCCTCAAATGTATTATTGACCTTAATTTGATGTGATATTATGCATAAATAATTCTGATAAGACATGGACACTGCTCAAGTGATAAAGGTGTCAAATCCTCATCTAAAAGAAGTAAGTGGCACAAAGGGAACATAAAGCCCAGCCTAATGTTTGTTGCTTATAGTTTTTGTGACCATTGTTCAAAAGCACAGCATGATGATCAACTCCACGTCAAATGAAATCTCAAAAGTGTGTTCCTCCCCTTTGATTATTAACCCCCCTATTCTGGACAAAGCCATATTCCAGGTCTGGTATTAGTCTCCATAGTATGTTTTCTAATACAACAAGACCACAAGACAATGATAATAACATTTCAGAGTCACAGAAATGTGGGTCACTGGTTCAGCTGTTGGCACGGACATGGCATTTCGAAAACCTCTGCAGAGGTTTCTTAAATGTTAAACAAATGCTAAAGACCCCAACTAGCATGGGCTAAGTAATGAGTGTCCATCTCCTTAACGGAGCAATTAACCCATCTCCATTTTTTTCCTTAAAAAAAATCTTGCATTGAAAGAAAATCAAAATCAATAAACCCCCATAATAATCATTATTGTTATTTATCTGCATTCAATTTGTGAAACTAAAAAAATTCTAAATATGTGACTTCAATGTGTCAGTTTTCAGAGCTAAAAAGTTTTATTTATACTTTTATTTATACTAATAACTTTAAATGTATTGCACAGAAGTCACTCCTAATGATCTTTTTTCCCTCCCATTTTGACAGTTAATCCTTGCTTAGAAATTATCCCAGAAATGTAAACAATGATAATTTTTTTATCCATCCCTCTAACCATTTTCTGTACCGCTGATTCCCAACGGGGTCACGGAGGGCTGGCGCCTATCCCAGTGCAAAATGTTATACCAGTCCTTCAACTCTAAAACTGATTCTTTCCATCTGCCCTGGCTTTACATTTTCAACAAACCGTAGATCGTGGTTCTACCTTTCCTCGTTGATAAGATGTCCATAAAGACAAACTGTCAAATCTGTGATGTTTAACAACTTGTTCATGCCAATGATAGTTTCAGTTTGTTTGATCTATGGTAACAGTATTTTCAGTCTTATTTATCCTATTCTATCCCTGCATTAGGACTATGGCCCTGACCCACTGAAATTTACGGGAGGGAAGGACTACAGACCTCTCTAGGTCTCTTGTGAAATCCAAGTCATCAGCAGCAGATCTTTTAAGTCATTGAAGTCACAAGGTGCCCTTTCCCTTGGATTGGAATTCTTTGGCCAGCACACCCCACAGATACTTGATTGAGTTCTGGAGAATTTGGAGGCCAAGTCAACACCTTAAAACTTAAACCATTCTTAAACAATTTTGTATCAGTTTTGTATCAAGAGTGGCTGCTGTCATTGAGGAAACCCAGTTCTCTCAAGTTGAATACTGAGGGAGCAGCCATTGGAGTTTATGTCAACAGGTAATATTATGAAAAAATAAACACATAAATGGTGCACGACCCAGTTAAAAGCAAGTGTTCCTTCCAGCTTCCCTTCATCCCATAGTCAATGTCATGGCTTCCCTAAATCCACAACATAAAATGAAGTCTACACAGCTGAATGACAAAATGAATGAACTGTCTGTCAGCTCTCACAGAATTCTGTGGGAACCAAGATTGACTTTTTTTTTTCCTAGCAATTGAATGACTGTAGTCCTTCTTTGAATTAAGAAACATGGGATGGTCTTTGCTTTACTATTCCATGATACATCACAGAGGCTTGTTTGTCTTGTCACTAGTCCACTGACTGTAATTCCTAGAACAGCTTTTGCTCAGAGCGTTTGCATTCCACGGATGCTCCGGATCTGCTGCTAAGTCATCAGAAGAATCACCTGTCATAAACCTTTTTCCTTTTCCATTTCCTGCTTCTAACTCATCTTCAGGGAAAATGGGTCTTTACCCTATGTGCTCTATCCTTCGGCAGGTACTGCGGTGACGAGTGGGTTTTCACGCCTCCCAATGAAGGTAATGTCAAAGTAATGCAGATGAGTTAATGAACAAGCCATAACACCGGAAAAAAATCATTTAATAAAACATTTATTACGTGAAGAAAATGTTTGAACTTAATTGTTTTTCGATTTAAACCAACAATTTTGGTATGAAAATGAGGGAGGGACAGAATAAGATTCTGGCTTGTAAAGTAAATTTAATGGGCTTTGAATTGATCCATAAGTAGGTTATCATCTTAATATGATAAAGATGACATACTGTAATGTTATACTCGAATGGCAAGTCATGATTTATATAAACAAGGTTACAGCATTGGAACAATGATCCATCAATGTCATGTGAAGCACTTGAGCTGTGCTATATCTTCAGCTGCTCCACATCCTTCATACTCCACCTAACCCTTTTAACACCAGGAAGGGAGGATAGAGGCTTAGACTGGTGACATAAAAGGAGATGCTGCGAAGCAATAAACAAGACTGCACGTGACTACGCAAATAGTGCCACTGCGGGAGGGCGGATGCGATGTTGTAGAGGAGCTGACAAGCCAGACAGATGACGGATGATGTTGGTCTCCAAATTCAGCCCATTGATAAAAAAAATCAAATGGATTTTCCACTAAATATCACCAACATGCTGAAGACCGACGAACTGAAATGTACAACTGTAAACTACTTTATTTGTATAACCTATTAGTCCAATCAGGCAAAAGCAACACTTTTAAAAAGTAGGTCAAATGTTTCCTGTACAGTCAGACAGAATTTGAGAATTTGCACAGGAAGTCTGAATATTTTTCTAAACGATAAAAGAAAGAATGCTAGAAATGTTGTCTTTGGAAATCACTAGAATTTCTTATATATGTAGATAATAGCCTAAATGACAAAGATACGGAGGTAAGCTTTGGTTTACCTGCAACATATCGTAGTTTATGACACATAAAATCTTTCTGCAGCCAGATAATACATATGATTTATATATACATTTGATTTATATTCAGCTTATGTCCTGTTTGTAATGGATTTGAAAAATATATTTCTTTAAAATCTATAACTCGTTTTGACGACAACCTAAACTAATGATGGGCCTTAAATGATCTGCGCTGACATTAAGAAGGTGTTCTTCCCCTATTAATTTAAGTCTTTGTCTCCCTCCACAGTTTTTCAGTTGTAACATTAAAATCTCTCAACATGCCTGAAACCTTACCAGATGTGCAATATTTTGGGCTGCATGGTGGCTTGTTGCTAGGCGCCTCACCTCACAGCAGCAGGGTACCTGCTTCAAACCCCAGCTGGAGCCTCTCTGTGAGCTTTCTTTCTCCAGCTGCATGCATGGCTTCTCTCGGGGAACACTGACTCCCCTCTACGTCTCCGAAAACATGCAAGATAGGTCCATTTTGGATTCTAAATGGTTCTCTTTGACAGAAGCTGGCATAAGACTTCCGCCCACAAACACCCCTGACCTAAACTAATTGGTACGGACTTCAAACACAGTTTTCCCACTCTGCCACTCACCATATCTGTTGGCACACCTGCAGGTATGGTTTGCTCCTCTTCCGTGTTGCATAAAGTGTAATTCATGAAGGCATTCTTTTTTCAGCTTTTTTCAGTTTTTTCAGCTTTTTTCAGCTTTTTTCCGCTTTTTTCACCGAGGACTTGATTGTAAAGGAGGTTAATCTAAATAGCCATTTATTTGGGTGACATTATTAGATTTCTTCCCATTTTTTGGTTAAAAAATATCTTGCCCACTGATGACATTAGCCTATCCCTGTCATCACATTTTTATCACAAATTTGAACTTTTTTTTGCACCTTCCCATTGCACCAAATGCAGTCTTTGTAGTTTATATTTAAATGCTTATTACTAATTAATTGTGCCTTTTTGTCTGAGTGTTTCCTTTTTTTGCATCCCTAATACAAAAAGTTGTGACAGGTATTGATTCTGTTTCTGCTTTGTGCTGTGGTATTTTGGGCTTCCTTTGCTGAAAATGGCACTTTAAACATTGGTTTAAGAAAGGGCATTTCCTGAAAAAAGCCATCCATCCATGTTTTGGCTGGGGGTTTCTGCTTTTAATCAGCACAGCACCACCTACTGTCCTAGAATGGAAAGGCCTGTTTGCTCTTGGCAGATCATTAAAAAAAAAGAAAACCTGACCTGTGCAGTGAAGACCACTGAATTGCCTCCACAATGAAAAACCAAGGGGTTAGAAAAAGCCAGAAAACTGAAGAAAAGAAGGGACTTACTGTAGTATCATATCAGATCTCATCTTCAGGTACAAAATCACAATATGTAAGCCTTATTGTTTCACTCAATTATGTTTAAAATTAAAATTACGGAAGCATGGTGTGAGTTTATTTGGCGTGCTTGAATATCTATTTAGTGTCAAATAAAAAGCCTTGGTTATGATCCACATTTCTTATCTATCAACATTTCTTATTCAGGTTCTCGAATAAAACTGCTCATTGCCAAATTGTGTTTTGCCAATAAACTAATTAGGAAATCTGTTCTTCCAACCAATTTGTCCCTTTGGCACGACAGACACATGCATAAATGCATGTTCTGAATTTACAATCTGTGGGGAATTTTCCAAAACGTCTGGCCAGTATCACACCTCTTTTTATATTCGTAGCAGAAGCTTCTAAAAAGTAAGGCAGCACAACAGTGTTCTTACCTGAGGCGGATGGGCCTCCATAATCAGTCTGTCATTGTGGTACATGTGCCATTTCTTTCCCAAAGGATTGTTTAAAGCTTTCGTTTTTCATTGTTTTTTCATTTCATGCACTGTAGTTTAAAAACCGTTCAGAAAGGGTTACATGTGTCTACAATGTTCCCACTGGACTTCTTCCAGTGATTACCCGAGCAGACACCTCGGCAGGAATAAGAAAAACTGATTTCTGCAGTGCAGAAAAGAGTGAAGCTGTGTGTGAATACGTCTGATAATCTTTTACTGTATGTCTGGAAAGTGTGCATTTTGATACATAGTATTTTATGTTTTTGTATTTTGCTTTCTATTTGCTCTCTTGATTCATTCTGACACATGTAGAATTTAAATTGATTCAAAACTTTCATTTTGAGGGTCCACTCGATAGGATTCCAAGTTGTCAGAATGCATCTTCAATGGAGAACCATAAAGTGTTTGTGTGAAGAATACCATGAAGGCTCAATTCTCTGTCCATTTACCAGACATTCTCCAGTCTTCAGATGTGGTGATATGCATGACATTTCTGTTGGTTTAATTTACCATGGTGAATACCTGTAGCATTTTTATTCTGCAGATGAACGCCTCGGGACTGCCCCGGAGGAGATGGCGGAAGTAGCAGGGGAGAGGGAAGTCTGGGTGTCCCTGCTTCAGCTGCTGCCCCCGCGACCCCACCTCGGATAAGCGGGGGATAATGGATGGATGGATGGATTTTGGGATTTCTTTTCAGTGAGTTCTTTTTACATATTTAAAAAAAACCTTTTCTTAAGCAGAGTTTCATAGAAGCAAAGATATCTAAAATGTTACATAAAAATAGAAAACTTAAAAAGAAAATTTACAGCAATTAATTTACCCAGAAAGGAAGTTATTGATCATTTTTCTTTACTTTAAAACCTTTTCAAGGGATTCGAAACATTATGTGCAGTAGACCATTATGATAATAACAAATCCTGGGGTGAGAGAGCATTGCCAGGTCTCTTCCTCTTGTTGCTTAAGCATCTCTGAGGACTAAACATGTCTGTGCATGGAGACATAATCACTTTAATACTTGTAATATTACTTTATGTTTAAAGCTTTGCATCTTAGGATACTCTAGTTTTGCATAAAGGCAGCAATATTAGCAGGACATCACACCACGTCAGCAATTCTTCAGTTAAAGTCTGCACAATTGGCATGTTCCTGTTCTCGTCATAAATGCAATTTTATTCCAATCAAAATGTTATTTTTTCATTCCATCTGTTGTATTTATGCGGTAGCATATGATTAATTGTATTGGCAAATTTTAAATTTAAGCTAAAAGGCCCATATGTCATTTATGAAGTACTTTTGTGTTGGTGGAAATCAATGTTTTTAGATTCCTATGAGACATTTATTCCTGCGATAGACAATGCTTCACTCAAGAAAAGTCATTTAATCAAGGTCAGCCGATTTGTTTCCTTTGTCAAAAGGAACATTTTTTGCTTTTAGATACAATTTCCAAGAAGATTCCCACAACTTCCACAAGATGGAGCCATCATTACACAAACAAAAATAATGTGAGTGATTCCTAAAATGTACTCTTGTTTATTCATACACCTGAAAGGTTTAATTTCTTAAGTATCAAGAACCATTTATAAAATGCTTACTTTTATACAACTTTTGCTTGAAGTTATGTGACCTTTTTGTCACAAATAATTTATTTATTCTCTTCATTTTGGCATTAGGACACAACAGTGAGAACACCCCTGTGAAAGGGTCTTTTCATGGCAGATAAACTGCTACAGTTTCAAGATAGCAACTAAAGGCCACTTTTTGTGAACATAATGTGTAAAAGACTTGTGATGGATTCTCCAGTGGGAGTTTTTTCAGAAGGAGACCCGCTGTTATTCAATCAAACAGAACATCTCATTGATTTTAGCACAAAATATGTAATACCCAGTCAACAAATATAATTATCAAAGAAATCAGTAAAAATAATATAAATTCTTATCTTCACACATAGAATGATAAGATTTTAATAAAAGCATAATAATACACAAATGAAGATAACATGGCTTATAAGATAAAGTTCTAATAGTTCAATATGAAGCTGTGAAGTGTTAGGAAACACTGTTGTTGAGATCTATATTTAAATCAAAGCATGTGATTGCAAAAGGAATAGATAACATTCTGGCTTCTTGCTTTGAAAGGTATTCAGTGTGAAAGCACAGACAGAGACTATCAACTACGCTCTAAGTAAAAAAGATGCTGATATCTCTCGTAGTTTTCAGTTATGTGTGTAGGTCAGAGCAGCAGCAATACAAGGGTTCCTTGATGCTCCCCTTAACAGCCACAACACCACAAACAAGAGTAATAGATTTTGAGTAAAACAAGGTCACACCACTGGTATGTGTGAAAAATTGCATTTTCTGTCGGATAAAGCAAATTACATATAATATCTATGATGGTTTTTGACACTTGCTATCAGTATAGGCCCCCAAATGTTTATAGTTATGCTGCAATTCAATGTCTTTATCAGTTTGTTGAATGGTGGTTGAAACAGCTGGTAAACTTTTAATGTATTACATGTAGTCATAACTCACCAGGATGAAATTACACACAGCTTTTCTACGGTGATAAGAATTCTATCTATTATTTGATTTGTTACTTGTGAGTATGAATGATGGAAATATAAAAGCAGAGAAACATGTATCATGGAGAAAAATATTACTACTTTACAAAAAGAGAAAAATGCTAAGTAAGAAAAAAGAAGCAAGTCTGCCTGCGGTGAAGTTGACTTTTATTTAGATCAGACTTTTGAAGAATAAAAGGAAACTGTACTGCAAGAAAGTGAAGAAAACTTATCTAGACTAATGAGAAGCAATGTAAATGAACATCTCCAGGCTTTCAGTTCTGTATGCCTAATAAACCCAGACCTCCTCCTGGATTTTGTCTGTTTAACAGCTGTTGAATGTGAGCAGCCTAAAATGGTGTTTTCAGCATTTATTTTGAAAACACGGCATCAGCTCGACTCCCTGTCAGGCAAAGCAAACTCTCAGTCAAATTCAATTTAGATAGCTTCTCGGAGACTCCTGATTAAACTGTGTCTTCACAGATTCTGGACTGATCTCACACTAATCGCATTAGATGCGCTGGATGCTGAATGCATGAGTTATTTTCCTGTTGCAAGTGATTAAAAAACATGCATGTTTGTGAAAGTCGCTGCACACTGTATTAATGGCAACAAAATAGAATTGAACTGATCAGCTCATCATCTCAACACTTTATAAAAATGTTTATGGTACAATTATCTAATGAAAGTTTTCACCCGAAGAAACAAAACAACCGTCTCTCACACATTCAATACTCTGCTCTGAAATGTTTTGGGGGTGTAAATCCCTCCATTCCAGTTATTTTTAAAGACTAACTTTACATGACATATATGTGCTTCACTGTCTGCCACCTCACTGCTCTGCCATTGCACAGTGCAGGGCATTGTGATGATAAAAAGGAAAGAAATCTATATCGGCTGTTGTTGCACTATATATATATATGTTAAAGTAGCACCACTGTGCTTTTCTTCTGGCTTGATATAAAAAGAATTAGTGGATGAGGAAACAGCCTGGCAAGCCATTCAGAGCAGCTCCCCTAATTAGCCATAGCTCTCCCACGTTCAACCCTGCTCTCCCTCTTTTCACTTCAGCCAAAGATGCAAAAATCTGGTGGTCCAAGTCCACAGACATTCCTGTTCAATTCTCAGGTTCACACGCTGACCCAGGGGCAGCAGGGGTCTTGTCTCCCCGGCGGCTCCTGCTGACGCATGCACATTCATTATAAATCAGGCTGCAGATGACCACTCGTAAACTGATGAAAACTCGCTGCATGTTGAACTTGAATCCTCTTCATGGTATCATGGTAACTGGAACCAGGCTTTGCTGTATAAGGTAGCATTAAGTTACACAGTGCACTGTTTCCTTCTTTAGAAAACTGACCATCCCCATTAACTTGGCCATAGGTCTTGCTTTAAGATGGCTGTTGAAGTGTTATGAGGCTTCAGAACCATGGTGCCATCTGGAAGGTGGTCCAGTATTTTCTGCTCTACCACCAGCCAACAGCCTTTGATTCCACAATCGGTGAACCTTCTAAACTCATTTTCAGTGCCCCACCATGAAAAATGACATGATCATTCAGTCATCAACACATTAGTTTTTTTTTTTTTACTCACTTTTTTGGAGTTACACAAATGGACTACTCAAATCATCATATTATATAACCTCTGGTTGCATAATGATAATACAATTTTATCATGGATTTACATTAATTAATGTCAATTCAGTTTAAGACTCACTTACAGCTCAAGTATCATTTCTGAGCCATTCAACTCTAGTACAATCAAAACTTTAAGTAGGTACTTAAAAATCCACTTTTTGATCCACGGTGTATATATAAAAACCGCAGTTTCCACATCATCATACATATGTAAATTATGTCAGCTCATAAGAACCTTTTAAAGCTCATAATATGCAATTGTAGTTATCGGACAGATCGGACAGTGTCATCTTCCTTTTATCTGACAAAATGTAAAAAGACATATTATCCAAAAATCCCAAACAAATTTTTCTTCCACTTTCAGTCTTTCATATATTTGAACTCAATAAACGTCATTATGTTCTTACATTACAATATGTTTCACATTTGAAATGTAACAAAAGTTAAATTAAAATGGAAATAATGTGAAATGGTGTGCAAAAAGGTTTTTGAGGCATCCTTTGCTTTCATACTTGCCTCTGTTTTTTGGGGATCCCCTACAGTTAATGGAATATGTCTATCAACATATTTAGTTTATTTGCAAATACTTGTTGATCCTACTCTTAATGCGGGTGTAAGAGGAGCTAATTGAAAGATTAGTCTGGCACCACAGGACGCCAGATATGGTGTCATAGACTGGATTAGTGGTTGGTCCTCTCTGTATGCTTTGCATTTGTCCAAAGGAAATTAAACCTAGACAGATTTAGTCAGCCTCTTAAAGTAATCATTTAGTAAATGTGTGAGACTTTTTTTCTCTGAACTGTCTCATGCACTCACTGCTTCTCTTCTTGAACTCCTCAAAGGTGTCATCAGTCTCCACAGACATCCTTGCTCACTGAAGGGTGTGGGTGACTTGAGTTCCAGAGAGGCTTTGAATAACACAGAGGGGAGAAATAAAAGGAATAAGCCCCACAAGCCTTCAGTCATCCTGCTGAAAAGAGGAGACACGGGATTAACCATGCCTGAGCCAGTACCTGAAGGTATGCAGCAACTTTATGCACAATATATGTGTGGATGAGACTTGGTCTCATCCACAGGGTCAATGATTTAAAGTAGATAGCTTGATTTGTTGAGATTTATTTGATTAAAGCATGAACTATATCATGAAATATAACATTTTTGAGTTAGCAGGACAAATTAATAAATCCATAGAGTTACCTTTAGTATAATGCATTACTATTCCTGTAACCGTTGATTTGACTAAGTGTTTGAGAAACATGATAACAGTTAGCAGGGGAAAGTTGTAATGATAGAGTCCAGTCACACGCTCTCTGTGTGACTCTCCACAGAGCCTAAACCTCAGATGAACCTCAGTTGTAGTTTCATAGTCACTGTTTTTTGCAGCAAGAAAGACACCATTTTAAACAATGAAAAATTAATCAAATACATTAATCACTCCAACCCAATTCTTTTATTAAGGAGCAGATTGGTTTGCCGTGCAACTAATGTATGAACAGGCAGAGCTCAATGCTACAGTGCAGAATATTTCAAATATAAATTCCCTTCGTTTAAGACACTGCATCCCAAGTACTTTATAATCAGATTAAAGATACATCCAAAATTATTCATTAAAAGCTGTGATGATTCACTGCCCCTGCTGCCACTTTCAGTGTTGCTAGGAAGGGCAGAATTGACATTTAGTTGTTGTTAGAGCATAGGCAGCTGTTGTTGCATTTCCATAGATAAATGACGTAAATGCAAACAGTGTCTCACTGACTGAAAGGTCCAGAGGGGTTAAGAAGCTACTACTGCAGCTTATGTATCATGCACTCAGAGAGATTCCAGCTTAAGTTACATTTACTTACTAACTTCATGGTGTGGACCCACTCCAGACCCACTGTAGGAAAAAAACAGCAGACACAGGTGTGTGGGACCCATCATGGGCAATGACATGATCTTTTATTACAATGCTGTGACAGAATCATTCACAGTCCGAGATTTGGCTTCTTTGACTTAAAGTTATATTGTAAAAAGTGGTCTGATGGCCTTCACATCAGTGCTGGATTGTGTAAATGCCAAATCCCCTTCTGTTAATAAACCTGTCTGAAGCAGTTAAGTTCATTCAGGGAGTTTCTGATATCCTCAAACATACTCACAAGGTAATGATAGCATGGATAGGCATCGGTGTTGCTGCTCACACCTTGCAAACTCTACTTGACAGTATTTGACTTGTATGTTCTCCCCTATCAAGCAAGTTTTTTTTAAGCTTAGAGCTATGCCTTTTTTTAATCCCTGGAAATAGAGGCAGACACTAATTTTATTCACCAAATACAAGCTTGATGTTTGTTCAGTTTCCGGGCTTACGCCTGTCAGTCGGGGGCAATGAATCCAACATTAGCAGCATGACAGTTTGCTGATGGGGTTGAACTGAAACTGAAAGTTTTTACTTCAGTCATGCGTTAACAGCTTCATCCTGGTGAGGAAGTAGTTTTTATTTGCCTATTCATAAATCCTTTTACATAAAATAAGGCCTGCGCTTAAGAAAGGGAAATATCATTTCAACAGAAAAAAACAACACTAAAATGTATTTTTAAAAAGACAGAGATGAGTGTTTTGTGTTTAAAGTATGATGATTCAGTAATCTGCTACTTTTTTATTTTTTCCACTGCCGCAGAATTCCATATTATAAATATGTAAAGCTGTGATACGCAGACAAGTGGAAAAAGCCAATAAATAAGTAAAGAGAGACAGCCTGCCACCTGTAGCTATCTCTCTCCCTTGTGTCTCCCCTCCCACCACCCAAACACGCATGGACATTTTTCGAAGGGCCGCACCAACAAGACCTAACTGTTCCATATAGGACCTCCGATGAATTGTAACTGCCTCACCTCACCTCATTCCTTACACCTTGTGTGGTGAATCAAACTCATAAGTAACATATTTTTCTATAAATGGTTTCTCTTCCAAGATACTGAAAAGTTACAATGAATATTTTCTCTCAAAAAGACTGTCCACTTTAGCTTTGATATGATATTTACCTCAAAAGTATACTGAACAACTGTTAATGTCCCAAGAGAAACTTTCATCCTGCATCCTAATACCATATCAAATTATTTTCTGTATTCATGCACAGTTGATCTGAGCTGCATGGCACGATATTGGCCAGATCTCTCTCTCTCTCTCGGCTAAGAGCTAAAAATACTCTGCAATTACCACTGACCTTTTGCACTTTTTTTCCCCATGTAAGTTCATGGAGTTTCACCCCGCCCCACTGTATCAGGTTTTGCTTCACCACTTCTGCTGTCTGTCAAAGCAATATAAATCATTATGTAATCTGTCAAATTTAACCAGAAAGTTCCCTCTTGGTCAGCGGACCTGATGCTCCACGCTGAATTTGGCTCTGCTCCAAAGCAGTCAGTCAAGTCCATGACAGTTTTCTAGTCAGTGGTTGGAAGCGATGGTATGATTCATGATCATAATTCCTTTCAACGCTGTCGCCTGATGAAACACTATGAGGGAAAATTGAAATATAACTGCTCTGTGAAGTTTTTCCAGTCCCTCAGAGCAGTTTATCTTTTTCGGGATACGAGAACCTTGAGGTGAAATGATGATATAATTAACTTTCTCTATTCCAGAAAACAATGTGGTGTTTTTAAACTCAAAATATTTGATCCCAAAATCAATTTGGCACTGACAAACACAAATCAGAATCAAAACGACAAATCAAACAAATTAAGAGTGAGGTTGTCTGATATATTTCATATTTAGTGGCAGGAGTGAACAAGAATGAGCAAGATGATCATTTCCGTTAGCAGGAGAGTGTTAAACAAACAGTGGTCATCTCTTATAACACACACTATCAGATGTGGAGTCAAAAAAAGAAACCTCGTTCACAACACATAAAGCTCTTGAATCTCAGTAGGAAGCAATAAACAATAACCATTCCAGTAACTCACTTTAAAGTCATCAGACATCCGGTGCCTTGGTGAAAATTAAGGTGCATATGTATGAGGTTTAGAGCAATTTCTTAAGAAAAAAGTTGAAAGTGAAATTAAATTGAGAGCTGACTTAAAAGTTAAAGTGTAAATCTATGCAAGTTTGATTAACTTTGCCTAATGATGCCCCAAATGTTTTTCCATACAACTGCAGCAATCTGTTTTAATTTCAATTTAAAAGCAGAATAGAAAAAATACATATGGTGTTATTTCCTGCTCAGGTGTCACCGTAAACAGAGTTAGTTGGGGTCGCGTCACCCAATATCTGTCTTTATGTCTGAGTCATTAAACACACAGTAAATCTGACTGTCAGTGCTAGAACTGGAGATGCAAACAGTTATACGATGGACTGCCACATCATAACTGCAAACCAGTTAGAGCTAATAAAAAAAGACAATTTGTGACCAACTAACTTGTGGTGCTTTGAGAGAATATCCTGTATGCTACATATAATCTAGAACTAAATTGAATTTGTATTAATAGAAAACAAGTCAAATAAGTGTAATATGTGTCATATGTCTTTCTCCTACCTTTTCAGTGGATCAACACTGAGAGAGTGAGTGAGTGAAAATCTGACTTAATTATGTGTCGGTTTGCATATCAAACCACAGACAGTCTCTGTGGTGAACATTTAAACCTTGAGGAACAGCTGTTCAGGGGTTCATTACCCGGCCTTATCCGAAACTTGTTGAAGATCATCAAGATTCACGTCCCAAGTGGATCGACTTAGCAGATGCTGTTGTAGATTTAAAGTCAATCCAGGTGCTAAATCCCCGGACAATATGTATACAGTATTAGCTGCATTCTATAACGATTATCAGATCACCCTGTGAATGTATAAGATTGTTGTCTCATTTGTACAGATAAACTGGATAGCTTCCTTACTTGACTCTCCTGCAACATAGAATTCAAATAAGCATTTCAGAAGTTTAGTAAGAAACCGTGTGGTCCAGTAAATAAAATCAATTTTCTATAATCTTCTGTATGCAAAATGCTCTCCCATCAGTTAGAAATGATTAGGTGTGATCCTCTTTGACAGAGCCATGTGAAAACAAAACAGATAACAAATACAGATTTATTTTGTGACAACCATTCAGTGAAAATGAACAGACATGGTCTGAGTATTAAAGGAGACTGTGTGCAGCTTTGGAGAATGTGGCATGACTTCAGGAAGGTCATAAGACACCATCCCTGGCCTTTTCCCAGTACTGCACTGACCCCCACTGAGACACTTGGGGAGTCTGGTATATTATACACCTCTATTTTAGTTGAGAATTTGCTTTTACCAGAATTAGGCCTCAACAATGATACCAATAGCACCCCACATAAAAAAGGACATCTCTTGAAGCTCCAATTTAGCTTTCAAATCATGTTTACGAGATCAGGCTATCAGTTTCGATGATCTGAGCCAGAGGTTGCACAGAGCAGTAGAAATTCAAAATGTGGCCAGCTTCTTATGTGGTGAGCTGTGTTTTAGATTTATGAAGAGAGATTACAACCTTCCCCATGACATCAGACACAGTCGAAACATTGTTGAAATAACTGTTTTATAGGAAGCCATCAATTTAAGGCAAACACTCATTTCGATGTCATAAACTAGGTCTAATCAAAACAGACAGTAAGAATTCTGTATCAACAGATTTTTCCAGTAGAGGAAACAGTTTTTAACTTTGTATCATGTGTGTATGCATAAGCATTGCTTATGATAATACAGATGGGGGCAAGTATTACTAATTCCATTCATTTTCTCTCTCTACTTCTCAGCACCACCAGCAGAAACGGGTAAGTTATTCCAAAGCCTTTTGCATGCTGTCTGCTTGCCTCACATTATCACTCATTGACACGATCACAAGCCTCATGTTTTCACCTTTTAGCTCATATAAGTCATCTGTCTGTGTCAAGAAAACTCTGGCTCCAACTTCTAATGGTGTATAATCAGCATGCACACATTTTTCATTTATTCATCATCACATCTATATTTCAGTTGCGAACGCCCTCGCACTACTTGCTCTACACCATAACCTATTTTTCTTTTTTTTTTTACCTCTGGAATTTCAGTGAGAATCTGTTCAACTGCACCGTACATGGTTTTTTAAAATAACCAGCTGCAAAATGATGTTTCCACAAACACAAAGACCTGCAACATGAATGCGTTCGTTTCTGAAAGCTATATTTGACTGTGGTCACGTGATACTGGGATGGATTTAATGTGTTGCACACTAATAAAATATACTTGCTCAGCTGTTAGAGTCTCTCTCTCATACTTGTTTTCATATTGGACTACCATAATCGTTTGCCATGTCTAACAAAGATCAACTCATTTTAGCCCCAGAAGAGCCAGCTGAAGTGGGTGAAGTGGGTGAGGGACAACAAGGTTGTTTTGTTTGCTTGTTTAATTTTGTGACTTTGAGTTTTTTTTCTGCATTCACATATAATTAGTTTGTGGCTTTGTGCTAAACTGACTGCTGAAAAAGGCACTATAAATTTGATACAATCAGTTGAAGATAATTACCTTGATGACCCATGGCAAGTATTTTGGTTATATACAATCAGTCCATCAATTACTGAATCAAGTAGATAGGCCTAAAAGTCAATCACTCTGTCACACTGTAAAACAACATGAAGCTGCTGAAGTGGATAATGCAATTATTTTATCACTTGTATTCAGTGGGTTTGCTTTATCTTAGTGAGACGGAATTATACATCACTGATGCCAGCTGAAACAACACAAATAAAGTAACTTACATGGTTTTTCACAAGCAACCAATCCCACACCAGGCTTCCCTTAGTGTGAGACTATGTTTCCTGTACACATATGCACACGTTCATGCATTTGCAAATGTATACAAGTGTGGATCGTGTGTATACATTTCTTCTTTCTGTTTTTTGTTTGTTTGTAACCAGTCCATTTTGAGTAAATATGCGTTCACTGTGGGATTTTTGTTGATTTGAAGTTTTTGGATGTTTGTATGGTTAGAAAACCATCTGTAAATGCCTCCATTTGTGAACTATCTGCATGGAGACTGATGTACACTGACAGAATGCAAATAGATGCATTTTCCGCATCTATGAGCTCTGTTTCTTTCTGTGACATTTGGAATACATTTTACTGCGGGCATGTGAAGTGTGATAAATGTCTGGAAGGGTGTGCCGGTCATATGTTGAGTTTTTTCGTTTGCTCTGATTTTTTGGCTCAGATTAATAAATTATTACTGTTTTTTAGCTCTCAACAAATATCTGTATGCAAACACTTTACCATCATTCTATTTCTCAGTTAGTAGGAGATTGCAGGTACCTCGTAGCCTTAATGGAAATTGTACTAATGTTTCCCGTCAGTTTCTTTAACTTTGGTTAAAATATCTAAAATAATCACTGTGCTTATTGGAATTCTTTTCCATTCATTTTCCATAGATGCACCCCCAGCAGATGGAGGTAAGGCTAAATCCTGGGAATGAATTAACATGGATGAACTGACATGACATACAGGATTCTTATTTAATATATGCGCCTGGTTAATACATGTGATGTATGCGCATAGTGTTTATATGTACTAATACAGTATCTGCATGAGTCTTGTATATTCAATTTCTTTCATTTTTCAGATATTATAAGTGACCTTCATAAATTGTTGCTGTGTTTTCCTACAGATATTCTAAATTAGTGTTCTTTATTCACCTAAAATACTAATTTATGCAGTTGTCGTGAAGTCAGTGACTCCTAACAGGAACAGGAACTACCATTTGTAACAAAGGACATTGGTCTCAAGATTTTATGTTGCCTTTATGCACCGTGCTTAAAGTCTGTATGTTGCACAATGCTCTTTATGTTGGGTGTGTGGATTTCTTTTTGTCTTTCTTTCATTTTTTGGGGATTCAAAAGAACACGAAGGAAAATATTGTATTTGAACCTGCCATTTCTCTATATATACTTCAGGTTGTTCTATTTTAACACATGTCTATTGATTTATGTGTGTGCAGTAACACCTGACCTGTTTGGAGAAAAAAATTGCAGCTTGTTTATACCAGTGGGATGGGAATCAGAGATATGTACTTCGTTTTAGCTTTTTGTTGTAGCTACGTTTTTGTGCAATGTGCTTTTGCTTCCCTGCTGCTTTTTCAGTGTCATTTGCTTCCTTGTTTGCAGCAGGTTCAGAGGCTGATGATGATGGTAAGACAAGAGCAGCTACTGTTGCTTCATTTCTGAAAAAATTCTCTTTGAGTGTAAATAACATTATTTTCATTGCAGTTCTGGTAATTTTGTGCCAATAATCTCATTATTTGAAAAAATGTTGACTACTTCAGCGTTGACTGATTGAAGGCTTTTTTTTCTGAATTAGAAAAATCAAAGTCTCCTAAAAAGAAAGCTCCTTGCAGTTTTATTTGTTTTGAATTCTTTGACTCTTTTTTAAACTTTTTTAAAAATTATGCAGTAAGTGCCGACGTTTTAAAAATATAGGTTATACTGCTTTACCCAGCAAATATTGTCTCCTGGTTTGCTTCAGGACTGTGAAAATGTAATACATGGGCCTTTGTTCAATATAGACATAGTTGTGACGGGCTTTCAACTGCGGGGTCCATGTTCATGTCACAAGGAAAACTAAGAAGCAGTTTATTGCTTGGAGCTACCATTGCCTCATTTATATGTTATGCAGCCTGGTGTCTGCCCATGGTCCCTAACATGTCAGATAAAAAGTGTCATGTCCATGCTATTCCATCCATTCAGGATGTGTTTTTCCACGTGCATACTTCTGTTCCTCCCATCCGTGACCTATGATACCAGCTCTCTTTTTTCTTTTGTCCCTCTGGCAATTTGAGCAATGAGGGTGAAAACACAGCTGTGTCAAGCACCAAACTGGCAGCTGAGACTGCCAACATACCAATTGTCTTCTGATTTGATGACACTTTTTATGTTGTTTTTTCCCAACTTAACATTAATCTATACTTGGATTTGTGCAGACAAGGTCAGTCAATAACGTCATTCTTTGATTTGACGTAATTTTCTTTTAAACCACACAAGTTCTGAACATATGGCTATGTGTCATCAGCTCAAAGGCTTTTAGATTGTCTAACCGAGCTGGGTAGAAAAGCTTTGCATTTTGATTGCCAAGTCAATGGTCTAGAAAATCATGCTGTTGCACCACAGCACAGGTTTTTCAAGTCAAGTCCAAGGGCTGTTTTCACGTTTGGATGTGATACCTGCCCCCATGTCTTTCAGGGCTACAGCTGAGATGAACATCAGATCACTTTTTACTGACCAAGAGGAGATTGGATAGAATGAGGGTATTGATATGCAAAGTATTAAGGAAAGGATGGCAGTTAAATTATTGTGTTTGGAAGGCCTTGAAGTTATTGTGCCTACAGGGGGAAACCTAGACATTTGACTTTTCCTGTTTGGACATAAGAGTGGGTAACTGAGAGGTCCGTAATCTTTTCTGGAGCACACATTATCACATGTTTAGAAGTCAGCCACGAGCACGTCAAAGAGCATTGCTTTGTGTCCTCACATGCTATGCTAGGAAGTTGGCTGCTCAGCTAAAACATCCTTATAATATAACCTGCCAAGCAAACAGGGAGTTAAAGCAGGCAGGATGAGATCATTAAATGTTAAGTTTGTTTTTTACCCTCAGTGTCACCTCTATAAAATGTGACACAGGTGCATCTGCAGCTTTTCCCCAGTCTGTTTATCCTTTCTCAGCTTTTATGAGTACACATTATTGCCTGCCAAGAAGCCCCATCTCTAAATGTAGACTCAGCTAGCTCCTTCTGCATTTGTAACATTTTCCTGGGGAGGAAAGGTTTGGCCCACTGCACTGAAGATGAATAAGACAGAGCTCATCATTAGATGGGTTATATAGTGGAGAGAGAAAAAACAAAAAAGGGGTATTGCTTCCACAGGTGCAAACTCCTTTTTCAGGGAAGAACTGAACCATTTTTATTGTCATGTATTTTCCCTGCGCAGCATACTGGGGGGCTGAATATCACAATAATGCAGAACAGACAAAAACTACAAGTCCTCAAAATATATATTTTTAGTGATATTAATCTAGTTAGTCCACTTTATAAGTCAGACCCCACCTGTGCCATATATATGTATAAACTCTTTGGTAATGGAGTGAAGACTATGTCCAATGTTCCCCTTGCTTTGTTTCTTTGGACAGTTAAGTTCATGGTCCATGCAAGGCTCACATAGAGAATTAGTTTACCATGGTGTTAACACATCTAAGCATATGAGAACAAAATTGGACTTCGGTTTGCATTGGTGTGTAGCCAATGGCAAAGTTACTACTAAAAAGACATTTCATTTTAAAGATATGTATGTATAGATATGTATTTTCTACTATAAGAATAGTTGCTGGATTAAGAGATTAGCATAACTCTATATATCTTTCTCAGACTCAAAATTATCATCTGAACCCTGAACACTTGCTCTTAAACAAAACAAACAAAAAAATACATGATTGTCCAAAAAATATATTCTTTGTAGTTTCATCATCCTTCATGGTTTTTAAAGGTTGTTATGATTTAGTTACTAAGATATTCTGGACAAAAAAAAAGATAAAATGTTTGCCCCGCTCCATCTCCTTTTGGTCCCAGTAACTAATAGCTACTTGATCATTTCACACCTGAACACTATCTGAATTGATACGTCTGTGAATTCTCTGTTGGGGTATAGGTTTCCTTCATACACAGTAGCCATCACTTTTAGCTTCTATTTTTGATGTTTATGGTTGCTTTAATCCCTGTCCTGACTCTGGAGTGGGTATTGCACTACACAGAGTTTGCCTCCAGTGCATTTATTGGAGTAGAATTTCTGTGTGGGAAGTTCTTATCATACCAAGACTGTTTACAGATATTCCCAAAGGGGTATAATGTTTAGGGGGATTATCATCACTAGGGCAACTGCTGTCTCTTTTTTTGGGGAGTGAACTTAACTGCTACTGCATGAGAGCAGGATATGGCTGCCAGTCTCTTTTTAAAAAATGTAGATATAGAGTAAAAACGCAAAGTAACATATCTCTCACGAGCAAAAAGGAGAGGCCTTACACAATCAGTCCAAATGAAGTAATCAAGATCAAGTCAAATAATGTATTTGATGAATTTGATGTTCGATGCTTGATGATTAAACATACAGTAATCGACGTTGATGTTGATTGCACTCTGTGTCGACTGACATAAGTCATGATCTTATCATCATGTAAAAAACTCTTTCACTGTGTGTGGGTGTGTTAGTGGAGTAATACTTCTACAGAATAACCATTCTGTAGCTGCTTGATTCCAGACTGGAGAATGTTCAGTGTTGTCTGATGTTGGGCGAATTCACTTTCCTTTGCTGACTCAGAAGTTGTGACTTACGGTGTAACTTTAGATTGTTATACTTCCACATGTTAAGCTGGGATGTTTGTTTTTCCCAGCTGAGGCAAATGCTGCAGCACAGAGTACGGGTGAGCTGAATGAAGTCACAGCATGAGTCTGTGACAGTCGCCAACATGACAATGTGATGAAACACATTTCTATGCATCCTATGTGTTTGTCAGGCTTAAACTATACATTGTATTTTTGAGCAGCTGTGTTTGCTTCTCTTCGGCCACTGTCTCCAAGCTCGGCTGTGGCACTGACTCATTGAAGCGCTGAATAATTTTACTATGGTCACTATACAACAATTGCCTGCCTAAGATTAAAAAAAAAATGTAAACACCTGTACACTAAGGGCTAAAAGCTGGACTCAGGGAGAAAGTGCTGATGTGTACAGGCCAACAGGTGCACTTGGCAGAGGTATTATACTTAGCACAGCCAGTGTTCATTAAAACATTCCGCACCCTCTAATTGGTAAGGATACTTTTCGGCAACGATTATATGTCACTGGAAGTTGTGCTCAACAGGACACGTCATTTGCTTTATCCATGACTGAAGGAGGCAGTTCATGTTTCTGCTTTACATGCAATCAGTCATTGAAACCATCATTTACTGTGAGTGTCCAAACAACCACACTGCAAACAAAAAATAGTTTTGTAAGGAAATCCCATTCAGTGAAATCAGTGAAAAGATGAAAGCATAACTGACTCGTCAGCTGAGCAGCTTGACATGTAACAAAATCAAAATGGCAAGGAACACATGGACAAGGACTTAAAATGGCCTACATTGTTATGGTAATAGATGGTAGAGGCCAGATCTGTATTACACTTTTGAAATTAGAAGGAAATGGAATCTTTAGAATTTGTCCCACAATATTACATTGCCAAATTGCTTATGTGTTGCTTAATGAAGCAGCTGTCAATTCTAAGCTACAGTTGCAGTTTGTGGGTTAAGAATATATGTTCTTATGTTAGCATGCTGTCCGTGTTTGCGGGAGACATGCCCTTGTACTTGCTTTCTAAGTCCTTTTAAAGCAGTTACTTTTTGTCTGTGATTAGGCTTATGCACTATATATGTGCGCCATTTGTGTTTAAGGATGAGAAATTTCCGTGGTTCTTAATAGACGTATAATGCTCTTTCGTTTGTTGCAACCTGACCATGTTGTCAGTGCAATGTGTGGGCTTGTAAATGTTCAGGCCTTTAGTTGAGTTAGATGAGCACATTGAAATAGACCTCAGATCTTACATTTTTCCTACTTTGTTTCAGAACCTGGGGCTACTCAGCTTGAGGGGCTTTTTGTTGAAAAGCCACCCAGCAGTGTAGTCGCTGTTGCAGGTTAGACACACACACACACACACACACAACTACACAAGTTATCATGCCAATCCCTGTAGAGAAACCTGCTAACTGTCAGAATTCATCTTTGCTTTTGCATATGACAGGAATGGACGTGACGTTCACAGCCAAAGTAGACTCCAGCACTCTGACAAGAAAGCCTGTCATGAAATGGCTGAAGGGCAAGTGGCTGGATCTTGGGAGCAAGGCTGGGAAACATTTGCAGTTCAAAGAAACATATGACAGAAATACCAAGGTGCGGGTCTGTGTGATCCTGTGTTGGTCATCCTGTTACCGAAATAACCAAGTCACTAATGGAATATCCTCTCTTGGCCAAGATCTATACTTATGAAATGAAGATCATCAAAGTGGTCCCTGGAGATGCTGGGGGCTACAGGTGTGAGGTATCAGCCAAGGACAAGTGTGACAGCTCCACCTTTGAGATCACTGTGGAGGGTGAGTGAAGATCGACTCCTGTTTGCTGAGGCTGCCACGGATTCTGCACGCACTGATGTTTGATCCGGTCTGCGATTAATCTGCGTTGTTTGCGACTTCTCTTCTTTCAGCTGCACAAAAAGATGCACAAGAAGATATTTTGTCGGCTTTCAAAAGAGCGTAAGTCTGAGGAGTTTGTTATTTAGCCGGTTTTTTGCAGCCCGTGTATGGGACGCACAAGAGGGAAAAAACATTGGTAGAATATTAACAGCCTTTTCCAGAGCGTCTTTTTTGAAAATTGTTCTTGTATAATGCAATACATTTTGTGTCAATATGGTTGAACAATATTTTTGATACACTGCATTTGTGTGTCCACGCAGGGATGCTGGGGAGGATGATGGAGATCTGGATTTCAGTGCTCTGCTCAAAGCTACAAAGAAGTGAGAGGTTTCCCCTTTTTTGCAATCTTGTTATGTGTATCTCATGTTCCCTATTTTGTTTGGTTTGGCCCATTTGCCTACATATTATTTTATGTTGAATGACAGGAAGAAGAAAGCTCAAAAAGAGGAACCAGAGATAGATGTATGGGAATTGCTCAAAAGTGCCCACCCAAGCGAATATGAGAAAATCGCCTTTACATATGGCATCACTGACCTGAGGGGCATGTTGAAGCGCCTGAAAAAGATGAAAGAAGTGTCCAAGCCTAGCGAGGGTAAGTACGGTCAGCTAGGACTGAATAAAGGAAAAGAAGAGGAGATGCATTTAAAGAATGTAGGACAGGAATAAAGGGCTGATAAGGAAGTAGGAAACAGAAGCAGAGAAAGGTTAGGGGGATGAACAATACAAAGAACAATTTACTTTTTGTGAACTAATGGAATCATTTTATTTCTGTTCCCATGCTAGCTTTCCTGAAGAGACTTGAGTCTTGCTACTCAGTTGAAAAAGGAAAGAAAATTGTGATGTCATGTGAGGTGCTTGATCCCAATGCCCAGGTCAAATGGTTGAAGAATGGCCAGGAGATCAAACCCTCAGCCAAGTACTTGCTATGAGCATTCACACACACACACACACACACACACACATGCACACACACACGCACACACACACACACACACACACACACACACACACAAACACACACACGTCACAGTGTTTGCTAATGTGCATTCATTTTTAATATAGTTTTAAATAAATTCCCCTGAGTCAAATTAAAGAGATTGGCTGGATCAATCATTGATGGACATAATGGGCAGTGCTTTTAAAAATATCATGCTAAAATTATCTGTGTCACAAAGTCATACTTGGAGATGACTCTCTCTTTGCCATGCTTTATTTTTAGACGGTCATAAGAACCCTCCCCATTGAGTTAAGCAAATTCACACTGCCCAGTCAACTTATGTCTTAAGCACACTCATACACATATCCCTCAGACCTCTGTTCAGCTGTCTTTGCTTGCAAATTAATCAAATGCAACCTGAAGGCTTTCATGATAGTGGAAAGATATATGTTTAAATGTAATGTTTAATTCAAAGAAATGTCATCTAATCTGCGTATTTTCAAGGTATGTCATGGAGTCGAATGGAAACATCAGAACTCTGACCATCAATAAATCAAACCTGTCTGATGATGCTGCATATGAGTGTGTGGTTGGTGACGACAAGTGCTCCACAGAAGTCTATGTCAAAGGTGCACAATCCCTCCTTCACTCTCTTTTTTATTTAGCTCTTTATCCGCTACATCCATCTAAGATTAGATAACATTGCTGCCATGCACATTGAAAACTTCATTACATCTAAGAGACAGAAGTGTAACATGTCCTAATGATCTATTCAGAGCCTCCAGTGACCATCACCAAGCTTATGGATGACTACCACGTGGTCGTGGGAGAAAGAGTGGAGTTTGAGATTGAGGTGTCTGAGGAAGGTGCCCATGTCATGTGGTCAGTGAATATCACACACTTGGGAGTCTAGTTTGGATATGATAAAAAAACAAAAAGAAAACACTTGGATTTTTCTGTACTTTACAACGAATAGAAATTTAATAGAATACATAATTTTCTGGATGATTAAAAATTCATGAAGGTTTAAATTTTGATGTCGCTTACTTGCATCACAGATAGATTTGGTAAATATTTTTTTATCTTTGGCAAGCAGCTTATTTAAGTGAGAGTTGCACATTCGAAAGCAGACCTTATCCATAATTGTGTCTTTGCAAATTAAGTGTTTAAGTAGATGAACATAAGACCTTAAATGGTACACATAGCTAGAGGTTGTTAAAATTCCACACTTTTCCTTTGAATTTCAAGGTACTTTGAGGATCAAGAGATTCTTAAAGACAAAGACTCCACAAAGTATCGCTTTAAGAAGGACGGAAAGAAGCACACTCTTATCATCCTGGAGTCTACACTGGATGATGTTGGAATGTACCATGCATGGACAAATGGGGGACATACCAAGGGAGAGCTGGAGGTGGAAGGTATCAGGCAGAAGCATGATTATCTTTTTTCATCTTAATTAAATTAAAATACTTAAAGTTAAGGCAATTTGGTTTGCTTTTTATAATATATATATCAAATCATAAACTTACAAATAGAATATTTTCTTACATTTGCCATTTCTTTATTCAGAAAAAGAACTGGAGGTGTTGCAGGACATTGCTGACCTGACCGTCAGGGCGACAGACCAGGCCATGTTCAAATGTGAAGTGTCTGATGACAAGGTCACAGGAAAGTGGTTCAAAGATGGAGTGGAGGTCTTGCCAAGTGACCGCATAAAAATGACTCACATTGGAAGGTAAGGGGGAAAAATCAGCTGGGCCAAGGCTTAATGACACAATTTGTCTAAATTTCCCAAAAATATGTTTAACCCTTCATCCTGTTATTATACTCTACTTTCAGGTTTCACAGGCTGATTATTGATGATGTGAAGCCAGAGGATGCTGGAGACTACACGTTTGTTCCTGATGGCTACGCTCTATCACTCTCTGCAAAGTTGAACTTCTTGGGTCAGAAATCTAAAAAAATTCGAATCTAAACCATTTGTACATTAAGTCAAACTAGATTACATTTTATGCATATTTCTCTTCTTTAAACAGAAATCAAAATCGACTATGTGCCCAGACAAGGTAGGTTGATCTTTTTTTCAAACATAAATCAAGGACAGTATTGTCTCCAGTGTTGTTTCCAAAGAGTCACTGTTTTTTAATACTCTGTATTGATCAGATCCTCCAAAGATCCACTTGGACACCACTGGAAACATGGTCTCCCAAAACACTATCATAGTGGTGGCAGGAAACAAGCTTCGCCTGGATGTGGAGATCACTGGAGAGCCAGCACCCACTGTCGTTTGGTCGAAAGGAGATCAGGTAAGGAACTTATAAGGAGCATTTAATCACAAGGTGACCGATTAATGAATGTATCCTGCAGGTTTAAGTAAGCAGGCTAGATCAACAATTTCAGTTAATTTGCCATAACTATGCATATAACAAATTATTAATTGTGAGCAATTGCTAATGTGTTTATCCTGTGAGCAAAAATGAGTCTGTTCATATTCAAAAACGTATAAATGGCATTTTAGAGTTTTCTTTCAGCATGAACAATGTCCACAGTGGACACAGCGGACAAAGATGACAGCTTCTTTTTTTATCACTAGTCAATGTTATGAACATGTAAAAGTATTTTAAACACGGCTTTCATGTGCCCACTATGCCTTTTGTATTATTCACTAAGATCTGTGTCAAGAAAAGTGCCTCTAGGGCCTGATTTTTGGAAAAATGGACGTCAGTGTCTCAGCCTTACCCAAATCTCAAATCTGCATGGGACTCACTGTTGATTCATATTCATCCTAATAACACTTCTATTTAAGTACCACATTAGTTTTCATGGTCATTGGAGATTTTTGTATATTTAATTTTCATTGTACTTCCTGCATTTTAGCCAGTCACAAGCACAGAAGGCCGTGTCAGAGTGGAGGCCAGGAAAGATCTCAGCTGCTTCGTCATTGAGGGGGCAGAGAGAGATGATGAGGGTAACTACACCATCTGTGTTACCAACCCAGCTGGAGAAGACAAAGCTATGCTGTTTGTGAAGATCGTGGGTGAGTGAAGGTTTAACATCAACACCCTCTGGTGTAACCCCATGTCGAAATGTGCTGAATTTGTTCTCTTTTACCAAAAATAACTCAACTAAAACATCGTAATCTCAATTTAGATGTGCCCGACCCCCCTGAGAATGTCAAATGCACTGGAGTGGGAGAGGACTGCGCCACTATAGTTTGGGAACCTCCTAAATTTGATGGCGGTGCACCAGTCAAAGGCAGGCAATGGATTATACCCCAAACATACATCACACTGACGTCTACATGGCATAAAGCGGCATAAAGAGCATGCTGTGTCTCTACCTGCCAGTGTAACACTTCCTTTTCACATTCAGGTTATCTCATGGAGAGAAAGAAGAAAGGCTCCAGCAGATGGACAAAGCTCAACTTCGACGTATACGAATCAACAACATATGAAGCGAAGAGGATGATTGAGGGAGTTCTCTATGAGATGAGGGTGTTCGCAATTAACAGCATCGGCATGTCTCAGCCCAGTATGAATTCCAAACCCTTCATGCCAATTGGTGAGTTTCACAGTAATGTTTTTTCTTAATCTCTCTCTCTGGCTCCCTCTGTCATTGTATTTTGGTTTCACTTCTCTTCTGCATCCAAGCCAGTCAGTTTTTCCCTTCAGTCTTTTCCTGTCACCTTCAGCGCCAACTAGCGAGCCAATGCGTTTGACAGTCAATGACGTGACAGACAGCACATGCAGCTTGAGGTGGCTTGCCCCAGAGAAGATTGGAGCTGGAGGCCTGGATGGCTATGTTATTGAATATTGCAAGGAGGGAGGTGATGAGACTCTACATTCTGCTCATTGTACTTGTAGCGTAGGAAATTCAGCTTGAAAGTTTATTTGAAAAACGGATGCTTTGTCAATTCATATTGCAATGTACTCGATGCCTTTTCTTTTTTGTCAGACACTGAGTGGGTGGCAGCAAACCAGCAGCTTTGGGAGAAGCAGGGATATGTGGTGCGTGGCCTTCCCGTGGGAGAAAAGATCAACTTCAGGGTGGTGGCTGTAAACGTTGCGGGTCGCAGTCCACCTGCTATTCTGTCACAGCCCGTCACTATCCGTGAGATCGTTGGTGAGTCAGACAGGTTTACGTCCACATCAAAGTTAAATATTTTAGAGTTCCATATTTTGCTATTTTTAATGTCTGCCTGTTGTATGTAAATTGAGTGTTTTCACACTTAGTGTTGTGTAGCATCTTTAAATGATATTGGCTGTGTCACGTGTGTTTCTGCTGCAGAATATCCAAAGATCCGCCTTCCCCGTGAGCTGAGAACAAAGTATATCAGGAAAGTAGGAGAAAAGATCAACTTGACCATCCCCTTCCAGGTTAGACCCATAACAATAAATTGAAGTTAAAATAAGTGTAATCTTGACGTAACAATCGGTACTTGACGAAAATAAATCCTTGATGAACCTCGTCTTTTGTCCTGGACACTGTGAATCAGATTAAGTTATAATGATCAACTGCTAGAAATTTTTTTAAATTTAGTACAGATTATTGTAAAAAGTTAGTGTTAGTTAGTGTATATATTTATATATATATATATATATATATATATATATATATATACTGTATATATATAGCCACCTGTGGACTTATATTTCACTCTAATATGTCATATTACTGTGCCATAGGGTAAGCCACGCCCTGTTGCAACCTGGTTCAAGGATGGTCAACCAATTGACCCTAAGATGGTCAATATTCGGAATTCAAATGTAGACAGCATCCTCTTCATTCGCTCAGCGGAGAGAGAGCACTCTGGAACATATGAACTGGTTCTACAGATTGAGAACATGGAAGATAGAGCCTCTGTTCAAATCAGGATTATTGGTAAAGACTTTTGTGACTCATTTCAGAAGAAAATCATCAGACAAGAAGCACTGATGGCCAAATGTACTAAAAGATGTTTGATCCAAACAGAGAAGCCTGGACCCCCTCAGAATGTGAAGGTGTCAGATGTCTGGGGTTTCAACGCAGCGTTGGAGTGGGAGCCCCCCAAAGATGATGGCAACTGTGAAATTAGTGGATACACCGTCCAGAAAGCAGACCTGAAAACCAAGGTGAGAGGGAACAGGAATTGTGTTTTAGTCCTCAATTTCTTTCTTTTTCATCTCTCAAATCTACAGTCTGTGATTTAACCCGTTATACCTGCCATTTTCCAAACATTTAGACTATTGTCCTTTTCATTTACGCTCGTATTTGTTCTTCTCCAGGAATGGTTCACCGTTTATGAGCATAACAGACGGACAAACTGCACAGTTTCAGATCTGATCATGGGAAACGAATATATGTTCCGCGTCTACAGTGAAAACCTTTGTGGCTTGAGCGAGGAGCCACGCCAAAGCAAGAACACAGCCGTCATTGCTAAGACAGGTGTGTCTGTGTGTGCATGAGCATCTTATCTTGCAGCAGCCTGCCTGTTTATCCGTGTACTGTAAATTGGGTGCTTTTCTGCCAGTGAATCTGTTTAGTGAGACGTGCCGTTCCACTCACCATAACACAAGATGATATGTGTCTCTTCACAATACGTTTCATAGATCTGGAGCGCAAAGTAAACACCTATAAGGAGAAAGACATGACCTGTCCACCCAAGTTCACTCAGCCCCTGGTGGACAGATCTGTGGTAGCCGGTTACAGCACTGCCATCAGCTGTTCTGTGAAAGGCTTCCCCAAGGTAAACATGCATGATTGAATAATCCGAGAAGTGTGTGATTCACAGTTTTAAGTTTGCTATGAAAGTGAATTGCTCAGACATCTGATGAGGAAAGAAATTTTTTAATAAAAGGTTTTACAGGTCATTCTACATATAAGCCATTTTTAGGGCTGGGAACTTCAAGAGCAAAAGCACTATATAAGTACGTTTCGAAATCTGAAACCTGATGCATCAAATAAGAAAATGATTTTCTCCACTAATCCAATTTAGGACTAGCAGTTGAACAAAAATAAAACTTTATCTAATCAAAACAAGTTAAATACATTTTTTGTTTGCCTTTTCTTAGCCTAAGATTGTATGGAAGAAGAACAAAATGATCCTTGGTGAAGATCCCAAGTTCTTGATGCAGAACAACCAAGGAGTGTTGACACTGAACATTCGGAAGCCAAGCACCTTTGACGGCGGCAAATACTCTTGCATGGCTGTCAATGCGCTGGGTCAGGATGAAGTGGAGTGCAAGCTGGATGTCCGAGGTGAGAATAGGCAGTTACAGTGTGCTGGGTTGTGTTGTATATACTAAACATTTATTTCTCTTAATGGTAGGTTAGACTTGATAGTAATCGCTATATGTCCTCCATCTACACTTGTCACACAGTGCTGATGCTCATACTCTCTATAAAGCTAATATTGGAATCCTGTAAAGTGCCATTTTACAAGGGTCAGAGGGGAACTATTCCTGATGATTATTGTCTTAGAAGCCAACAGCTAAATCGAGGGTAACTAGAGCAGCTACCTGCCGCACTCTCCAAACCTTTGATCTTCATGTGGCATGAGATCAACACCAAGACACATTCCATCAATAAGATAACAGCACTTCAGTAAGCTTTTAAAAAATCATGGATAGAGTTAGAAAAGGATCATAGTAAGAGCTGGGAAACTATTTTTTAACCTTATCGTACTGTCATAACATAAAGGTTTTTTCCCCCATCACATGCACGTGCTCTCATGGCCACTGGAAGTTGCTTATCTGCTATCATAAACAAATGCAACGTAGTCATATATTGGAGAGTAAGACAGTCTGAGATAGATGCAACATACAGGCTGGAAATTAAGCTAATACCAAGGAGCAGCAGTTTGTTTTATAGTTCTAATTTTCTCTTTTGAATACAATCACAGGGTCACCTCAGCATATATTTTGTCAGAAATTGAAAACTTGGTCGTAGTTTTATTCACATTATAAAACCACACAGTGTTTTTCTCTTTTATATTTAGGTTTATTTGAAAAACACTGATCATTGCTCATCTCATTCCGCAGTTGCCACAGACGTGGAGAAGAAATGAGAAACTGAACAGCAGAGAATGTGAAGTAATTTGAACCAAACAGTGAATGACGAGTGAATGTCTCAAAGAATGGTATACATTATAAAGAGTGAACCAAATAAAATTTATTAATGCCTGATACAGTTTCTGTTTGGACTATATCTTGCAAGTTCCCAGTATGTTGTATCTATCGAAAAACACCAACATGCAATACTAAAAGAAGAAAATTGCTCCTTCACTTCCATTATAAGTCTTATCGGAATTTGATTGATCAAAGTGCATATCAAAAGATTATGAGAGATGGCTCTACTGTCTAAAAGCATGATTTTGGTGTTATTTCCACATATATGGAAGTTATCTAGACTACACATCCCTGGAGTAGCGTCTTCTCTGCGTGCGGATTGCCACTGCTGTACTGAACAACAGTGCCACTGCCAGGAGTCCCACTGCCACTGCAAGTGCTGTTATGACACCTACGGGAAACAACAGTTGCATTTTAGTCAATGTAAATTTGAAAAATGTTAGATGACAAGATGCTTTAAATTCGAGCAGTCTGCAATAGTGTTGTAATAAAGATGCTATACTCACTAAATATGGTGAGTATAGCGTTGGTGTACCATTAGCAAGTGATTATGTAGAAGATAGAAATGATGAAATTTGATTTCTTCACCTGTGCTTGACCATTTGGTCCGTAACCCACACTCGACGTCCCATTTGTTTGTCATCACATCGCGCACCAGCTCGGTGAACATAGACAAAGGGCAGGGGTTCAAACCACGACATCCTGGCACAGGGTTGTGGTAGGGGTCGCGCCAGGATTCATTGCGGTAATAAAGCTCCAGTGAATAGGATCTGGGTAATCATTAGCATGAATACAATGAGATGACACAGTTGTGGGAAGTGTTATGTAAATGAATTTGTATTATGCTCTCATTTGGCCAGTGCAGTGCTGGATAGATGCCCAATTTCAATTGGACTGAAAGGCAAAACATTTTTGAATGGTTTGTGCAATTACATGTGGAATGCATTGACTCAAAACGTGTGTGCGTGCCTGCATCTGACCTAGATAGCATACTTGAATATGCAAAGAGAAAAGCGCATGAAGTAAAAACTGGAAGAAAGTCATTACCCATCATACTCTTGGTAGAACTCAAAGAGTTGACAGGCGGCGTAGGGAGGAAGAAGCCCGTTGTAGACGTCTAGAGCTGCCTGGAGGGTGATGAGTGTGGAGTCATGCTGGAATAAGGAATGAGCATTGCAGCAGTAAAAGAGGTGAGAAGATGATGGCCACTATTTACTGATATGAGATTGTAAATGCGTGCATATACCCATACAATGAACTTACAGCAGAGTACATAATGAATTTGAGAGACCCCCCTTGCTCTACAGCATCAGAAAAATTCCTCAGGATGGCGTTAAGTAGTATCCCTGTTAAATGAATAGTGTCAACAGTGCAAATTAATTTTCCACAGACTCCAACACAATCCTTTGACCTTTGTGAGTGCCTTGCTTTGGTGTTGTAATCATTTCCATCCCATTAGTTCACATGTGCTAATATTCCTTTAGGAGGCCCTGCCCTGATCATTAACACTGTCAACAGTAACATTAAATACACACAGACTTTTTTCCACCACAAAAATCATTTGTCCTCACTGCTGCAAATGAATTGCTTCTAATGAGAATTCCCACCTCCTGAGAGCCTAGCCTTTTCTTTCCGCTTGTGACTGAGGATGCTGTACGTGACCTCAAAGGATGCTATTCTCTTCAGGGTGTCCAGAACGTCTTGGGTGGCCCAGCGTGGGAGAGTTAGGTTATGGATCCTCTGCACAAGAATAAAGCAATCATTGCCCCACTAATAATTACATTACACAACACATGAACGGAACCGAATAAGGTTTAAATGGCTGTTTAACATTGTTTCTATTATCTATTTCTATTTTTAGAGCCAGTCGGAAGATAACAGATGTTCATTTTGTAAGTGTGAATGAGCATATTCAACCTGGCCCAGAATCCACACATGTCACAGTGCTTAATTATATTACCATATGCTGTTGTATTCATGTCTGATTGTAAGTATGAAACGGTTTCACCATATTTCCACCCTGTTCCAGTTTTCTCTGGATCACTTGAGAAAAGCAGGTTATTTATTTTGTCTCTTTTTGTGTTTAACTCTCTGTGCTTTGCAGCTGACAATTACATCTTCATGGATTTTATAAATCCATACATCTATTATTTGTGGTGCTTGCGGAGTGACATACCTGACAGGTAAGAGTGTCATACACCCTCCATATTTTTTTACCAACCAGTTTGGACACAGGGTAGCCAGTATGGTTGGAGAGTCCTTCTACAAAGTACTGTAAAACAAAGAAAGTGTCTGATCAACATAAAACTTTTCACTCTAGATGAAAATGCTCTTGGGGATACACCACGTTGATTAGCATTTATATGAGTATTATTAAACCTTTTTGGAGCTGTTGTTTTTTTAAATACAGTAATCAAATATCAATTTGCAGGCGTTTATACCAAATAGCACCCATAAATATTTAATTCAAAGGATTTAAGAGGTTCACAGATGCAGCAGCAGTTGTTCATCAGATAACAGTGTGACAAATAGTTCACCTGGTTCTTCCATACACCTCACAGGTACTCTGCCTCCAGCAGAGGGTGTTAAAATTCAACACAGAAGGCCTTGGCCTGATTGCAATCACCACCTTAACAGGCAGCACATGGGACTCAGTTTAATTAAAACAGTTTTATTGTAATTCTTTATCTAATTCAATCCAACCGTTAATTAGTGTCTCTGAGAATGTGAGAGAAATTGCACTGTGCAGCTTTTTGTAGGCACTGGAGTCACCGTGCCTGAGAAAAATCAGTGAGAGGACACGATGTCTACTGCATAACTAACACATCCACTGGAGGTGCTGATTACATTGGCTGCAACAACTGTGAGGGTTGCATTTCTCTGAAAAGTGCATTTCGGTGTGATAGCTAATTTACAAATCTAGGCATGGATAAGTAGAAGAGAAAGGGCTGAAGTGAGAAAAATAATTGCGATTACAAAAAATCCAATGACATGGAAACTTGAGTTATAGACAAGTTTTCGCTAGTTAACAGGTTCATGATTCAAAGACTCAAATAATTTGAACTGAGCAGAATGTGGCCTCAACTAAATCACCCCCTATCTGTGTTATGTCTTACCTGGTTAGCCCCGAGGAACCTTTGGTAAGGAGCACTCTCAAAGGTCTCTGTCATTAGCGCTCTGAACCTTGGACAGTCTTTGCCTGGAGACCTCAACAGCTTTGGAAATTGAAAATAGCGACAAAACATCAGTGGAAATAATGTGCATTTAACGTGGGGGCTGCAAGTCTTCTGGGCACAATTATACTTTCATTTCACTCCTAGAACTGCACAAGTTTTAGCACGCCAGGTTCACAGATGAGGTGAACACAGACTGCAGAGCAGAACTAGGAACTCAATTGAATTTAAACAGGTTTGTATTCAGCTGTGTATGGCTGCTGGGTAAAAAAAGGAAATATTTATGTGGCTCAGCAGCCCACCTTGTCTTGGGCTCTGGGGATGGTGTGCACTGGAATCGGCCGCCACAGTAACTGGGGCATGATGGGAGGCTGGCGTCTGGCTGGGGGAAACATCCCAGCAAGGCAAGCTTGGGCACTCATTAGAGTGCGGTCGTAGTCAGTGCTCCGAACATATAACTGTTGTAAACATGAAGGGAACATGGCATTAGGAGGTTTGCACATGCAGGTACACGACTTACTACTGACAGTGTGTTGCCCCAAATGGGTAAATGAGATTTAGTTAGCTTTTTATAGAAAATGGAGCTCCAGTAGGGAATTGAAATGACTTCATCAGCCGTTGAAATACAGATATGCACATTATCGAGTTTCTATCATTATCCCATGACAAAATGTTTTCTGACTATTTATACAACCATAATATCTATTTATATGTATGTAAGCTTCCTTGTCAAAAAGAGTAGAGGTGTTAGAGAGAGGGAGTGTAGAAGAAGTATAAAACATGTCCTTATAATGACAACGTGCTGAGTCTTAAGCCAAGGGGCACACTGCACATACATGCTGCCAACTGTACATATCAGCGCCCAGGGGCTCCTTAACCCCACGCATTTTAGCATATAACAAGGCCATAGAAGTGATATCACCATTATGTGTCATGCTCATTAACTTCTTGTATGTACTTACAGAACGTAGCATGTTGGAGCAAGGGCATACATGACAACAGGACTAAGCGAAAATCACAAGGGAGGAGGAGAAAAAAAGTCATCCAGATGTACTCTGTATGTAGACCCAAATTCACCCACCTCTTTTTTGTTGTAGTCTTCACTGAGAAAGTTTCCATAACGCCTCCGTAGAAATCTGCCGAGCTCAAACTGTTGTTTCATACCCAGCTGAAAAGAATATCAACAGCACTTTTAGCTAAAAAAAAAACATGCAGATTTATCATTCAGTCCAACTTATGTAAACAAAATAGCACTTATCACTTCTTCTACTCTAAATTAGTCACTGTATCCCATATAAACAAGGCTCATACTTGCCTCTGAAAAGATTTCTTGGTTGATAGAAATAATAATCAAAATATCACCCATACCAAAGCTTTAATTGACCTGAAACTATTGTAAGCTTGCAAAAATGTTGTATTTTAATATCGTTATAAATGTGTGGGTAAATTTAAGATAAGATTTATATAGAAATCGCCCCTTGATGTATACAAGGGGCAATTTGAATTTGACATTTTGGCACAAATCGATATCCTGTTTAGAATGTCATCATGTTTTCATGTTGAGGAATGAGGAGGAATGTGGCTAAACTAAGTCGAGGGGTAAATTAAAAGATTGTTCTTACATAGCCCTTCCTGCTATAATTACAATATCACAATAATTACAGCAATAATTATGTACTGGCTCTGAAAGTGTTCAAAAAAAGATTATTGTGAACCCATGGCTAACCTTGAAATACATTTTGAGTCCCATCAAGTGTTTGTGTTTGTTTTCATGTCCAAAAAAACTAGTGGCCCTATAGTTCCTATTCAGCTGCATAAACATGGCACTCATTTGCATCTTCTGAGCTTGTGGCCAGTCCTAACAGCAAGATAAAGCTTTGCCAAAAAAATAAAATAAAATGAAGAATGAATCAGGAATCATTTATAACATTAACATTAGTAAGAGTGTTGGGTTTTTTTTTATTTCCCTGACCTTATGTTTTACGCACCTTAACCTATGCAACAAACTTTTGATATAGATTGATTTATACATTTTATTTCCATAAAGAATAGTTTGACTAAGTGTCTTTAGTTTAAGATCCTGCTTGACAGGGTTATAACTGGATAAACTCTTGAAAGTAACACTATGTACCTCAGTGAGCTGTCCGAAGCCCTGAGCCCACACTCCCTCACCATGTGGGTCCCTGGGGTATGACTCAATAGGCGATCGATCACCATGTCGGAACACCTTAAAAGTCAGAACAGATAATATCACATGAATCCAGAGGCCGTGCCTCTGCTCTTCTGCCTAACGTTGCACTGTGTACTAAAGGGATAAATCCAATCTGGCGCCAAAGTCATAAACAGAAACCCAAGATTGTCAACAGATCTGTTTGGATTAGAGCCATTTTGATGATACAAAAACTGAAGGTGTTCCATTATCATTACTTCACTCAGACATTGGGTCTCACAACTCAATGTCTGAACAGAGACAGAAACCAAAGGTGATTCAACTGGATTAAGAAGACATGAGTCACTCCTGTGAACTGCAGAGTCATCTGAACTCACTGGAGAAATAACATACAAGCAAAACCTCAATGGCCACTTGGTCAAGTAAACAAACATTTCAAAGATGATTTTGAGTTTACAGTATAGGTTTCTTTATTTTGGTATAGAGCATGAACTGAATAAAACTCATGAGTATATTATAACTTATGGCTATGGATAAAAAGTTAAATGTAATAGGGGACATATCCTTAATTCTCTGAGGCCATTTGTCCATTAAGTAATGTCAAATATAATCTTAAGGTTAAAGACACTGTTAGAAAATGTTGCACCATAAAAGGAAAGACTCTCTATTTACCGTAAAACTTTCACCGCATAAAAAAAACCTCCACACTCAATGCTCTTTTTCTCTAGTTTTTCAGGGCTGGATTTTCTGTCTGATGTTATCTTTTACCCTTTTACCACAGCCAGTTTCCCCCATGTAACAGTATGCATGTCTTACATGGGTTTGCTTTTACCATGCAAGAGGGAGGTCTGTCTTTTATTTCTGTGATTGCTTAATTTTTTATGGTGACTTTGTGACACTTGTCTAGAAACCCCTGGTGAAAATCAGTGTTTATTTAAGTGCATTGTCCCTGTTAAACACTGATATCGAATGGAATAAATAACTTATAAAATTATTATAAGTAATCTAAAATTGTGTGTTGGATGTTCATTGAATGTGTTCATTTAAACAAATTTAAATATATTTTAGAGAAACAATGTTTGGCAATGTTTGGCATTATTTATTCAAAATAATACAGGAAAACTTCAAATGTCTAGAATTGCTTAAAACATTTTTTTTTCAGAAATGTTGTGTCCATATGATCATTTGACCAGTGCTTGGTCAAAATGAAATGTTTTATCTGTTAATCTTCTTAAACAATTCAGCTGGGTTGTGTAAAAGCGTGTGAAATAGACACACTTGACACTGTTGGAGTTTAGGCTCAGAGTAATCCTTTTTACAAAGGCATTAAAAAAAGATCATTCTCATGGGGCCGAAATATAGTGTAATCAGCGACAATAGGATGCAAAATGCGCCACCAGATTACAGTTAAATCATGTTGTACAACAAAAAAATGTTGTAAGTAACACAATATGACTTACCATTCCAGAAAAACTGAATATAAAACCCCAATGATATAAATATCATGACTTTTAATCAACTGCAAATGAGAGGAATGATGGTTACACTTACCGCAACAACAAACTTTAGCTGTCGGCAATCAGTCAAGTAGGCACAACAAAAAAGAAATAAACAGCTAGCACTAATCTGCAATGTCTGCATCTTCTTGACTTGTTGATTTCTCCTTCTTTTGCAAAGTTCTCCTGCTGAATGAGAAAAAAAGTGCTAAAAATGTTAAATATCAATAACAATAACATATCACTATATCGGAATCTGTATGTGTGCTTGTGCTTACCTCAGCAGACATGTAAACACCTATAGCTGTTTTAGTGAAACCTTTCACTGACAGGACTACTGTGCATCCCAAATCTCCAGACATATGCAAATTGAAATCCTGTTTCTGTGAAATAATGCAGTGCTCATATAGTCCACCTACCTGACCTTGATATGTTATCCCTCTTTTCTCAGGGGTTTCTTCTCCCACTGTACTTCATCATCAACTGCAGATCAGATCACTGACTCCCTGCTGTATTCATCACCCCACAGACAGCTGGACAGAATCAGCTTTTGATCTTGAGGTAGCTTGTTAGTGCCCTCAAAATATGGACAGCCTCACTCTAAAGGTGATCACATGTTTGTGATAACACTTTGGGTTCATAACACCATGGCAAAGACATGTTAAATGTTGATGCTCCCACCTGACTTCACAAATTGTACTGTTGTGCATAAAAACACATGTGCACACACAAGCACCAGCCCTGGGCCACAAACACTCATTATAACTTGCTTCGTCATCCACTGTGGGTTTGGCCCCACAATTACAGAGCCTGGAGTGTTTTCCCTTACTTGGCACACATGTAAGTATGTGTTAGGATCAAAGCAGCTTTATGTGATACAATGGGATTACTGAGTGTGAAGCTTTAAAACTATACAGCGTTGACATCATCTTTGATACGTGTATGATAGGATCTATTGTTTCAAGTCATTTGCAGAATTCACAGAGGTGATTTGTCTAAGCCACAGTATGCAAATACATTAAATAATACATCAAGAAACCCAGATAGTGATCTGCAAGAGGTTTTTCTCAACTGTCAGCTTATATGTTTAGAACAGATCCAGTCATTTTAATGCAAACTCATTTGATTCATCTATGTTGTTTAGGATGCGATGGACTGGTGGACTGTCCAGGGTGTACCCTGCCTCTCGCCCGTTGACCACTGGGATAGGCTCCAGTTCTCCCCGAGACCCCATCATGGAATAAGCGGTAAAGATAATGGATGGATGGATGAATGGATGGATGGATGTTGTTTAAGATTTAGGTGCTGTGTAAGATAAAGTATTTTTCCTCCATTATCTGCACTGTTGTTTTAAACTTGTGATCATTTGAGAGTTTCTGCAACAAAAACATTTTTAAAATGATGTAAATAGTATGGTAAGGCTTTTGCTACCAGTCCTTTGGCATTACATGCTGTTCTTTGAGACTATTTCATTTCCCATCATGTTTTACTTTACTGAGACGTACTGAATGAGCATATTGGAAAACATTGACCAGCTCAATGTCTCAGCTATCCATTTGTTTTCTTCACATCAAAAATAGATTTTTTCCCTGATTGTCTGTGTTCCTCCTAATCCTTGTCTTTTTCGGGTTTCTTTGACATTGAACAATGTCACGTTTGCAAGGCTGTGGTTCTGTCATGTATGAATGTGCGTGATGCTGTGCATTTTACTGATGGAAGTTTTCATCATCAAATCTCCATTGTGGATGTTTCCTCTCCTTTTTATTTAAGTAATTGCACGCTGTTGAATTTATGCTATATTTCCAATTTCATCCTGGCAATGAAGGCATGGGGAAAGACTTTGACATTTTCCTATTGTTTTTGTTTACCCTTGATAAGTAAGTGTGTTCTTTGCAAGCAATATGGAAGAAGAGACAGGCTTTACACTGTAAAAATATCTTGCCCAAACATATAGTAAGATCTATGGTGTCTGAGCAACAGTATCTGACAGTTCTTTAACCGGCCTTAATCAGGGAGGTCTTCGTTTACTTTCTGTCTTAATATTCAGTCACATTTCTAAAATTATTTGGCTCTGCCATCATCATTAAAGATTGTCCTTGCATAGCCCATCACACTATTATTACAATATCACAGTAATTACAGTAATCATGCAATAATTATGTACCAGTTTTGAAAGAATTCATAAAAACATTGTTGTGAACCCAATCTAACCCTAAAGTAGATTGAGAGTCCTGCCAAGTGGTTTGTTTTCATGTCCAACAAAATGGCAGCCCTGCGGCCATCCCCTACAAAGCCATTTGTGTTAGCAATATTTTGAAAGAAATGGACATAAAATGACAAAAATAAAACTGTAGTGGTGTCACCTTAGTTGCAGTTAGGAGGACCTCAACTTCAATTGTGGTAAGTAGCTCCACCACAAAGGAGCCATGGAGCTTCAAAAAAAGCTATGTAAAGCTAAATGGCAATGGCTAAATGGTCCCCACTTACAGTAAATTGCTCCAATTTATCTCATCAAGGTCCAGTAAACTATTTTTCAGTCACTCAATTACAAAAATATTCAACACTTTTTATTATATATTTACACTTTAAGTCCCCTCTACAGTCACACGCCGATGACAAATACGACATTCACCAGATGCCTGTTCTTGAAATATCACCACTCCAACCCCTCAACCACAGCCTATGCGTAGTTCTCCTGCAACTGACTCAACATTCCTACAACTGAGAAATCAACTTGTTGCTCATCGCATGATGTGTGTGACGCTACCACATGCTACACAACTTCTAAGCAATATAACCAACATAAGTAGAAAGTATAGCGATCATCCAAAAGTAGTTGAACAAGATTATTTTATTCAAATAAGGTAAGATTGATTTGACAAGTGTATGTATAGGATTAATTATAATCGGAGAAACAAGTTAATGAAATCCCTTCACTTTTCATCTTTTCATGAAGTAATGCCTTGTAAAACATTGGTGTGTGCTCAAGTTCACTACATTCTTCCATGTTATTACCATAAGTGTGTAATCTTATTGAAGACCATAAGGGGCATGGAGCCTCTCCCAGCTGTGATACAGAGCATCTCTTAAACTCTGTTAGCAGCAGGTTAAGAAATTCACTTTCTACCAGTTTGGGAATCTCTGTATGTTAAACGACTCTGATATGTGTTCAGCAATCACCCGCACACACTTATTGCAGTTGACACTGTTTGCCTTTCACAAATCATACATGAAATGGGTCAGTGAGTCTACTTGCATTTATCTACAAAGATGCAGAAACAGTTACACCAGGGTCAGAGTGAAGGAACCATGATATGGAAAGTTTTTGAGGGGTCATTGACGGGCCATGAAATATACATGCTTCTCTGCATACTCTGTTTACTCTTGTTTTTCTGCCTATCATTCAGACTGACACACAATACTGTATAAACAACCAAAACTTCTATTTTTCCTTTTTTTTCTTACTCCGACCAAAATGGCAGTGGTGCTTCTGTTTTCTTCCCCTTATGGTTTGTTTGTTTATTTAATTCTATCTTTTAGCTTTGTTTAAATAATTGCAGTGATTTTCAGGACTGTTGTCAAGGCAACACAGAGGTTGATGCATGTTGACAGAATCTGTTGCAGGGCGACGGAGAGGCTGAAAATGGGAGATAAGAGGTGGGAGGAGATGTGATGAGCATGCTTGTGTGCGCACGCACGTGTGGCTGTTTATATATGTGTGTGTGCGTGTGAAAGGTGGCGCTTACATGTGCTTCGATCCATATTGATGAATGGAGATGAGCTCTATGGGACTTCTCAGCCCGACAGAATGCAGCCCAAGATCAGAAATGAACAGTTATGAGTGTGTATGAGAAGGAGATGGGGGGTGGGGTGCTATTTTAGTCTGGGTGTTGTCATGGAAACTGCAGCCTCACTACAAATGGAGACATCCAGAACACTTGGGTCGTCAAACAAATGGTATGCGTAAGGCTCGGCGTGAAACTACGCCATGGCCGTGCGACACAGTGCCATCTCAGTTAAGCCCACCCACACCCCCACAAGCACCCCCCAAAGCCTGACAACTGTGGCTTCTTCTTCATCACAGATGCTGAATATCAATGTGGGGGCGGCTTTTATGGCGCAGAGGAAGGAGGAGAACGGTTAAAGTCAGGAACTCAGCGACGGGCAGTGGTGTCCACACAGTGGTGTCATAGCCCCGCTGTCCTTTGATGAGCAGTCTACTGCCCCTTCCCTCGTTCCTCTCCTCCTTTTTCTCTGTATCCTTAACCCTTCTACTGTTCCCCATCCTCTCCCTCTTCCTCTCTGCCTCTCCAGCACTCTGAAGGACGGAGGTATTCCCACATTTCTCCGTTGCTATAGCAACACCGCAGCAAGAACAGGAAAGAGAGGACGCAGCCAGGCAGGGAGGAGGGTGGGGAGGAGGGGAGGGGGAGGATGGAGACGTGGTTGTGTGGTGGGGATGGGGAGGCTGGGGTGGAGATGGAACGGGGGAGGGGCATGGAGGCGGCCTAAGATTAGGGAGTGTTTGAACAATGTTGATGCTAATGGCTGCAGCAGCAGCAGCCAAGGGCCGGTGAATCCCCCCCCTGTCCTGCCCCATCCTGCTGGGTGAGGACTGCCATATCGTCCCTGCTATTTGATGTCTTCCACAAAAATGATACACATGAACTTTTCTTCCTCCTTGATCATTACACCCGCCTCTACCTCCAACTTCTGTCTTTGCCTGAGTCGCCTTTGAGAGTGAAAGGAAATGGACCAGACTTCCTCCCAGTCTGTGTCTATAAAAGTGCACATTTTGGAGCTGACTGGTGTGTTGGTTTTGCAGTGATTCAATCAGGCCAAACTGATGCAGGTCAAACAGCCCACCAGACAAAGAAGCATCAGTGTGGAACACAGACATGAGGAAACCAGAGCTATTTCATATCGGTGTCATCACCCCATCCATCAGGACAGAATGTAGTCTCATTATCTCTCCGTATACATCATGAGCCATTAGAACAAAGCCATATCCCATATGTAAAGATATGAAGCAAGCAGCAAAGCTCATGTGGTCAGCCCAGAAACGCCTACAACCTTCTGTATCTGCACTCCATGTTTGCCAGCTTTACAACTTGTATGGCGCTCGGTACATTTGTGTCAGTCGAGACTGTATCGTGGGATTTTTTAGTAACGGACAAGTAAGACGTTTTTCATTTTCGCAGCCCAGAGGGTTTACTCAGAATCATATGCTTCACATACAAGCACCAGTAGTCCTCTGTCAATCTACCCAACTTTCACATTGCACTCTGCTCAAATAGCATCTCTCTTTGTTTGTGTGCATTTGGTGCAATTCTGAACACTGTCCAATCTGGATACTTCCTTTCTGAAATGGGTTTTAGTGTGTGTTCCGTTTCCCAAGATCAGGCCTTATCTTTACAGATGTTTCCTGTTATTCCTAACAATATCTTGATGAAACCTTGTTTTTGCCTAAACACATTCGTACAAAAGGCTTTAAATCAGTCACCATGTTCAGGTCATTCAGCCTTTTTTTTTTACACATAACAACGTTTCTCTGTCTCAGCTGTTAGGAATGTCCCATCATCTTACAGATATCTACGAATGCTTTATCAATTTGGTTGCCTCTAAAGAAGTTGGCAAGAGTAGTATCTTGCCAACTGCCTCAATGCCCTCTCACTCAATTACTCCAATCTTGATAATGTCTTCATCTGTCATTGGACAAAAAAGAGTAAAGAAGAAAAGAGGAAGGTCGTGTAGCTAGTTCCTAATCACTTTAACTTTAAATAAAATAGTTAAAAAATCGATTTCTTTTTTTTATGACATTCTCTTCTGAGTAGTGGT